GCTTTCAAGCCCCGCCATCGACGCCTTTCAACTTCAACTGACGCCTTTGAACTCCACCCCGACGTTCGCTCGTATAGAACGGCCCTGACGAGGACGCGTACCGACGCGCGTTCAGCGCGCCGTCGACGTCGACGCCCGCGCCGACCGCCGCCGCGGACGCGGCGGCGCGTCAACCGGCGCGCCCGCCGCCGGCGGCGACAGCGCCACACCGGTTCGGACTCGCCGTCGGCGCGGGCGTGGAGAAGCGCCGAGCCATAGCGGACGTGTTCGCGTCGGCGGCGAACGGGCCGCGGAACCGGTGGTTCGAACGCTCCGCGCCGCTCGGCGCCGCCGGGGGCGCGGGCGGCGGCGGCGGCGGCGGCGTGAAGCGCAGCGCGCAGCTGACACACGGCGCCGTCCCCGCAGCGAGCGGCGCGGACGGGCCCCCGGCGGCGGCGAGCGGGGACGTCGCGGCGGCGCGTCTCGCCGCCGCCGACGACGCGAAGCCGCCGACGAAGAAACGCAGAACGCTCTCTTCCCGGCTCGCGTCGCGGCCGCCGCAGCCGGACGCGCGCGCGGGCGCGACGACCTCGACCGCGCTCGTCCTCCCCCGCCCGCCGACCGAGCCGTCGACCTTCGTCAGCGATGGCTCCGCCGCGTCCGTCGGGGCGGCGGCGGCGGGCGACGCGCCGCGAGCGTCGGGCGGCTCGGAGCGGAGCGGCAAGAACGCCGCCGCGGACGAGAACGCGAATTTCGGCGCCATCATGCTGCGCGTGAACAAAGCCATCGCGGACAAGTCGGTCGCGAAGCCGCCGCCGCCTCCGCCGCCGCCTTCGGAACCGCGCCGCGCCCCTTCCAACTCGAGTCTTACGCTCACGGACGGCGGGATCGGCCCGCCCGGGACGTACTACCACGCGCGAACGTGCATCGCGAAGGACGACCCGGACGGCGTCGAGGACTCGGACGACGAGGAGGACCTAGACGAGTGGACGCGCGAAGACTTGCGGCAGCTGTCCGACTTCGAGGACATCGACCACCGCGAGAAGCTGTTCATGCACGAGTGGAACGTGTTCGTGCATCGGTTCAAGCCGTACGCGGACCGCGACGTCCCCGCCGCGCTCGCCGCGTTCGCGAAGTACCGCGGCGACGCGTTGCGCGCGGATCCGGCGTTGCGTCGAATGTTCGTGTTGCACCTCGTGAACCAGTGGGATTTTGGCGTCGTCGAGCCGGACGTGATCGACGCGACGCTGAAGATCGTGGACGCGCAAATTTCGGAGGGAAAAGAGAAGACGCGAGATGACGCGGATGGGTCCCCGGGGCCCGGGGGGATGCTCGCGCTCCCGGCGGGCGTCGCCGCGAACTGATCTGATCGTCGGTCGCGCCCGAGCGAGTTTTGTCGTCGAGTGAATGATACTTCCTCGCGCTCACATCATTCATCGTCACGCGGTCCACGCGATCGCGCCTAACGTCTGCTCCGCGTCGTCGACGTCTAACGTCGACAGCGCGCCGCCCTTCCACTTCCGCCGCCTCGCCCATATCGGCGCCGCCTCGCCGTCGGAGTCGGACGACCCCGACCCCGAGCGGCGCGACGGAGGGTCCCCCCGCGTCTCCGTCTCCGTCTCTCTCGTCGAATCGCGATTCGAATCGCGATCGCGCCCCGCCTCTCCGCGCGCGTCGCCGGCGTCGTCGTCCGCGCCGCCGCCGCCGCCGCCCCACCCGAGGAAACGGAACCATCCGCGATTCGTCTCCATCGGCGGCGGCGGCGGCGGCGGCGGCGCGTCGTCGTCGTCGTCGTCGTCGTCGTCGTCGTCGTCGTCGTCGTCCGGACCCGTCTCGACGAGGTCCCCGTTCATTCTCCTCGGCCGCTGACTCGACGCCTCGTCATCGGCGGCGCGGCCGCTCGCGCCGGCGCTCTCGCCGCGCGCGCGCCGGAGCGCCTCCTCCGTCGGCGTCGCGAGCTCGCCCACCGCGGGCGTCGCGCGCCAGCTCGCGCCGCGCGCCACTTTTCCGCCCCCCTCGCGCCGCGACGCGAGCCCGCCCGCGGCGCGCAGCGCTCGCAACGACGCGCCGTCGCACCACACCGCCAACACGATCCTCCCCGGCTGCGCTCGTCGCTTCGCGCGTCCACCCCCCGGCGCGTCGCGCTCGCCCGCGCCGCCCGCGGACTCGTCCCCCTCGGTCACCGTCGGCAGGCTCGAGAACGAGCTCGAGCGGCTGCCGATGCCGCCGCGCTCGCGCGACCGCATCCTCTGCCGGCGCGCGGAGGATAATGAATTTTGTCGGACGGACGCGACCAACCACCTCAAACCGAGCACCGCATTATTTGAACGCGCGGCCATGGCGTCCCCGGCGCCGCCGCCGCCGCGATACGACGCGACCTCTCCCGCGGAGGACGCCGCCGACGCCGCCGACGACGAGTGGCACTTCGTGAACGCGCGCGGGGCGAGGGAGGGCCCGACGTCCGCGACCGCGCTCGCGTCCGCGCTCGGGACGGACGCGGCGCGATGGGAGTCGACGTGGGTGTGGTGCGCGGATCGATGCGCGGAGTGGACGCCCGCGGCGCGCGCGGACGCGCTCTCGGCGCGCATGCGCGCGGCGATCGCGCGCGGCGGTGGCGTCCACTCCGCGGACGAGGAGAAGCCCGCGTCGCCGTACGAGGACGCGTCGCGCGGAGACGAGCGCGCGACGACGACGACGTTCGGATCTGACGCCGACGCCGACGCGGCGGCGGCGGCGGCGGCGGCGGCGGCGGCGGCGACGACGTTCATCTCCCCCCCGCCCGCGCCGTCGTCGAGATCCCCCGCCGCGGCGACGGAGCTCCTCGACGACGCGACGTGGCTGCGCGAGGCGTTGGCGACGTCGCGCGGGGAGACCGCCGTCGCGACCGCGAGAGAGAAGGCGCTCCGAGAGGAGTTGGAGGCGACGCGCGAAGCTCTGCGCGAGGCGCGAGAGGAGGCGGCGTCGCTGCGATTGGTCTTGAAGGGAAAGGTTCTAGGGCGGGTGTTGAGGGACGCGAACGGACGCGGGAGGAGGTCGAGCGGCGCTCGTCGCGGCGGGGTCGGCGTCGGGTATTGTTAGATTTAATGAACACCGGACGTCACGCTCGCTGATCGCTCGCGCAGTCTTCATCACTTCTCGACGCGCGCGCCCGGCGTCGCGATGTCCGCGCGCGACGAGCGCCCCATCGCGCGCGCGCTCCTCCACCACGTCCTCACGCACCCCTCCGCCTCGCTCGGCCGCGAGCTCGGCGCGACGCGGCTGCGCTTGGGGCTCGACCTCCTCGCGGTCGTCTTCGGGAGCCTTCGCGACGCGCTCATGGTGGACTACGCGCCGAAGATGACGCCGCCCGCCGCGGTCGAGCTCCTCGCGTCGCTCCGCCGCGTCCCCGGGTGCGAGCGCAGAGCGCGAATGCTCGACGTGCATCTCGTCGACGGCGTGATCCTCCTCGCGAATTCACGCGCGGTCCTCGAGCGCCTGCGCGCGATGGACGATCCCGAGGCGAGCGAGCCGCTCTTCTTCGACGCGAGCGACGGCGCGAGCGGTCGGAAGCTCGACCGGGCCGCGATGCGCGGAGAGATCGCGCACGCGGCGACCGCGTTCAAGACGCCTAAGGACGACGAGGACGTGCGCGTGTACGACTGGACGGAGGCGATCTTGAAAGCGTCGGGGGGCGGCGGGGGGGGTGGGGACGGGTCGGAGGGGGAGAAGAGAATGGATTCAATTTCAACGTCATCAGACGCGACGCCGCCGTCGCCGACGATGACCGGGCTGCTGCTCGGGTACCCGGTCGTGTACGCGTGGAGTCCCGCGGATGATCTCGACGGCGCCGCGCGTCGGCTGTCGCTGATGGAGTTGACCACGTTCAAGCTCTCCGCGGTCGTGGACGTGGGGACGACCAAGGAGGGCGCGGCGAGCGCGAGTAAGGAGAACGGGGAGAACAACCGTCACGTGATCAGCCAGTACACGGTGCCGGTCGCGGAGACCGACGCGGAGCAGGGCGTCGCGGAGCACGCGATCGCGGTTCGGAAGCATTACAAAGAGCTGATGAATAATTGCGAGAAAAGCGGCGGGGTGTGGTGGGAGTGGAAGATAGACGTCGAGAGACGACCGCTCGGAGGCGTCGCGTTGTGATGACCCGACCAAACGGTGAAATAGAAGAACAGAACGCCGCGCGGGTTTAACTCGACCGCCGCCGACGAAACGAAACGCATGTCAGAAGCTGGACTGATCGCTCGCGTCGAGGATCTCCTGAACCGTTCGCACGCCCGAACCGGCGGACCCGACCGGCCTCGTCCCGCCGCCTTCCATCGCGACGACCGCGCCGACGCCGCTCGTGCCGACGAAGTCGCGGAACGACGTCGACGACGAATCGGCGTCGCGCGACGTCGCCGGCGACGACTCGGGCGTGATCCTCGCGCTCGAGTCGTCCGTCGTCTCTTCCACCGCGACGGAAAGGTCGTCGAACGCCCCCGGCGGCGGCGCACACGTCGGCGTCCTGCCCCCCGTCCCCCGCACGAACCCCATCGCGTCGTCGTCGCGTCTGTACGCGCATCGATCGATCGACGCGGCGGCGACGGGCGAGCCGCCGTCGGCGCGTCGCGTGAAACACTGCACGCACTCCACGTCGTTCCCGCGCGTTCGGTCGAACCAGTCGTGATGCGCTTCGTTCTCGCGGAAGATGACCTCGTCGTACGACGCCGTCGCGTCGTGCACGCACACGCCGCCGCCGCGCGGCGCGCGATTGGACTCGAACAGCGCGTACGTGAAATTCGCCGTCGCGCCTCTATACGAGCGAATGTCGGGGTGGAGTTGAAAGGCGTCAGCTGGCGTTGAAAGGCGCCGAGGACGGGGATTGAAAGCGAGGGACCCTGGGCGGAGAGATGCGACGGCAAAAGTCCTTAAGGATCGGCGTTCACCACGCCAACGCGGTCGTATGGGAACCAGTGTATAGAACGCACCTCACGACGGAGACGCCCCCGCCGCCGCACGTCAGCGCCTTCCTGCGTCCGTCCGGGTACCGCATCACCTCGTTGTCCTCGAACCGCGTGACGGACGTCACCGCGGTCGTCTTCGCGCCGCCGACGAAGAGACCGCCGCCGCCGTCGAAGTAATCGTCGTGCACGGAGTTGCCGCGGAACGTCCCGCCCGCGACGGTCACGTTCGCGCCCGCGTCCGCGTACACGCCGCCGCCCTCGTTCCATACGAGCGAACGTCGGGGTGGAGTTGAAAGGCGTCAGGTGGAGTTGAAAGGCGCCGAGGTGTGTCGGGTATTGAAAGCGAGGGACCCTGGGCGGAGAGAAACACACGCCGGCAAAAGTCCTTAAGGATCGGCGTTCACCACGCCGACGCGGTCGTATGGGAACCAGTGTACAGAACGCACCTCCTTCTCCGCGACGTTCCCCTCGAAGACGCAGTCGACGAAACTCGCGGTCCCGCCGGACACGTACACGCCGCCGCCCTCGCCGAGGTTTGAGAGGTAATCGCTCGACGACGACGACGCGCCACCGTCGCCCGCCGCGCCGCCCCACGCTTCGTTGGACACGAACGCGCAGTCGCGGAAGGACGCGCGAGCGTTCGCGCTCATCACCGCGACGGCGCCGCCGCGGCCGTTCCACGCGCGACGTCCCGCGGCGGCGTCCCCGGGTCCGCCGTACGCGACGCTGTCGCGGACGACCACGCGCGTCATCCGCAGCGACGCGGTGTGGGAAGAAGCCCCGAGCGGCGGGTCCGACGCGTCGTACGCCTGCGACCAGACGCCGTCGTCGTCGTCGTCGGCGGCGGCGGCGTCGTCGTCGTCGGCGTCGTCGTCTGAGGGCCGTTCTTACAAGCGAATGTCGGGTTGGAGTTCAAAGGCGTCAGTTGGAGTTGAAAGGCGCCGAGGGCGGGGATTGAAAGGGAGGGGTGGGCGGAGAGATGCGCCGGGCAAAGTCCTTAAGGATCGGCGTTCACCACGCGAACGCGGTCGTATGGGGACCAGTGTATAGAACGCACCCGCGGCGTCGATCGTCCGTCCGCCGCACGCGTCCTCCTCGCGCGGGCTCGACGCCCGCCCGCGAACGACGACCGCCCCCCCGCGCCCGTCGCGCGCGTTGCACGCGTTCCGCAGCTCCAGATCGATCAGCGTCAGCGCGCCTCCCGCGCGGACGTCGAACAGCGGCGCGCCGCCGCCCGAGCACGTCGCGCAGTGCTGCCGACACGTTTCCCTATCGAGCCGCGTCACGACGCCGCCGCCGTCGACGACGCACCGCGACGACGCGGCGTCGACGTCGGCGTCGGCGTCGCCGCCGCGCCCCGCGCACGCGCCGCGGATCGTCAGCGGACGCGAGACGGTGATCGGGAAGCCGCACCGCTCGAACGTGCCGGGGGCGACGAGGTCGCGATACAGCGTCACGTGCGCGACGCCGGAGCGGACCGCGCCGACGAGCTGCGCGCACGTCGCGACGAAGCACGACCCTCTGGTCGCGTCCGAGGTGGCGACGCACGTGAACGACGCGCCGGGGAGGGCGGACGCGGACGGGAGCGACGACGACGACGACGGCGGCGGCGGCGACGGCGACGCGGTCGCGGCGACGAGCTCGCGCGTCGCGTCGGGGCCGCCCATGGCGAGGACTCCTTCCGCCTCCCTCTCGCGCGCGTCGTCGTCGCGTCGCGTCGTCTCCTTCGGCGCGGCGGTCGACGACCCCGCGCGCGCGAGCGGCGCGGCGGACGCGAGGAGCGCGACGAGCGCGAGGACGCGCGCGAGACGCATGCCGAGCGCGAGGCGGCGAGGCGGCTCGCGAGGCTGGCGCGCGCGGTCGAAGTGCGTCGACGCTCGCGCGCGGCGTTCGGTTCGTCGTTCCATCGTTCGCACCCTTCGCGCGCGCGGATTCATTATCGCGACGACGAGGCGAGGCGCGCGCGATCGATCGATCGAACCGCGCGAGAAGGCGAGCGGGCGCGCGGGGTCGGTCGCGGTCGCGTCGTTTGGTTCTCAGTGATATCAAACTTTTTTACAGCAGAGTGCGTCGGGCGCGCGTCACGCCTCGTCGTCGTCCTCCTCGTTCGGCTCCTGCCCCAACCACCCGGCGACGATCGGCGTCAGCGCCACCGTGGGCGGGAACCTCACCGGCGACAGCGCCTTGTGCGCGGCGTACGCGAGCGCGAACGTCCCGAACTGAGGGCCGTTCCGCGCGAAGGAAGCGACGAACGTCGGGGCGGAGTCGAGAGGCGTCAGAAGCAGAGTCGAAAGAGGCGTCGCGGCGCGTCGGGAATGAAAGCGAGCGGTGGGCGGAGAGTGACGACCGGACCGCCGGGAAGAAAAGTCCGTCCTCAAGGAATAATGAAGTTCACAACGCCGACGCGGTCGTACGGGGACCAGTGTGAAGACACTCGAACGCGCCTGCGTTGACGTGGTGGTGACGTGCAGCCCCACGCGGTCGAGCAACGCCGCCACGTCCACGCCCGCGCCGACGAGGGCGTAGCACACGGATATCGAGACGATCGACAGCGAGATGGACGTGACGAGGTACGCGCTGCCGTATCTCTGCGTGCGGGGGCGGGAGGGGGGGGTGCGACGGACGACGGGCGGACGGGGAGGACGGGGGCTCGGTCGTGAGTCGTGAGTCCGTCGCGGTCGCGGTCGCGGTCGCGGTCGCCTTGGCCAAAAAAAAAACGAGGGACTCCCTTCGGGGGTAGGGTCGCGACGTCGCGGGGGGCTCGGCGTCCCGCCGACCGCGCGCGGCGCGACCGACGACGCGCGTCGCCGCCGTCGCGCGCCGCCGCGGACGCGCGAGAAGCGCGCGCGAACGCGACGCGAACGCGGATCGAATCGTGCGCCGTCGGCGCGCGCACCTTGAGGAGCTTCTTCGCGGAGTCCATCTTGTTCCCTCCTCCTCCCACCGCGCCGTCCTCAGCCTTCGACGAGAACACCTTCCACAGCCCCGCCTCCAGCCCCCACTTCTTCGCCACCTCCTCCGCCTCCTTGTTCGCCGCGCTCGAGCTCGCCGCGGCGCGCTTCTTGACCTCGTTCAGGTCCTCGCCGTCCGTCGTCGTCGCGCGGATATCCGCGGGGAGGCGCGTCCGCCCCGCGCGCGCGCCGCCGACGCGCTTTTGCTTCCACCCGCACCCGACGCTGATGCCGTCCGCGATGCGCGAGCGCGGGCCGAGCCGTCGGAGCCCGTCGCGCGAGGGCGAAGTCGCCCTCGCGGTGGGTCGCACGACGCCGACGCGCGATACGAACGTGGCCATCGCCGTGGAGAGGCGGCCCCGCGCGCGGACGCGGTGCGGCGCGTCTCGGACGGCGAATGAATGTAATGGGGTGGATTCGTTCCCTTTCTCGCATCGCAGCACGCGCCGCGAACGCGAGGAGCGAATGAACAAACGCTCTCGGGATTCGTCCGAGTGGGGACGGCAACGCGGACTTTTCACCCTAGCTAGAAACGGTTTGAATCTTTCATAGCGTTGACCGCGACGACGGTCGATCGACCGATAAATTGGCGCCGCGTTTCTCGGATGTCAAAAAAAGCAAAAAGCGCTCTCGAATATCGAAAACCCGCCCCGCCGATTAAAATTGCCACCGGAGGCGCACTCGCTCGCGCGCGATACGAACGTCGCACGCGTCGCACGCGTCGCAGGACTCGCGCATCGTCGACTGGAGCGTCGGATCGAGACGCGCGCCGTCCGCGGAGGATCCAAAGCGGGAACGTCGCGTCGGCGTCTCTCGGCATTTGGACGTCGAGACCCGGCGCGTGCCAGTGCGTGAAGAGGGAAAGGGCGAGGGTTAAAATGACGTCCGCCCTCGGGGCCGCGCGATGCGGCGCGGAGGCGTCCGCGCGCGCGCGCGCGAACGCGGCGAGCGTGCGATGGCGACGCGCGCCGGTTTCGACGAAACCCGCGGCGACGCCGCGCCGCGCCGGCGGCGTCGCGACGCGCGCGCGCGTCGACGCCGACGCGCCGAACGCGCCGCCCCGCGCCGCTAACCGTCGCGCCGCGCGATTCCACGGCGGCGCGAGATTCCAACGCGTCGCGCGTCACCGCGCGTCCGCGACGCCTTCAGACTCCGCGGGCGCGATCGACGAGCAGGCCGCGGACGTGGACGGCGACGACGCTGCGCCGGGACTCGTGTTCGACGCGCCGGACCTGAAGCGCGCGGTCGACGCGGACGCCGCGCGGAAGAAGGACGCGAAGCTCGTGAACGACGAGACGCTCGAAAGAGCGATGGCCATCGCGGAAGAGCTCGACGGCGACGACGACGGCGACGTCGAAGACGACGGCGCGTACGAGCTCGACGGCGACGCCGACGGCGACGACGAGGCGTACGAAGACGACGACGACGCGTTAGACGTGGAGGCGACCGCGGACGACGCCGCCGCCGCCGCCGCCGCCGCGATCGACGACGACGACGACGAGGTCGCCGCCGCCGCCGCCGCCGCGGAGGAAGAAGAAGACGAAGGAAACGAAGACGACGACGAGGGCATCGCGCTCCTGCGCGAACTCTTCGAGTTCGGCGACGTCGCCGTGAACGAGTGGACGCACCTCGGCGAGGACGAGGACGTGGAAGTCTCCGGGATCGCGGACGACTCGCGGGTGGTCCTCCCGGGCGACGTCTTCGTCTGCGTCCCGGGCGCCACCTTCGACGGGCACGACTTCGCGCTCGACGCCGTCGCCGCCGGCGCCGTCGCCGTCGTGTGCGAAGGCGAGATCGAAGGGTTGACGGATGAGATCCCGCAGGTGGTCGTGTCGTCGTGCGCGAAGGCGCTCGGGAAGATCGCCGCCGCGTTTTACGGCTCGCCCAGCCAGCAGCTCACGACGGTGGGCGTCACCGGCACCAACGGCAAGACGACGACGACGCACCTGATCCAAGCCATCCTCGCCGCGAACGACGTCTCGTGCGGCGTCGTCGGGACCGTCGGGTACGAGATCGGGGACGTGAAGCTGACCCCGCACGGCGGCGTGTGGGAGTCGGACGAGCGGGATCCCACCGCGGACCGCGCGTGCACCGCGCCCGGGTGGTTGGCGCCGTACAAGGGCAAGTACGAGGTGCCGAACACGACCCCGGACGCGCTTCAGACGCAGCAGATACTCGCGGGGATGATCGACGCCGGCGCGGGCGCGTGCGCGATGGAGGTGTCGTCGCACGCGCTCGAGCTCGGGAGGGTGGACGAGTGCGATTTCGACGTCGCCGTGTTCACGAACCTGTCGCGGGACCACCTGGACTTCCACGGGAGCATGGAGAAGTACCGCGAGGCGAAGGCGAAGCTGTTCCACAAGCTCACGGACCCGGCGCGGCAGCGCGCGGTCATCAACATCGACGACCCGTACGACCCGAGGGACGATATGTACGACGTATACTCCTCGAAAGAAGCGCGCGTCAACGCGAAGAAGGATCGGGATACCTTCGACAACGCGGCGTACTTCATCGAAGCCGCGGGCGGCGGCGACCGCGTCCCCATCATCACGTACGCGACGCAGCCCTCCAAGGAAGGGCAAGCGGACGTGTTCGTCTCCGACGTGAAGCTCGCGCTGTTCGAGACGACGCTGACGATCCAGACCCCGGTCGGGGAGTTCGAGGCGGTCTGCGGCGTCGTCGGGAAGATCAACGTGACGAACATCGCCGCGGCGGTGGCGGTGGGCGTCGCGTTGGAAATTCCCCTCGACGTCATCGCCGCGGGCGTGGAGGAGATGACCCCGGTGCCGGGGAGGATGGAGCTCATCGACGAGGGACAGCCGTTCTCTGTGATCGTGGACTACGCGCACACGCCGGACGCGCTGAAGCGAGCGATCACGAGCCTACGCGCGGCCAACGTCCGAAACGTCATCACCGTCTTTGGATGCGGCGGCGACCGCGACGCGTCGAAGCGGAAGGAGATGGGGGAGATCGCGGACACGTACTCGGACATCGTTTTCGTGACGAACGATAACCCGCGGACGGAGGATCCGTACAAGATCCTGGACGACGTCGTCGCCGGGTTTCGGGATCGCATCTACAACCTCGAGGCGATCAAAGAGGAGGCGATGTTTCCGTTCCTCAAGGATATGTATTTGATTCACCCGAACGCGCGGCACGAGACGATGCAGCTTCAGAACATGTGCCGGCGGTACGTGATCGTGGACCGGTGGTACGCGATCAGAGGCGCGATCGCGATGGCGGGCGAGGACGACGCGGTTTTGATCTGCGGGAAAGGCCACGAGGATTACATCGTCGTCGGGGGGAACAAGCACTGGTTCGACGACCGCGTCGAGGCGAGGGACGCGTTGCGGAAAGTCGTCGCGGTGCAAGAGGCGGGGGTGGACACGCAGAATTTGCCGTGGGGTCGGCCGGGGAGCGTCGGGAACGGGAACGTGTTAGACGCGTGAGATGGAGGACAGGACGACGCGCGGTCGCGTCGCGCCGTCCGCGCGCGGGTATTCTTGTATGTGTCATTCGACGTTGTATCCTTATCACGAGGCGCTCGCTGACGCTTTCGCTCTCGTCGCCGTCGTCGTCTCGTCGTCGTCTCGTCTCTCGTTCCCCCCAATCACCCGTCCCTCACGCGTCGAACGCGGCCGCGATCTCGTCCTGCATCCTCCAGAACCGATCCTTCGCGTCCGCGAGCCGCCGACGCTTCGCGAGCGCGCGCGTGCGGACGTCGGCGCACGCGCGTTCGATGGCGCCGCCGTCGCGTTCCAACGCGGCGAGAAACGCGTCCAGCCCGCTCGACGCGACCTCTCTCGCCGCGTCGGCGCCTCGCGAGAGCGCGTCCTTCGCGTCGCGCGCCGCGCGCGCGAGAACGTCGCGGTCGCGCTCCGTCGTCGCGGCGATCCCGTCGCGATCGTCCGGGACGACGACCGCGGGCGCGGGCGCGGGCGCGGGCGGCGGCGGCGGCGGCGGCGGCGCTTCGCGCGGCGGCGACGACGACGGCGAGAGGCTCTGGAAGTACGGCGACCGCGACCCGGGGTTCGGGTCGACCTCCGTCGCCGTCGCGTCGTCGTCTTCGACGGGCGAGTCCTCGCGGTTCACGGGCGGCGACGCCGCGGCGCCGTCGGGTTCTTCGCAGGACGGGTACCGAAAGCGCGCGCGCGGCGGCGGCGGCGGCGGCGGCGGCGGTCGCGTCGTCGTCGTCGTCGTCGTCGTCGTCGCGAGCGCGTCCTCCCCTCGCGTCGCCTCCTCCGGCGCCGCGTCGCGCGTCGCGGGCTCCGCCGGGGTCAGATCCAGCGCGATCTCGTACGCGAGCGACATCGGCGGCGACGGCGGCGACGGCGGCGCGCGCGCGTCCGCTCGCGCGTCCTCGCGCGAGGGCGGGGACGCCCGCGCGCGCGCCGCCGCGGGGGTCGGGTCCGCGGTCGCGGCCGCGGCCGCGCGCGCGCTGTCGTCCGCGCGCGGCTCGATCCGCGCGACGGGCGCGTCGTCCTGCGTGCACGGCGGCGCGAACTCGAAGTCGCTGATGTCCATGGCTCCGCCGCGTTGAAGGGCGTCGTCCTGTCGTCGCCTCGCGAGGCTTTGAACCGGGGACTTGCTTGGGGACGGCCGGCAGGTCATCGGAGGACGATCTTGGCTGCGTCGGTACTCTGTGTAGTACGTGTACGCGTTCGTATGTAAACTTAGTCAGAAAAAATCACCCCCGCCGCTCTCGAGCCGCGAGCCGCGACCCTCGACGAACGATAAAACCAGGCCAAGATCGGGGCGACCCCTCGCGCGCGGCCCACTGACGCGGTCACGGAGTCGGATCGCGGTCGCCGATCATGGCGCACCGACTCGCATCCCTCGGCGGCGTCGCTCGCAGAGCGATCAATCGCGCGAGCGCGCAGGCGTTCGCGCGGCCGTACGCGTCGTCGAGCGCGCACGGCCAGGGCGCCGTCGCGGTCGATTCCGCGTTCCAAAACGACGACGCCTTCCTGAAGTGGACCACCCCGGAGCCGCAGGCGTTCACGCACGCGGGCATCCTCGCGTCTCCCGCGACCAAGGTGCGCGTCGGCGCGCGTCGCGACCTTTTCCTCGGGGTTATCGCGCTCCCGGCCGCGCGATCGCGCGATCGCGCGACCGAGGGTTTCTCCTCCGCGGGCTGGCTTTTTTTCGCGCGCGCGCGCGTCCGTCCGTCCGTCCGTCGCGCGTGGTGTCCGCGATCGCGCGCGCCTCGCGCGCGCGGCCGTCCCCCCGCCCGCGCGCTCGACGCCGCCGGACCCTTCGACGCGCGTTCCGTTCCACCCCTCGACGGCGTCGATCCCCCCCTCGCGCGCCTCGCGCGCCCCCGCGAACGCGCGCTCGCCGGATCGATCGGTCGCCCACCCCGTCCGTCCGTCCAACGATCCATCCTTCCATCCCTCCGTTCCCAGGTCACGACGCTCGCGAACGGCATGCGCGTCGCGACGGAGGAGACCCCGTTCGCGGAGACCGCGACCGTCGGCGTGTGGATCGACGCCGGGTCGCGGTACGAGACCGCGGCCAACAACGGCACCGCGCACTTCCTCGAGCACATGGCGTTTAAGGGCACGGCGAAGCGCACAACCGCGGGGCTGGAGGAGGAGGTTGAAAACCTCGGCGCGCATCTCAACGCGTACACGTCGCGGGAACAGACGACGTACTACGCCAAGGTGTTCAAGAAGGACGTGCCCAACGCGGTGGATATATTGTCCGACATTCTGCAGAACTCGAGCCTCGAGCAGAGGCACATCGAGCGCGAGCGAGGCGTGATCTTGCGCGAAATGGAGGAAGTGGAGAAGGAGGTGGAGGAGGTTTTATTCGACCACCTCCACGCGACGGCGTTTCAGCAAACGGGCTTGGGGCGGACGATCCTCGGCAGCGCGGATAACGTCCGGAACATCACGAAGGAGAACCTCAGCACGTACATCAAGCAGCACTACACCGCGCCGAGGATGGTTCTCGTCGGCACGGGCGCGGTGGATCACGACGCGTTGGTGAAGCTCGCCGAGGGCGCCTTTTCCAATCTTCCGAGCGGCGATTTGGGCGAGAGCGTTCGTAAGCTCGTGAGCGGCGACCCCGCGCACTTCACCGGGTCCGACGTCCGGATCCGCGACGACGACATGCCGAACACGAGCTTCTGCGTCGCGTTCAAGGGCGCGTCGTGGACGTCCCCGGACGCGGTGCCGCTCATGGTGATGCAGGCGATGCTCGGCTCGTGGGATAAGGCAGCCGCGGGCGCGGGGCACGCCGGGTCGGACCTCGCGCAGGACATGCACAGCAACAACCTCGCGAACAGCTACATGGCGTTCAACACGAACTACGCGGACACCGGGCTGTTCGGCGTGCACGTGAACACGGACGTGCGCGAGGACCTCGACGACGTCGCGTTCGTCGTGATGAACTCGCTCCGGAATTTAATCTATGACCCGAAGATCGAGGACGTCACGCGCGCGAAGCAAGCGCTGAAGTCTTCGCTCCTTCTTCACGGGGAGTCGTCCACGAGCGCGGCCGCGGAGGAGATCGGACGGCAGCTCCTGACGTACGGGCGAAGGATCCCGCGAGCGGAGCTCTTCGCGCGCATCGACGCCGTGACCGTGGACACGGTTAAGGCGACGGCGTGGAAGTATATTCGCGACGAGTGCCCGGCCATCGCCGCGATCGGCCCGACGCAGTTCCTTCCGGATTACAACTGGTTCCGATCGAGCACGTACGATAACTTCTACTGATCAACTGACGGGAGGCGTCGCGTGAGGGACACAGTCAGTAGGCGTTCTTTGTAAGTAAGCTTGTTTTCACGTTATTCGATCTCGTTCGGTTCTCGCGCGCGCGCGAGCGACGAGCTGAACAGTGGTGACCCTTCGACTTCGAACGTCTTTTCTCTCGTTCAGTTCCTGTCCGTCCCGTTTACGCGCGAACGTTCGAACGACGCGAACCGACCACGTCGCACTTCCCCGCGCGCGTCGCACGTCGCGCCGCGCCTTTGAACGTTCGCGCTCGAACGCCGCGTCGCTCGCGTCCTCGCGCGTCGCCACGCGCGCGTCGACGGCCGTCGACCGCCGCGAGATCTCCGCGCGTCCTGTCCCCGAAGAAAGAAGCGTTTCGGACGTTCCGAGAAATCTATATCTCTTCCGCGATGGCGCCGGCGACGCCGAGGAGCCTGAAGGGGAGGATAAAGGCGAAGATGAAGCGGACGAAGACGACCTCGCCGACGTCTCCGAGCGTGAGCGCGATCGCGGCCGCGACGTTGGCCGCCGCGCGCCCCGCGCCTCACCTCGTGACCACCCCGCGATCCCCGGGATCGACTAAGACGCGATCGCGGCCGCAGGGATGCGCCTACGCGTGCTTCTTCTTCGCGAAGACGACGCGAACGGTCGACGGCGCGCTCGCGAACGAGATCGGCGTCTACCTCGTGAGCGGGCGCGGCGGCGACGCGACGCCGACGCTCGCGGCGGTCGGGACCGACCGAGGCGGCAACGGGAGGTACTTCGCGTATCACGCCGCGGACCCGAATCCTTTCGCCGGGAAACGTCTGAAGCCCGCGGAGGGAGACGCGACGAAGAACGACGTCGAGCGGTGGATCCGCGACGCGTGCCCCGGGATCTTACTCAGCGCGAAGAGCCCGCCTCGCGTCGGGGTAGCCCTAGACGACGCGGCGATCGCGGCGGCGACCGCGCGGAAACGCGCGCGCGGCGGCGGTTACGGCGGCGGCGACGGCGCCTCCCACGCGTCGAAGAAGAGGCGGTCGTCGGTCTCGAGCCCGAGCGACGGCGCGCCAACCTTCGTCGACGCCGCCGTGCCGATCGCGCTGCGCGTCGCGCGCGTCGACGATCGCGCATCCATTCGCGCCGCGGCGACGGCGACGGACGCGGAGGAGGTCCGCGCGTTCGCGTCGTACGCGGAGTCGTCGGACAGACTACCCGACGGCCGCGGCGTTAAGACGTTCCGACTGATCGCGGACGACGACGACGACGCGCTCGACGACGCGTCCGCGGGTCTCCTCGCCGTGCGCGGCGTCGAGCGGGGTCCGAAGGACGGGCACTACGGGTACGCGGCGTCGAGGGAGCTGCTCGGCGTCGCCGTCGACGACGCCGGGCGACCGTTTCAGACGCAGCCGAGGCTTCGAAACGCGGCCGCGGTGAGAGCGTGGCTCGACGCGATCGTCGCGAAGAGCGCGCGCGCGCCGAGGAGGCTCAGGGACGCGGTCGGCGCGGCCGCGCGCGCGGCGGCGATCTCGCGGCGCGGGGGTGTCATCCTCGGCGGCGGCGGCGGTTTCGAATCCGATTTCGAATCCGACGGCGACGAAGACGAGGACGAGGACGACGAAGACGAGGACGAGGACAATGACGAGGACGACGACGAGACGGACGCGCTGCAGCGCTACCTCGGCCCGGCGACGTACGCGTGGTGCGTCGGCACGGCGTACCCGGGGATGGTCGCGAGGCTGACGACGATGCGCGATCGAATCGACGCCGGCGTCGCGGCGAGGCGGGCGACGACGACGACGATGAAATCGGACGCGCCGCCGCCGCCGCGACCGCTGTGCGACCGCGACGCGATGGGCATCCTCTCCGAGCTAGACGCGCGATGGAACGTCCATCTCAACGTGCAAACGCTCGACGACACCGAGATCGCGCGCGCGGTCGCGTCGCTCGCGGAGGAGGAGAACGCATACGCGGACGAAGTCAGGGACACCGCGATGCGTTTCGTCGTGAAGTGGACGGAAAAAACCGAACGCGCGGTGCGAGCGTTGGAGCGACGCGCGCGGGAGCGGGAGACGCGCGCGCCGAAGACGAACGGCGGCGCGGCGGTCGTGAGCGCGATGATGGCGATGACGCGGCGCGCGTGACGTTTTGTTTTTTGAACCCGAGTGACGTTTGAACGAACGCGAACGACGACGAGCGCGAACGGGAACGACGAGAGAAAGAATAGATTGTACTGAACGAGACGATCAGGACGCCGACGCGCGCCGCGACTAACTCATCGGCATGTTCCGAATCTCCTTCATCACGAGCTTCATCAGCAACAACCCCGCGATCAAATCCGCGGCGTACAGCATGTAAAACACGTGGTCCCAGTTGTTACTGTGCGTGGAGATGTACCCCGTCAGCATCGGCCCCACCGCGGCGCCGATGGAGCCGGTCCCGTCGATGATCGCCGTCACCGTCGCCAGCGCCCTCGCGTTGCCCTTCAAGGAATCGTGCGTCCCCAAGTCCGCGCTCACCGCGGTCGTGATCAGCGCGTACGGGCCGTTCACTAACACCCCCGCTAACATCATGAGCGCGACGTTCCACGACATGCTGTGCGAGCCGTACTCGCGGTACATCCACAACACCGGAATGGAGAGGTACACGAACCCCGCCGACGTCAGCGACCGCGCGTTGTACTTGTCCGAGATGTACCCGGCCGCGATCCCGCCGATGACGCCGCCGATGTCGAACAGCGTGGATAACTCCCCGGCTTTCGCCGCGCTGAGGTACTCGCCGCCGATCTCCGTTCGCTCGATGTAGAACGGGAGCCAGTACAAGAACGTGTACGCGACGAGCTTCGTGAAGAAGAGGCACAGCGAAAACGTGATCACGCCCGGGATCTTCAACGCGGCGACGAACCCGGCAGCCTGCGGCTTCGTCCGCGACGCGCCGCCCTCGATCATCGGCTTAATCTCCGTCTCGGACTTGATGTCCTCGTGCGCTTTCGCGCCCGCGGTCCCCAGCGGCGCGACGTGCCCGGCGTCCTCGGGCGACACGACGAGAAACGAGTGCACCAACGCGCCGACGACGGCGGTCAGGACGCCGTTGACGATGAACGCGTCGCCCCAGTTCCCTCGGCGCAACATCGCGGCCGCGAGCAGCGACCCGAGGATGTTCCCCACGCTCGTGTGCGCGTTCCATATCCCCATGATTAAGCCTCGCTTCGACTTCCCGAACCAGTTGCCCATGACGCTCACGACGGAGGGCCACCCGGTGGATTGAAACAGACCCGCGGCGACGGAGACGAAGAGGAAATACCCGAGCGAGTGCTGCTCCCAGCCGTGCGCCATGCCAAACAAGGACACGAAGAACCCGGTGCCCATCATGCCGTAGGTTAAGAACACTCTCAAGTCCATGCTGTCGCCGATGTGCCCGGAAAAGAACATCCCGATCGCGTAGGAGGAGAGAAACGCGAGGTCGCACTGGCCTAAGATCATCTTCCCGTCCGGGCCGTTGAACGGCGCCCACCCGGGCTCGCCGTTCGCGCGCTGCTCCGGGGTCGGGTTCAGCACGCTCTTCACGATCGACGGCGGCTTCCGCGCGGCGTGGTACATCATGTACGACAGGAACGTGACGACTAACACGGTGAGCCTGTACTGCTCGAGCGTGAGGTTTCGTCCGCCGCGCGATTTGATGAGACGCGCCATCCCGGGCGGGAGACGCGCGCGCTCCATCTCGGGCGGGTAGCTCTCGAACGGCGCGGTCTCTTCCGAAGCGCGTTCCGCGTCCTCGCGCTCGCGCGGCGCCGATCGCCGCCTCTCGAGGTCGTGGAGCTCTATGGTGCGGCGCCGATCGCGAGACGCACGCGCTTTCGCTTGTGGCGCGATCGCGTCGTTCCGCTGCTGTTCGACAAGCATCGGACGGGAAGACTGCGGGAAGACGAAGATCGGATTCGAGGGCTCGACCGGTCGTAGTCGAGCATCAGCGCCGGTGAAGCGAATTTCAAACCGAAAACGCCCTTTCAAACCGATCCGATGAACCGCAATCCGCCCTCTCGTCCACGAAGCGTGTGGATCGAAAAAGTGAAGAGAACTTTATCTAGGCGATTCGCCGCGCCGCCGCCAGTTTGCCACCGCGCGCCGTACACGGCCGTCGCGTTCACCGCGTCAAACGAAGCAATGATGTCCGTCGCGTCGATGCAAATCGCGCGCACCGCGCGCGCGGGCCCCGCCGCGCGCGTTAACACCCCGCGCGCGGCGCCGAACTCGGTCGCTCCCCTCCCCCGATCCTCCGCGAGCCGCGCGTCGATCGTGACCCGCGCGGAGATCTCCGGTCTGTCCGAGTGCGGCCAGTTCCAGGAGCTGTGCAAGGCGGAGATCCCCGCGAAGATCCCGAGGTCGGACTTCCTTCGCCAGATGTACCGCTGGATGCTCATCTCGTTCCAAGACAACGGCCTCGCGGCGTACGGAAAGCGGATGGAAATCGACCTCGTGGACGGCGACGACGACATGACGAACGGGATGTGCGTGAACATCTACGGCATGAAAGACGGCGCGGAGTCGTTGATCTGCGAGTTATTCTGCGAGATGGACACCGAGATGGTGAACACGTACGACACGTTGATGCCGAACAAGGACGGCGAGTTAGAGAAGAGCAACCGCAGCGGGAAGGAGGAGTTCGTCAAGGGGAGGTATTTCGTGATTCGCCGACCGGTTCCGTTCGACGAGAGCAGCAACAAGGCGCTGAAGGCGATGATCAAGGACATGACGCTCGCGATCAACAAGTACTACGCGTTCGGGTCGTGCTTCTCCGACGACGCCACGTGAGCGAGTTCATCCGTCGAGTCTCGTTCGATCGAGCGACGAGAAGCGCGGCGAGGCGAAGCGCGTTCGACGGACAATCGTCGCGACGAACGGGGGGAGAGAGAGAGAGAGGAAGAGAGAGAGAGAGAGGCGTCAAGCTGGAGGAGCGCGCGGACGTCGTCGTGGCGGCGGCATATTGTAAGACGATCATACTCGTGGTTGAATTCGAACGCGCGTCGGAGAGAGACGCAGACGCTCGCGAATCGAATTAGGTTTCTTAAGTCGCGCTGCTATTTTATTTCGGCCCCGCCGCGGTGACGACCGGCACGCCTTTCATGCGCTTCACCGTGTCCACGAGCGCTTTGAAACTGTACGGCTCGTTGATCGCGAGGTCGGACAACATCTTGCGGTTCATGTGGATGTTCTCCTCCTTCAGACCGTGAATCAGCTCGCTGTACTTCAACCCGTGTTCCCGCGCGCCCGCGTTGATCTGTTGGATCCAGTTCCTTCGAACCTCCCCCGCCCTCGCCCTACGGTGCCGCGTCGCGTGCTGCAGCGCCTTCTCTACCCTGATCCGCGCGATGCGGATCGTGTTCTTCGCCCTTCCGCGGAACCCTTTCGACAGCTCGAACACCCTCTTCTTGCTGATCCACAGGACTTGCGAGACGCGCATCTTCGCCTCGCCTCGCCTCGGCCGTCCGTCCCCCCGTCCCTCCTCCGCGCCGCGCGCGTTCCCTCTGCTCTGCGCGCGCGACGCGACGCCGCCTCGCGTCGAGCCCCGCCGCGCCGCGACGACCCTGGTTCGCGCTGTCGCGAGACGACGAGCGAACGCGAACGACCGCGGCTGCCGCGAGTCCTCCGCGCGGGATCGTTGTGGACAGGCACGAGAGAGCAAAAGGTCGTGGCATACGGAAAATACATAGTAGTTTCCGGAGCAATTTTCTGACTGCGCGCCATAGGAAATCACGCGCGAGAGAGCGAGTAGGGCTTGACAACGCGAGGAAATCGACGAAGACGCCGGTGCGACGCGCGAGCGAGCCCTTTTCAAGTGACGCAACGTCAGCAGAGAGAAGGAGAATACCATGGGTGCGTCCACCTGCCGTCCTTCGTCGATCGCGGCCGCCGCGCGACGCCGCCGCGCGCGCGCGCGCGTCGCGCGACGCGCGTGTTCCGTCGCCGCGGCGTGGGAGAGGTCGTCCGCGGAAAAAAACCCTCGCGCCGTGCGATGGGTCCGACGGACGCCGATCTCGCGCTCGAGCCGCGCCCGCGCGCTCGATTTCGCGCGCGCGTCGCTTCGAGACGTTCATCTCGACGCGAGCGCGCCGCCGCGCGGCGTCTCGCGAGTCGCGACGCCGCGTGGAGGGCGTCGTTCGCCGTCCACCCGCGCGATTTTTCAACCACTCGCGAGCGCGAACTCACCATCTTTTCCACCCCGTCCGCGCCTCTCTCCCAGGTATCTCTCGCGATTCTCTCCACAAGCGCCGTGCCACCGGTGGCAAGCAGAAGCCCTGGCGCAAGAAGCGGAAGTGCGTACACCTCCCTGCCGTGATTTTCCACGCTCGCGTCGCGCGTTGAAGCCCGCGAACGGACGTCGGTGCTCGCCGTGCGATTTAGGGTTTTTCCTCCTGGAAACAATCGCTCATCGACCGCTTCCCTCTCTCTCCTCCATCCCCTCCCTCCAGGTACGAGTTGGGCCGCCAGTCCGGCAACACCAAGCTCTCTTCCTCGGTCTCCGTCCGCACCGTGCGATGCCGCGGCGGCAACAAGAAGTTCCGCGCGATCCGTCTCGACTCTGGTAACTTCTCATGGGGCTCCGAGAACACGACGCACAAGACGCGCATCCTGGACGTAAACTACAACGCGTCGAACAACGAGCTCGTGCGCACGAAGACGCTCGTGAAGAACGCGGTCGTGCAGGTGGACGCCGCGCCGTTCCGTGCGTGGTACCAGCAGCACTACGGCAAGAAGATTGGCATCAAGGAGAAGAACGGGGAGAAGGTTGAGGCGGAGGACATCGACGAGAAGCGATCCAACACCCTGAAGCGCAAGCTTCGCGACCGCAACAACAAGCACGCCGTCCCCGCGAACGTGGACACGCAGTTCTCCACGGGTCGTCTCTACGCGCTCGTCACGTCCCGCCCGGGGCAGTGCGGTCGGTGCGACGGGTACATCCTCGAGGGGAAGGAGCTCGACTTTTACGTCAAGAAGATGCAAAAGAAGAAGCACGCGACGAAGGAGACGGCTTAAGTTCGTCTTCTTCCGTGGGTGTGGTGATTGTGTGGTGGGGCGTACTTAGCACTCGCTCGGGTGTGTAATCGGAGAGGAACGAGCAACCGAAAACTATCATACTACTTTTTCGTCGTCGTCTGGACTGGTCCGGGGACGGCGACCGCCGCGCGTTCTGTCTGGTTGATGAAACGAGGGCGAACAGTTATTTCTTCGACCAACACACAAGCGTGCGTGAGGACTCTCGACAGATCGCGCGCGCGCGTCGAGGGCGACGGCGACGCGGATGTCATCGCCCGCGCTCGCGTCAGCGCGTCTCACCGCGCCGCGGCGACGACCCGATTCCGCCGCGTCTTCGTCTCGCACGTCGTCTTCGTCTCCTCGTCCTCGCTCTCGTCCTCGTCGTCGCGCGGCGACGATGACGCGCGCGTCCGACGGCGACGACCGCGACGTCGTCGTCGTCGGGAACGGCCCGCTCGGGTCCGCCATCGGCCGCCACCTCGCGGACGCGGGCGCGAGCGTGCTCGTCCTCGACGGCGGCGCGTCGCTGACGTCCGCGTCGAACGACATGGGACGCATCGTCCGCCCGCTCGACGCGGAGGGGAGGGAAGGATGGACGCGGTGGAACGTGGCGTCGATCGACGCGTTCCCGGAGTTGGAGGCGGCGTCCGGGATATCCTTCTTCGAGAAGAGCGGCAGCCTCGCGTGCGGCACGCCCGCGTTCGTGGAGAAACCCGCGCGGCTGATGCGAGACGCGCGCGTGCCCTTCGACGAGCTCGCGAGCGGCGACGCCGTCGCCGCGAGGTTCCCGTTCTTGCGCGTCCCGTCCGCCCACGTCGCGGTGCGCGACGACGTCGGCGGGTTCGTGAACCCGGCGCGGATGATCGCCGCGCAGAACGCGCTGATGACGAAGCACCCCAACGATCGCGGCGTCGTGCGCGAGGGCGTCGTGACGAACGTCGCTGTGGACGACGGTTTCGGCGGCGCGACGGCGACGACGGCGACGGGCGAGACGCGACGCGGGAAGTTTGTCGTCCTCGCGGGCGGGGCCTACACCGCGTGGCTCGCCGCCGCGTCCGGTCTGACGACGATCGCGCCGCCGCCGAACCCCGGCAACGCCGCGTCGACCACCGCGTCGACGACCGCGTCGACCGCGTCGCCGCTCGCGCGGTCGGGCGTCGGGAGCGTCCGCCTGTCGCGACGCACGGTGCTGCTCGCGGAGGTGACGGCGTCAGACGCGAAGGGCGTCTTGTCCGACATGCCGACGCTGAAGTATCAGCACGCGCCGGAGCAGCGCGACGTTTCGGTTTCGGCGGGTGAATCGTCGTCGCACGGCGCGAACGAGGCGATGAGCGTGTACGTGCTGCCGCCGATATACTACCCGGGCCCGGACGTCGCCCCGGGGTGGTACGTGAAGATCGGCGGCGGCGCGAACGATTTCTTCGAACGCGAGCGATGGGCGGACACCGTGAACGATCTGGAGCGATGGATGGCGTCCGACGGCGACGACGACGTCGCGGATCGACTGCACGACGTCTTGGTAGATTTGATGCCGACGACGAACTTTCTGTCGCTGACGTCGAAGCCGTGCGTCACGACGTGCACGGACGACGGCGAGCTGCAGTGCGAACGGTTGGGGAAAAACGGGAGGGTGATCGCGGTGGGGGGGTGTCAAGGGAAAGCCGCGGGGCCCGCGGACGCAATCGGGAGAGCGGTCGCGTCGCAGGTGATGGACGCGTTGCGCGAGGCGTGACGCGCGATAGATGATGATAGACACTCGTCCGTTTTTTTACAAGGTATTGCGGTATTGCGGGCTAAAGGTAGGTCAGACAAGCGAAAGACGTCGTCGTGTGCTGTATAGGATAAAAGAATTCTTCCCGTGTAGCTCGTAGTGGTACGCGTCGTCGAGCGCCGCGCGCGTCACGGCTCGGGGGGCTCCTGAACCTCCGTCGGCGCCTCCGCGGCCGCGGCCACAGCCTCCGGCGCGGGCTGGTTCGGATCCGCCGCCACCGCGCGCGCCTTCGCCGACGTTGGCTGGTTCGGATCCTCCGCCACCACGCGTTCCGGCGGCGGCGGCGGCACGAACGGCGTCAGCCGCTCCGCGCGCACGACGATGGACGATCTGTCCATCACCGTGTAGATGTTGCTCCCGAGCTGGGGCTTGATCATCGCCTCCGCGGCCGCCTTGGACGCCGCCGGGATGTCGTCCGCGTCTAAGAAATCGTACGGCGCCATCAGCGCGGTGTCCGCGACCATCCTCCACTGGCAGTCCTGCGGCGGGTTCGGAAGCACCACCTTGGCGGGGAGGTGGTGCGCGTTGAACGCGCAGTACAGCGTCTCGGACCCCTCCGCGCCGACGTCGTTACTCCTCACCGTGAACGCGACGAACTTGGACTCCTCGTCCCACATCGGCTCGTTCGGTTCGTGCCCGTGCCACTGGATGTTGTCCTGGTTCGGGAAGTTGGCGAGGCGAAGCGCGGGTTGCTTCGATCGGAACGCGCGCATGAGACGCGCGAACCGGCTCAATCCCTTGTTCTTCACCGGGTCCTTCGCGAGCGCCCAGTCCATGTAGTTCAGGTCGTTATCGTGGCAGTACGTGTTGTTGTTGCCCCCCTTCGTGTGTCCGTACTCGTCCCCTTGCGTCACCATCGGCGTCCCCTGAGACACGAACAGCGCGGTGAAGAAGTTTCGCATCTGGCGGTCGCGCAGCGTCTTCGCCACCGGCAGCGCGTTTTCGCCATCCTCCGCGGCGCTGAGACCGCAGTTCCAGGACTGATTGTTGTCGTCCCCGTCGTTGTTGTTCTCCCCGTTCGCTTGGTTGTGCTTATCGTTGTACGACACCAAATCTCTCAGCGTGAACCCGTCGTGGCAGGTGATGAAGTTGATCGAGTGATACGGCTTTCGCCCGTCGTTATACAGCGTCGGGGAGCCGCACAGGCACTCGGCGAAGATGCCCGCGTACCCGGGCATCCCGCGGACGAAATTCCTCGTGTCGTCGCGGAACCGACCGTTCCACTCCGCCCACTTCCCCCAATGCGGGAAAGAGCCAACCTGGTACAGCCCGCCCGCGTCCCACGCCTCCGCGATGAGCTTAACGTGTCCCAAGATGGGATCTTCGCTGATCATCTTGATCACCGGCGGCTCCGGGAGGTCCTGCCCGGGGACGGAGTCGCCCCCGATGCCCGTTCCCGGGACGCCGTCGCGGAACTCCGCCCAGTTGCTCGGCGCGCGCGTCAGGATGGACGCGAGGTCGAACCGGAAGCCGTCGATGTGGTACTCGAGCACCCAGTGCCTTAAGCAGTCGACGATCATCTGTCGAACGACCGGGTGGTTGCAGTTCAGCGTGTTCCCGCAGCCGGAGTAGTTGTAGAAGTCCCCGTCCGGGGCGACCATGTAGTACGTCCTGTTGTCCAGACCGCGGAACGACAGGTGCAGACCCTTCTCGTTGCCTTCCGCGGTGTGGTTGAACACGACGTCCAAGATGACCTCGATCCCGGCGCGGTGGCACTCTCTCACGAGCGTCTTGAACTCTCGCCCCGCGGCGCGGCCGCAGTCCTCGCCCGCGCATTTCGCGAACAGCTGCTTCGGCGCGAAGTAGTTCACGGACGAGTACCCCCAGTAGTTATATCGCATCTCGCCCGTCACCGGGTTCGGCACGGTGCTGTACTCGAGCTCGTTGAACTCCGCGATCGGTAAGAGCTCAAGGGAGTTGTATCCCATGCGCTTAAGGTACGGCAGACGCTCGATGATGTCCTCGTACGTCCCGCCGCCATCCTTCTGCGTGAACCCGCGTACGGACGCCTCGTACACGCACATCTCGTCGTAGTTCAACTTCGGCGACTGCACGCCCTCCCAGTCGAAGACATCGTTCGGGGACGGCACCGCGGCGGCGTATTGCGGCCAGCACTCCTCGCCCGGGGGCGCGGTTTTGGAAACCACGCCGTACTCGGTCCTGTCCCCCGCGAGGATCGCCGTCGCGTACGGATCCAGGAGCACGTGCTGCGGGTCGTACATCAACCCCTGGTGCGGGTTCTTCGGGCCCCAGACGCGGTAGCCGTACAGCATCTGATCGGTCGCCTCCGGGAGCGCGACATGCCACGTGTTCCCCGTGCGGTTGAACTGCGGGTCCAACGGCACCTCCGCCGTCGGCGGCTTCCCGGCCCTGAGGTCCTCCGGCTTCCACAGGCACAGGTTCATCGCGTTCACTTCCGGGCCCGCGTAGACCGCGAAGTTTATTCCGTTATCGGACAGCAGCGACGCGCCCATGGGAACGGCCACGCCGTTCGTGGGCTTCCCGAACATGCCCTCGACGGCTTCTTGCACGAGCGGCGGCGGCGCGGGTGCCTCGGGGGGCGGCGGCGCGGCGGGCGCGGCCGGCGCGGCCGGCGCGGCCGCCGCCGCGGCGGCCGGCGCCGCCGGGTCTGGTGACGCCGCCGGCGGCGGCGGCGCGGGCGGCATCGCCGCGGCCGCCGCGGCGGCGGCGCCCGCGGGACCGTTCGGGTTGACCGCCGCGGCGGGCGCCTTGGCGCCGGCGCTGGCGGCCTGGCGAGGTTTCGACGGCGGCTTCGGCTTCGCCTTCGCCGGCGCGGCCGCGCCGCCGGGCGGTCGGGGCTCGGGCTCCGCGATCGCGCGCAAGACGTGCGATTTGCGGCGCGTCGGGTGCATCGCGACGCGGTTCGGCGCCTGCGCGAGGGAGAGGAAGGGACGAAGGGACGCGGAAAAAAGGTCAGCAATTCGTTCGGTTGTTGGTTTTATCCGGCGACGATTCGAAGCGGGGGGTCTGAAAGGGGCGGTCGAACGCGCGCGCGCGCGAGTCTCACCTGGACAGGCGCGCGAACGTTGCTCGCGGGTATCTTCGACGGGTTCTGACGCTCTCCGCGCGCGAGCGCGCACGTTTGCGGCAGGCGCACGGCCTGACACCGCGCGCTAATCATCTTGCCGAATAATAACCTCGCCCGGCGAGGATTACGAGCAGCGGGCGCGGTTCGGCGTGTACGCGGACGCGACGCGGTGTCGAGCGCGCGGACTCGTTAAAATGATACTTGGTTTCACTCGTGCACGACCTTCGTGCGTCGAGGAGCGCGGCGGCGGACGTTCAGCGCGCGCGCGAAGTGGATAAGACGCGCGGCGGTAAAAAAAGGCCCTTTATTCGCCCCGCCCGGTCGACGCTTGCGCTTTTTCAGACCGAGGGAAAGCGCGGGTTGCCCAGTCACCGGCGAACGCGCGGTCGATTTTCCGCCAATTTCTGACCGTGACGAGGACGCGGCACGTCGCGTCGGTTTTCTTCTCGTGAGACTGTTTGCGCGTACGTGTACAGTACGTGTACGAGAAAAAGACAATTTCCGAAAAAAATGCGAAAATAAAAAAAACAAAAAACCAAACGTCCAGCAGACCAAAAGCCCATAGCCATCAGAACGTCACCTAGCCGTCCAGCCCCGACTTGGAATGTCGACGGGGGGCCATCATCAAGCGAAATCCCTGACTAGGCGTCATAGGAGAATCGCAGATTTCCGGCTCAGACTAGGTGAGCTTCAGTCTTCGTCTGACATGAGGAGCTTGTCAAGTATTGGAGAATACTGACGAGGGTTTACCAACTGAAGTATGAATCCTGTTCAAGTACAGTCGATGCCAGTTTCGCGAGATGAGGGGTTATATACCTCAGGCGCGGTCGATCTTTCGACTTATGGGTCACGCGCGTTTATTCACTCACCGCCGCTCGCGACGGGAAGAACAGAAGGCGGTGAACCTCGGATAAAACCAAATCGCGGCGCGGCGTCGCCTCACAACGAACCGAACCACGGCACGTCGAGATGTCGATGTCGATGTCGATGACGTCCGCGGCGCTCGCGCCCGCGCGGGTCACAGCTAAGGCGACGAAGGCGCGAGCCGCGCGCGCTCTCCTCGCGCGCGCGTCGCCGTCCTCGGTCGCGGGGTCCGTCGTCTCGTCGTTCGTCTCGTCGCCCGACCGACTGACGACCGTCCCTCTCCCCCTCTCCCGTCCCCCCATCCCGCGCCAGGCGAACGCGTCCGCGACGCGCCGAGGGGCCACCGCGCGCGCGCGCGCGACGGACGAGCGCGCGTCGCTCCCGAAAGAGTACACGTACCACACCCCCGGGAGCGTGCAAGAGACAGACGACGCGGTCGTGTTCGCGCATCAGACGGACGCGGAGAAGGCGAAGTGGTCCGACGCCTCCGTGCATCACGTCGGCGACGACAGCGACGCCCCGGTTCGCGTCGGCGTCGTCATCGGCGAGTTCCACAACGTCCTGATGGACAGGATGCTCGAGGACGCGCGCGTCGCGGCGATCGCGATGGGCGCGACCGTGGACGAGGTCGTCTGGGTTCCCGGGACGTACGAAGCCCCGCTCGTGGTGGAACGCATGCTCGAGAACGACGCGTTGGACGCGGTGTGCGTGATCGGATACATCGAGAAGGGCAGCACGCTGCACGGCCAGGAGATGGGGGCGACGTGCTCGCTGATTTTCAAGCAGCTCGAGCTGGAGTACAACAAGCCCGTGGGGATGGGAATCATCGGCCCGGGCGCGACGGCGGAGCAGGCGGAGGGACGGGTCGCGTACGCAGGGAACGGCATGCGCGCGGCGATAAGGATGGCACGGTACATGGCGAGGACGGTTTAGTATGATAGACGCGTCGTTCTCTCGCTCGCTCGCTCGCGCGTGCGTTTCCTATTCTATTATGATAATAACGACGCGCGAACGACGGATACTATCTATGTTCACCTACTGTACGTTCACCTACTACAGCGCCGCGCTCGGAGGGAGCTCGACGAGGACGCAGCCCTCGTGCAGCGCGATCGACTTTCCCGACGCGCTCTCGCGCAGCTCGTCGCTCCCCGCGCCCGGCTGCACGAACAGCGACGCGATGCCGAGCTTCTCGCACTCGTCTAGCACGTCCAGGCCCATCGTCGGGTTCACGACGAGGTTCACGCACTCGACCGCGGCGCCGATCTCGGTCAAGGACTTGTACTCCGCGGGGGGCTTTCCGTACGGGTTCACTCGAAAGACCGTCTTCCCGTGCGACCTGAGTCGGTCGCACAGCTTCTCCACGACCGGGTTCCGGCCGTGGTTCCCGACGACGGCCCAGACGTTCTTCTTGAGCATCTCCTCGCCCGTGGACGCGGCCATCGTCGTGAACCTCGCGACAGCGCTCATCGATGTGCCGTAACAACGCGAAAAAATAGCACGGCACGCAACCTTTTCGTGTGCAGATGCAGAAGGAAGACCTTCGCCTCGTTCGTCCGTCCCCGCACTCCCCGACGCGCGGAGGCGTCGACGTCGCCGCCTCGGCCGGGGCGACGTCGGCTCCACGACGACGATGCTCCGCGCGCTGTCCCGCCGCGGGCGAGAGCTCTCGCGTCACCGCGAGCGGTGCGCCGCGCTCCTGCCGTGGCGAGGCGCGGTCGACGATCTTCGTCGTCGTCGCCTCCTCGTCGACGACGAACCCCTCGACGTCGCGCGCGCGGACGCGCGCGAGCGGCTTCGCTCGGACGCGTTCTTCTTCGCCCGTGACCGCGCGAGGGGCCTCCACGCCGCCGCGGGCGTCGTCGACCGCGCGCGCGTCGACCCCACGCCGCCGCCGTCGACGCGTCGCGCGCGTCGAAGCGTCCACGACGACCGACGCGCGTCGTCGTCGTCGTCGACGGAGGACGACGCGAAGACGCGCGCGCCGTCGCCGTCCTCCGCGTCGTCGTCCATCCCCGCGCCGGAGGCGGAGCACACGTGGGTGGACCGCGCGCTCCCGCCCGCGCTCGCGCCGTACGCGAAGCTCGCGAGGATCGACCGCCCGGTCGGGGTGTACCTCCTGATGTGGCCGTGCTTCTGGTCCATCGCCGTCGCCGCCGCGCCGGGGGCGGCGCCCGACCCCACGCTGCTCGCGCTCTTCGGCGCCGGGAGCGTCTTGCTGCGCGGTGCCGGGTGCACGATAAACGATATGTGGGACAAGGACATCGACAAGCTCGTCGCGCGGACGCGGAACCGACCGATCGCGAGCGGGGCGGTGTCGCCGGCGGCGGCGACGGCGTTTCTCGGGGCGCAACTCGGCGCCGGTCTCGCCGTGCTCTTGCAGCTGAACGACTTCAGTAAACTCCTCGGCGCGTCCTCGCTCGCGCTCGTGGCGACGTACCCGCTGATGAAAAGGATAACGAACTGGCCGCAGGCATTTTTAGGTTTAACGTTCAACTGGGGAGCGTTATTAGGATACGCCGCCGTGCACGGGACGTTGGACCCGTACGTCACGCTGCCCCTGTACCTCAGCGCCGCGAGTTGGACGTTACTCTACGACACGATATACGCGCACCAGGACAAGGACGACGACGCGCGCGTCGGCGTGAAGTCCACCGCGCTGCACTTCGGCGACGACACGAAGAAGTACCTCGCCGGGTTAGGAGCGCTGTCGACCGCGGGGCTGCTGACGTCGGGCGCCGCCGCCGGGCTGGGCGCGCCGTTTTACCTGGGCGTCTCCGCCGCGGCCGCGCACCTCGCGTGGCAGGTGCGCGACGTCGACTTGGACGACAGGGACGACTGCGCGAGGAAGTTTAAGAGCAACGGGACGTACGGGGGGTTGGTGTTCGCCGCGATCGTCGCGGGGAAGCTCGCCGGCGCGGGTTGACGACGCGACCTCTCGTCGATCGTTTATTTTTTAGTTTAGCCTCAGTTTTGTTACACGATGATGTTCGTCGCCCCTATCGGGCGGCGTTCATTTTTTCTGTTGAATGTCCTTGTCGTGCTCGCCCGCGTTGAGACGATGCACGCCGACGTTCTTGATAGCCTCAAGGTAAGCTTTCACCTCCTGTTGAACGTAAAGGGAGGGAAGGTCGTCAGCGAGGGCGACGAAAAAAAAAAAGTCTCGAGATCAAATCGATGGACCGTCGCGTTCGCGCGGCGTGGACGCCCGAGGACGCGCACCTTTTTGCAGTTTTGCTGGTGGTTCACCCCCTCCATCAAGTAACACTTCTGAACCCGCTCGCGAAGAAGCTGTGAAGACGAAAGGAAGACGTGTGCGTCAGTTCGCGCGCGTGGGATGGAACGTTTAGGGTTTATTTTTCAGACGCCCAACGAGCGCACGCGAGGCGTCGCGCGTGAAGAGACGCACCTTCGCGGTCTCCACCTTGATGATCTTCTCGCGCACGATGTGCTCTCTCATCTGTATGGCCGCCACCTTATCCGCGAGAGGGTTCTCCGGGTCGAAGTTCTTCGGCGCCCCGGGGAACCCCCGGCCGGCTTCGCCCGCGAATTGCTCGTCCTTGCCCATCTCGCGCGACGTTTGCCCCAGCCCCGCGCGCTTCGCTCTCTTCTCCTTCCGACGACCCCGACGCGCACCGCGCGCGTGTTCGCGACGGCGAGTTCGGTCGCACGACGCGTTCGGTTCGACCCGGTGCGATTACGCGCGGACCAGACGTGCGACGCGCGCGTCACGCTCTGACGACCGCGCGCGACGCCTCGCCCGATCGCGATCGTCGACCCCCGCCCCCCAACAGTCACCGACTGGAACTGAGGGTCGTTCCATACAAAAAAAGTTCACCGGTCAGTTGAAAGGGGGAGCGATCAAATGTTGAAACCGGGAGATGGGTGAAAAACTTTTGTATAGAACGCGCCTGAAGCGCCGAGCGCGAGCCGGTCGATTCGTTTTCTCGGAGATCTGGTGGATGTCATTTCCCTCCGCGCGACCGCACGATACGCGCGCTAGAGATGATCCGCCGCGTCGTCCTCGCCGTCGCGGCGATCGCACTGCTCGCCCCTCTCGCCGCGCACGCCGCGGAGGTGATCCACCTCACGGACGAGACGTTCGAGCACCACACGCAAGCGGGTGCGCGTCCTCGAAAAAGCTGTCCGTCGTCGAACGCGGCGCAGCCTCCCCCTCCTCTTCCACCCTTCGTTCGTCCGATCGTCCGTCCCCGACCCCTTCCGAGTCCGACCGTCGTCTCACGCTCGAGCTCCCCTTCCACCCGACGCCTCGCGCGCGCAGCCACGGGCCAGACCACGGGCCCGTGGTTCGTGAAGTTCCACGCCCCGTGGTGCGGCCACTGCAGAGCGTTGGCGCCGACGTGGGCGAACGTCGCGGAAGAGCTCGACGGCGCGGTCGCCGTCGCGGACGTGGACTGCACGGCCAACCCGGGGACGTGCGACCGGTTCAACAAGGTCGTCAAGGGGTACCCCACGCTCGTGCTGTTCCGGGACGAGAAGATGTTCAAGTTCCCGAAGGGTTCGAAGAGGGACGCGGAGACGCTCGCGGCGTTCGCGACGGCGTCGTTCGCGTCCGACGGCGTCGGCGAGCCCGTCCCGGCGCCGATGTCGTGGTTCGCGGTGAGGTTCTCGAAGTTCACGCGCGCGCTCGCGATGTGGATGATCGACGTGCACGACACCGCGGAGATGTATCGGAAGCGTCTGAGCAAAGACTGCGCCGCGGCGGCGGAGGCGTTTCGAGCGGGCGGCGTCGGCGGATTCGTCGGATCGGCGCGGAAACTCGCGGCGAAGAACCCGAAGCTGTACGGCGCCGTCGCGACGTTCGCGACGTTCTCGTGCGTCGGTCTGATCGTGTGCTTCGTGATAGTGATAGGGCAGACGGTCCGGGGGGTGAAGGCTGAGAAGAGGGACGGCGAGAAGGACGAAGAGGAGAAGAAGAACGACTGATCGTTCCCGTCCCTTCCTCGGTTTTTGGTTTTCGTAGCTCTAAGACGCGACGTTCTTTCATCACGTCGTCCGTTCACGACTCTATCGCGCGTTCCCCGGGCTGAGGTCCTAACTCGTTCGCCTCAAACAGACCTTCGTCGTAGTGCGACGCCGCGACGGTCCGCCCGCCGAAGAACCGACCGTCCATCTCGTTCGCGCACTTCGCCGCGTCTTCCGGTTTCGTAAACTCCACGAAAATCCGCACGGCTTCGCGCGGGTCGTACCCCGACTCGGTGACTTCGAAGATCATCACCCGGTGCACCGCGCCGTGCTTCTCGCACTCCTCCGCGACTTCGTCCTCTAAGTCCTCGTCCACCTCGCCCGGTCCGATCATGTTCCGAAGGAGCAAAACCTTCGACGGCGGGCCTCTCGCTGGGGGGGGCGACGCGCCGACCGCGTCGCCGTCGCCTCCCTCCGTCGCGCCACTCGACACGAACTTCGGCGCGCCCAGCAGCGTGCGCGTCGCGTCGACGACCCCGCTCCCGCCCCCCAGCCCCGCCTTTTCGTCGTCGCTCCCTGTGGCGAAGAACATCTCCGGAGCGTTCACGATGACGCCGTGCTTCGCGCCGCGCTTCTCCGCCATGAGCGGCGTCGTCATCCCTTGGTCGCTCTTTCCCAAGCCTTGGCCTTCCTTCCACCCCATCTTCATCATCATCCTCTGCGCGGGGGTCATCTTCGGCTCTTTCGCGTCCTTCGCGTCTTTCCCCCCGCCGCCGCTCGTGGACGCGCCGCCGGGACCGGCACCGTCCGCGGTCTCGAGATGGCCGCCGACGAGGAAGCCGTCGCGGCCGATCCTCGCGCGTCTCGCGTGCGCCTCCTCCCCGGTCACCCTCAGCGAACTCCGATCGATCGCCCCTCCTCTCCCCCCCGCGGCGTTTCTGTCGCGCTCGAGCCGCGCGCGGCGGCGCTCGAGCTCGACGCGCTGCTTCTCGCGCGCCCTCGTCGCCTCGTCCTTGGCGCGGCGGCGCGCGCGGTCGCGGACGACGTCCTCGTACGAGTTCGGTCTGCGCGGGTCGTACTCCTCGTCCACGTCCGCGGAGAGCGTGCCCCAGCCCGCGGCGTCCCTCGCGTCCGCCGTCGCGGCCGCGGGGGAGACGCCCGGCGTGGGTTTCGCCCCCGGGGTCTTCGACGCGGACGCGGGCGCGGCGTCGGGATGCGGGGTGGACGCGGACGCCGCGGCGGAATCTTTCATCCGCGCGAGCTTCGCCTGCTGCGCTCGAAGCGCCGCGGCCTGCGCTTTGAGCATCGCGGGGTTGACGAGCGCGGGGGACTTGCGCGGCGGCGCGCGCAGCGCCGCGCCCGCGCCGGACCATCCCCCGCCGGCGCCGGGCGTCGTCGACGTCCCGGCGCCGTCTTTCCCCGGCGTCTCCGACGCACCGCCGCTCGCGCCGGTCTTCGCCGCGACCTCGTCCTTCGCGGACGGGAGGTCGCCGAAGAGCCCCATCCCGCCGGGGGATCGCTCGAGGTGCTCGTCGCCGACGCCCCGACCGCCCCGGTCCGTCCCGCCGCCGCGCTGTCGCGGAGTGGCGGCGCGCGATCGACGCGCGATCGGAACCTCCACGACGGAAGCGAGACTGGAAGTTTCGCGAGCGCTCGCCACTCAAGCAGTCAGGCGCTCGCGTCGATCGACCGCCGAAGTACTGTTCGAATACCACGACGCACGCGGGGCGACGACCGTCCACAACCCGCCGCGTTTCGACGCGTCGCGCGCGCGACACGCGACCGGTGGGACATCGCGCGCGATGTGGCGCGTGCAGTGCAACCTCCCCCCGCGCGCGGTGGAGGTCCTGCGGTCGGGTGCGCGCGCTCGCCCTGGACGCGTTCAAAAACATCCATCCAGCCGCCTCGCGCTTCCCGCGTCGCGCGGATCTCGCCCCGCGTCGACCCCGCGCCCTCCCGGACGCCTCGCCGACGCCCCCTTTCCTCCCCGTCCACCCGCCCGCCATCGCAGGCGGATCGCACGAGTCGCACGGCGGGATGAACGCGGAGCGATCGACCGCGTGGGTGACGCGCGGGAACGTCGTCCTCGCGTGGCCGCTGCCGAAGACGCCGTGCGAGCTCGAGGGCGGCGCCGCGCCGGAGAGCTGCGCGGAGTACTACGCGAACGGCGGCGAACGCCCGATCGTGTACGTGACGCGATCGTCGAAGGACGGCGCGCTGCTCATGACGAGCGCGGGCGGCGCCTCCTCCGGGGGCGTCGTGACCGTGACGCGATGCGACGCGAACGGCGGCACGTTCCGAGAGCTCGGCGCCGCGTCGCTGCCGGGCGCGCCCGCCGTGACCGCGGTCGCGTCGATCCCGTCGCCGACCGGCGGCGTCGTCGCCGCCGTCGGGTGCGCGGACGGCGAGCTCTACCTTCTCGAGTGCCCGCCGAACGGCGGGGAGCTGATCGTCAAACGCGCGGATCGAGACGCGGAGACGGGCGGCGGCGGCGGCGGCGGCGCGACGACGCCGTCGCGGCTCGTGAACCTCGCGATGAGCGCGTCTAAAGCGGCGCTCAGGTTTATTAAACCGTCGACGGCGCACCGATCGATTCGATCGATCGCGTTCGCGCGATCGTCGACGCGCGGAGGAGGGTCGATGAGACTGCTCGTGCTCACCGCGACGTCGACGGAGGAGTGGGAGGTGTCGCGAGACGGCGACGTCGCGCTCGGCGAGACGCACGAGGTGTTGCCCGCGATCAAAAGCGCGCTGCAGTCGGACGGTGATCTCGAGATCGCGTCCATCGCCGCGGGCGACGGCGACGACGCGACGGTGCTGTGCCGCGACGGCGCGCGGTGGTCGATCCACGTCGGCGAGCGGCGGCGCGGCGGCGGCGCGTTCGCGCTCCTCGCGTCGACGATTCCCCCCGCGGGATCCGTCCCCGCGGGCGGCGCCCCCGGCGCGCGCGCGACGGTCCACGTCGGCGGCGCCCCTCGCGAATCCGCGCTCGTCGTCACCTCCGGCGGCGGCGCCGCGCTGTTCGCGGGGTCGACGCTTCAAGAGCAGCTGCTGTTGCACGACCCCGCCGCGGGCGGCGGCGGCGTCCTCGCCGCCGCCCCCGCGCCGGAACTCGGGGGGTGGCTGCTGCTCACGGAGCTGATGGGCGTCGTCGCGTACGCGCCCACCGCGCCCGCGCCGCCGTCGCCGATCAAGAGATCGCCCTCGCCGGCGCCGCCGCCGGAGCCGCGGGATTCGGGCCCGAGCCCGACGCGCTTCAGCCCGAGGCTCGCGGCGGCGGCGGCGGCGGCGGCGTCGGCGCCGCGGGCGACGGCGGCGGACGCGGCGCGCGAAGAAGCCGAAGCCGCGGTCAGGAACGAGTTCGCGGCGTACGTCGCGGGGCACGGCGCCGCGCCCTCGGAGTGCGGGTTCCGACTGAGAGCCGCGGGCGCGTTAGGTGGGTCTCTGGACGGCACCGAGGGCGGGGACGTCGACGGCGGCGTCGGGGCGTTCGCCGCGTGCTCGAGGGCCATCGTGGACGCGCTCCCGAAGCACTGGCCCGGCCCGGACGGTCCGGGCCCCGGCGTGGAGTTGCACTTGGACGAAAAAGCGCGCAGGCACGACGTGTTCTTGCGGTTCCTCGTGGAAGCGTCCGGGGTGTGGCAGCTCCTCGCCGCGAGCGAGCGCGAGGCGATCCTCGAGCACGGCGAGATGGTCTCCGCGCTCCTGTGCGTCCGCTCCCTGCACAACGAAGCCGCGGAGATGGCGGAGACCGGCGCCGACCGAGAGAGAGGGTCCGACGCGTTGGCGCTCCTGCTCGAGGCGGCGACGACCGCGGGCGCGGCGTTGCAAGCCTCGGACGCGGCGGTGAGAGGCCGTCCCGCCGTGGAGGTGTGCTACAGCCGCGCGACGGGCGCGGCGGACGCGCTGCTGCCCGCGCTCGCGGACGGCTTGGAGCGGCACGCCGGCGCGCGGGCGCGCGCGTCGCTGCACGAGCGCGCCGCGGCGTTGGACGCGTTATCGAGGGCGTTGCTCGGCGCGCTGAGCTCCGCGAGCGATTTCCGCAGGCATCACGCGTCGCTGTACCCGCCCGCGGGCGCGGGCGCGGTCGCGCCGCCGCCGCGGTGGAACGCGGGTGAGGGCGCGCGGATGGCGCTGACCGCCGCCGCCGACGCGGCGGCGGCGCTGAGGGACGAGGCCGCGAGAGGCGGCGCGCCCGATCTCGCGTCGCCGCTCGGGTCGCAGCTCTACGCGCTGGCGGCGCCGCTGCTCGACGCGACCGCGGCGCACGTGGCGTCCGCGCCGTTAGGGTCCGCGGAGAGGGCGATGGCGAGGGACGAGTACGCGCGCGCGCGCGCGAGCGTTTTGCCCGCGCTCATGAACGCCGCGCGCGCGAGCGACGGCGGCTTCGGAGGGTTCGCGTCCGGAGATTTCGCGAGCGGTCCGTTCGCGGTCACCATGGACGCGGTTGCCGCGGTCGCGGAGGCGCACTTCGGGTACGAGCAGCTCGCAGAGGTGTGCGAGACCGCGATGGCGCACGCGGCGCGCGTCGGCGACGGCGCGGCGATCGACGGCGCGGTGGCGAGGACGCACCATCACATGCGGACGTTACGCGGCGCCGCGGAGGACGGCGAATGCACGTTCGCGACGTTCATGTTCCACCGGATGATGACGAACCCGGGGTACCACTCCGGTGTCGGCGCGCGCGTCGCAGAGATGCTGCAAGATACCCCCGACGAGTTCTACGGCGAGCTCGGGGAGTGCCTGAAGCCGCACCCGCCGCTTCTGTGGTTGCATCAGTTGCGCGCGGACGACTACGTAGGCGCGGCCGGGACGCTCCACGGCCTCAGCGTCTCCGGCGCGAGCGGCGGCGGGAACGCGTCCGTGAGGGAACAAGCGCAGTACCTGTCGCTCGCGAAACTGTCCTTGCTCGCGGGAGGCGCGCCCGCGGACGCGGACGACGTCGTCGCCATCGACGCCGCGCTCGACCTCGCGAAGATTCAGTCCGCGTTGTCCGCGCGAAGGAAAGTCGGATCCGCGGACGCGTCGTCGCCGCCGTTGCCGCCGTTGAAGCTCGTGGAAGCGTGCCTCGGCGACAGCGCGAAAGGCGCGAGCGAAGACGACCTCATCGACGCGTTCTCGGTCTTCGCGTCCGCGGGCGGGGAGTTCCGCGAGGCGAACAAGTCGCTGTTGGAGGTGTGCTGGCGACGCGCCGCGGCGGAGACGGACTGGAGCGAGCTCGGCGCGCTCGGGGCGTCGGGGGGGGACGCCGCGTACGTCCGCGCGTTGGCGGCGACGCCCGTCGCGAGAGCCGCGCGGCGGTGCTACGACCCATCGTACGCGGTACGGTTAGGCCCTCCGTTCGACGAGGTCATCACCCCGGAAAACGCGTTGAAGCTGTTGGAGGAGGCGTTGGGCGGGGAAGAGGCGAGCGTGGAGCCTTTGCGCGCGGCTTTGAGCCTCGGCATCTCGGCGCGGTGAGCGACGGCTCGGAGCACGAAAAGATAGAGAGAGAATACTGTACGTTGTTCATATCAGACGTATATTACAAACGTGATAAAAGGCTATTAACGCTCATGATCCGGTTGGTCTCCTCCTCTCGCGACGCGTGCATTTTTTTTTTTACACGTTCTCGAGCGCCTGGTCGAGGTCCGCGAGGATGTCCCCGGAGGTCTCGATGCCGACGGAGAGGCGCACCATCTCGGGCGGGATCCCGCACGCCGCCTGCTCCGCCGCGTTCATCTGAGAGTGCGTCGTCGTCGCCGGGTGAATCGCGAGCGTGCGCGCGTCGCCGACGTTCGCGACGTGGGAGATGAGCTTCAGGTTGTCGATGAAATTCCTGCCAGCCGCGGGCGCGTCCGCGGCCTTGAGACCGAAGATGACCATCGGACCGCCCTTGCCCTTGAGGTACTTGAGGTTCTTCGCGTGCTGCGGGTCGTCCTTGAGGCCGGGGTACTTGACCCAAGCGACCTTGGGGTGCTTCTTGAGGTGCTCCGCGACCTTCATCGCGTTCTCGCAGTGACGCTCCATGCGAAGCGACAGCGTCTCGATGCCTTGGAGGAACATCCACGAGTTGTCCGGCGAGATGCACGCGCCGAGGTTTCTCAGCGGCACGGTGAGCATCCTGAGCTTGTACGCGAGCGGCGCGAGCGCGTCCGGGAGGTCGTGTCCCCAGCGGAGACCGCCGTAGGACGTGTCCGGTTTGTCGAACAGCGGGTGCTTGCCCGCGCCCCACGCGAAGCCGCCCTTGTCGATGACCATGCCGCCGACGCCGGTGCCGTGGCCGCCCATCCACTTCGTGAGCGACGTGCAGATGATGTCCGCGCCGTGTTCGAACGGCTTCGTGAGGTACGGCGTCGAGAACGTGGAGTCGACGATGAGCGGAAGGCCGTTCGCGTGCGCGATCTCGGCGACGGCCTCGAGGTCGACGATCTCGAGCGCGGGGTTGGACACGGTTTCGCAAAACACCGCCCTCGTCTTGTCGTCGATCGCCGCCCTGAAGTTCTCCGGGTCTTCCGCGTCCACGAACTTGACGGTGATGCCCATCGTGGGAAGAATGTCGTTGAACTGCGTGTACGTACCGCCGTACAGCTTGTTGCTGGAGACGATGTTATCCCCCGCCTGGGCGAGGGTGATGATGCTGTAGAAGCACGCCGCCGTCCCGGAAGACGTCGCGAGGCCGGCGAGGGGGTGGCCGCCCTCGAGCTGCGCGACGCGAGACTCGAGGACGTGCGTCGTCGGGTTCATGAGGCGGGAGTAGATGTTGCCGAGTTCCTTGAGCGCGAAGAGGTTCGCCGCGTGCTCCGTGTTCTTGAACTGTTTCGCGTCGACGTCGGGGTGGTGGGGGGAAGAGAGGGGGTCGGGCGGTGAGTCAGACTACAGAATTCGTCGACGGTCGCGCTTTTTGTTACTTTTTGACGATCGCGCGAATCGCGGGGGGAAAGAGGCGCGGGGGGCGTACCTGGTACGGCGCGGTGCGGTAAAGCGGCACGCCGCGGGAAGCGCCTTGGCCTAAGCCGTACGTCGCTTCATCCCCGATCGGGGTGTACCCGGCGTGCAAGCAGAGGGTGTCGAAACCTGGGTTGTCGGGATCGTGCGGAGGATCAGCATCTTTCTTTCCGAAGATTCCGGCGCGAATCGTCGTCGATCGCGCGGGAGCGGCGCGACCGCGAACTTTCGCGCGAAACTTCGCGGAGGGTTTCGCGGCGAACGCGACGGAGGGGACGAAAACGGAAGCGGCGGACATCGTGACGTGAAACGCGTGCGCGATCGCGTGCGCGCGTCGAAGTGATCTCGGATCGTATAAAATATCGGTCCGTAAAGACAATCAAGATTGTCAATCGGCGCGATAATCCGATCGGAGGGGGGTTGCGCGCGCGTACCTTGAGACATGATGTCTTCGTGAGCGTGAGTGAAGGTGGGGGAGGCTCAAACACGAGCGCGAAAGGGCGTTCGGGGTGAAAAAAGTTTGAGTCGAGCGTGCGGTCGACGGCGTCGGCGCGTGCGAAAGTGCGAGCGCGCGTCGTCGAAAGCGCCTTCACGTGAGGGGAACGACAGATTTCTGACCTAACTCTGACAGATTTTAACCACCCTGCACCGAATCCTGTAAATAACCAGCCTGTACAACTAGTTGTAACGCTTGATCGCGATTTCACGTGTTTTTCAACCCTCTCAAACGCGAAAGCGGTTGAGATTCCCGATGAATCCTCAACTTAGTCGGCTGACGCGAATCCCGAGAAAACGATATTCCCGCGCTCGCTCGCCCATTTCCCACACTCGGCGACGGACGAGCGCAACAGAAGCCGCGCGGGTACCACGCCACGATGCACGCGCGCACGGAGTCGTCGTGAGCGATCGATCGCGACCTCTCTCCGCGCGCGCGGCCGTCATGAGCGAGTCGTTCTCGCCCGCGGAGCTCCTGGACGCGGAGTGGCCGTCGCACCTCCTCGGGGAGATTCTCGACAACTTGCTCGAGGGCGATCTCACCGCGAAGGAGGAGGCGCTCGCGCAGCGACGGCTCGCGAAGGGCGCGCGCGAGGACGAGGACGGCGAGAACGCGCGAACGGTCCTGAGCGCGTGTCTGCGATTCGCCGGTAAGAAACTTCACGGCGGCGACGGAGGACCGGCGCACCATCACAAGACCGCGTCCGCGCAGGCGTCGAATTGGTGCGCGTGCGCGTTGGCCGTGACGCGCGATGCCCCGCCTACCGCGTCGATATCTTCGGCGGCGTACGATACCTTCCGCGGAGCGTTCATGCGGCACGAGAATCTCGGCGACGTGATGCTCGCGACGACGACGAGGGCGGCGGAGAAGGACGGCGGGAGCCGCCGCGTCTCGGCGTTCGTCGCCCTGGCCGCGGCGTCCTCGAGAACGGTCCGCGACGCCGTGGACGCGCTCGCCGGGTGCGTGAGCGCGATGCCGATCGATGACGTGGACGCGTTCGTAGACGGTCTCGACGAACGCGCGGCGATCGACCTCCTCGAGTGCGCGATCGCGCGCGAGGATCAGACGCTCGCGACGAAGACGCTCCCGTGTTTGTTTCGATCGAAGAGAGAATGCGCGGCCGCCGCGATGAGGCTCGCGTCTCGCGGACTGACGCACGACGACGGCGCGTCGTTCACGAGGTGGAGCGAGACGTTGGCGATAATCAGCGAGAGCTGCGCCGGCTGGTCTCTCGGCGAAGACGACGAGGCGGCCGTGCTCGACTTGGTTCGGAAACTGCCATCGCTCGCGAAAGGAAAGCCGCCGAGGGCGACGTCTCGCGTCGTGCGAGCGCTGACGCGCGTCGTGCACGTCTCGTCGTCGTCATCCTGCCGCGAAGCGTTGAACGCGACCGCGCGCGCGTGCCTCGACGAGAGCGGAACGACCGCGGCGTGCGGCTTATCCATCGCGAGCGAGCTCTTGAGGATGGAAAAGGACGTCTCCGTCGCCGTGGGCGCGTTCGACTCTGGGTTTGAGCACGGGGACGAGTTCGTGACCTGTGTCGCGCACGACCTCGCGTCGGAAGTGGTCGCGAACGCGACGAAGAAGACGGAGATTACGCGGTGGAAGCGCGGCGTGCTCTCCCGCGCGGCGTCTATCGCGAACGAAGCGGTAGAGAAGCTCGCGAACGCGGAGGATGGCGACGCGAGCGCGTTCGCGAAGAGGCTCCCGGCGGTGGCGCGTTTGCATCTCGCGGAGACGCGGACGACGGCGGACGCCGCCGTGGCGTTCACGCGCGACGTGCTTCAGCTCATCGACGGGCTCGTCAAGGGCACGCGCGATGGTTTGAAACAGAATCGAACGTGCTGCTCGGCTCTTCGGTCGGTCGTGGAGATTATGCTCGACGAGTCGGTTCGGTTCCCTTCGAGCGCGGAGAAATGTCTCGAGACCGTCTCGAAGTCGAACGAAGAGAAGACGACGCCGAGCGATCTGAAGAGCTACCGCGCGTTTCTTTTGGACGCGCATCGGGCGATGCAGAGTGTCGCGAGCGCGTCCGCGGATTTCAAGCTGAACGACGCGTCCACCGCGACCGCGTGCCGCGTCACGCTGAGCGGCGCCGCGAAGCTGTTGGACCTGAAAGCGGAAGAACTCGCGAGCGAACACCGCGCCCACGTGTTCGAGACCGCGGCGTCGTGCGTCCGGGAGTCGACCTCGCCTTCTAATTTCCACGCGGAGGAAGATAACGCGAGCGAGAACGTCGTGACGTGCGCGACGCACGCGATGACGGCGTGGCGCGATTGGAGGTCATCGCGCGTCGCGTCCGCGCAGACGCCGACGGCGTTGCAACTCCTGAGCGCGTGCGTCTCGATCGCGACCGCCGCCGGGGACGTCAACTCTGCGCATTCACTCGCGTCTCGCGTCACGAACGAACAGGAGAGAGTCGCCGCCGCGCAGGCGGTCGCGAAGCGCGCGCAGCCCGCGATGGCGTCGAACTCGTTCACGGCCGCGGGACGGGCGGGGAGGCACTTCCCCGCGTGCGGCGTCGCCGCGATGTTTTCTCTCGCGCTTCACGATTTAGTTTCCACGTCTGGGTTGGGGGGCGTTAACGTGGACATCGCGCGCGGGATGCTTCGCGTGACGAGGACCCTGATGCGCGCGAGCGGCAGCGAGCACTCGCGCGACGCCGCGTTCGTCGTGGACTCGTCCATGAGTCTGCTCAGGGACGCGATGTTCTACGACCACGTCATGAAGGCGCCTTCGCTCGCGACGGACGCGACGGAGATCATCGTCGATCATTACCAACGCGTGGACACCGCGTCCGACCGCGTGAGCTCGCTGGCAGACATTCTATTCGACGCGTCGCCGCACCTTGGAAAGGGCAAGCTCCTCGACGCGTGCACCGTGCTCGTGAGCACGATCGAGAGGGATCTGATCGCGCTCGCGAAGACGTACTCGCTCGCGTCTCACTTGGACGTGATATCGGACGCGTCGGTCGCGTTGCAGAAGACGTTGGACGCCGCGCTGAAGTTCACAAAAGCGAAAAGCGATGCCGCGGACGCGAAGAAAGGGATGCCCGGGTTCCTCGTCCTCGCGGTCAAGACCGCGAGGCTCTGTTTAGACGCGGTCTACGCCCAGCCTCAGGACTCGGACGAGCTCGCGGAGGTGATATCCGCGGGCGCGCGGTTGCAAAAGTCGATCGAACTCTTGATGCGGCACTCGGTCCTTCCGTCGCACGTGATGGAAATCCTGCGCCCGTGGCGCGCGGAGCTGTTCTTCGAGAGCGCGCGGATGACGGAGCGGCTCTCGCTGGACAAACACGGCCGCCCGACGGAGTCCGTGAAGGGCTTGGACTCGTTCGTCGACAAGGGCAAGGGCGGGGCGTACCTCGAGGAGGTGATGCACACGCGGGACGAGCTCGCGGCGAGGATGAGCTGGGCGGACGAGTGGGTCGTCGGCGGCGGCGCCGCGGTCGAGCAAGGCGGCGTCAAGTCGGCGACAGCGCACGCGGACGGCGCCGTGAACGGGACGAAAAACGCGAAGAAGCGTCGGAGGCGAAAACGCGACAGGAACCCATACGTCGAAGCCCTGAAAGAGGCCGAGGGCAAGCGCGGAGGGACGAGCCGGGAGTACGACGATCTGGAGGATTTCATCGTTTGCAAGCCGGGGAAGAATTACCGGCGGCTGTTAGGTCTCTGATGAGCGAGGCGACAACGTAGACTACTAGGGAAGCTATTGAAGAACGTAGAAATTTGCCATCCATCCAATCCACCCGCGAATCTCACTCACTCTTGCAGGAGGACGACGTCGACGTGGTCGTGCGCGCCCTGCAGGAGCATCTCCCCATCGAAGTGGATGACTTTCCTCTTCTTCGCAGCTCGAAGGGTTCCGACCAGCGCCTCGAAGATGTTCGCGCAGCGGTCGTCCGCGAACAGCACCCCGAACTTCACCTGCGTCGAGTTGGGACGGACGAACGACGAAACTCAGCGCCGCGCGTTGAAATAACAAGAGATGTCGTTCAACGACTGGAATGGCCGACAGGAACGACGGCGCCGCGCGAGTGTCGCGACGCAGGCGGTCGCCGCGCGCACCGTGGTCTTTCCGTCCACGTTCCCGCCGAGCCGCTTGATCTCCTCGACGAGCTGTTTCACCTCTCCCTCGACGTCGAGCCCCATCTGAGGCGTGCGCGCGCTGGAAGAAGTGACGACTCGAAACGATGGATGGTCGGCGAAACGCGCTGGGGGATGCAGCCGAATGCATGAATGGCGGGTGGAAAAAAATCGATGAAAAATCGTTTGATTGTTTGAACCAAACTGTGTGGGCACACGCTCAGCCAAGCCAGATCACGCGAGCGGACACGGACAGGGACGTGCGAGATGGCGGCCGAGAAAGAAGACACCGCGGTGGGATCAAAACGCGCGCGCGAGGAAGATGCTATTGCTGAGGAGGTGGACGCGAAGAAACCAGCCACGGAGGACGCGAAGGTGGACGGCGCGAAGGATGAGACGGTAAAGTCGGACGACGAACCCAAGGACTCCGACGCGGACAAGAAGGAGGAGAAGCCGTCGACGTCGTCGCTGTTCGGCGGCGGAGCCAGCGCTGGATTCGGAGGCTTCGGGGGCTTCGGTGCTTCCAAGCCAGGCGAGGGGGGCGGCGGCTTCGGCGGTTTCGGCGGCGGAGGCGGCGGCTTCGGCGGCTTCGCTAAAAGTGCCTCGACCGAGGGTGGATTCCCGTCGCTGTCGAAGGTGTTCGGCGACAGCGACAAGCCGGTCCAGCTGTTCGGCGCGAAGCCGGCGGCGGCGACGACGGACGAAAACGGCGACGACGTCACCCCCGAGAGCGCCCCCGCGGAGACGAAGCCGGTTATTTCCCTGAAAGAGGAGGAGGTCACGACCGGGGAGGAGGACGAGGACTGCATCTTCACGACCGAGGGCGCGCTGTACGAGTTCACAACCGAGGAGGGCAAGGCGCCGTCGTGGAAGGAGCGAGGACGGGGGGAGTTGCGGGTGAATTTGACCAAGACCGGCGGCGCTCGGATGATCATGCGCGCGAAGGGTAACTACAGGCTGATCTTAAACGCGGCGATGTGGAAGGGGCAGACGTTTACGAAACAGGAAGGAGGGAAAGGTTTATCGTTCCCGTGCAAAAACGCCGTCGCCGGCGAGGTACGTCGCTAAGCCGCTCGCTCCCGACGCGTTCGTTCGCTTCGATCTCACGACCGACTCCGCACACGGTTCTGATTTTCTTTCTCTTCTCGTCTCCCGGTGCAGGACGCGAAGATGAGCACGTTCGCTTTGAAGATGCGCGTCAGCGCGACGCACGTCGTGCAACAGGTCGAGGAGTTCGAGAAGGCGACGAAGAAGGCGCTGAACAGCATCAAGAGCGAAGCGGACGACAAGACACCCGAGGACGAGTGAAGGGAGGGGGTCGAGGCACGAGTCACCGCCTGTAGAGGTTTTGCTTGGTTGAACACTAGCTCTTGAACGAAGATACAAACGCTTCACCTACGCTTTTATTTTTCGTCTTCCGGAACGATTATCACGTAAAGAGCTATTTTTCATAGGGTGCTGAAGCACGTTTTCATCGAACGTCTGAACCCGAATGCCTTCTATCATTCAATTGACCGCGGAACGAAAGTATTTATAATAAATCGTTAATTTTAACCCTTGATTTCCGGGTACTGTACCTTAACCCCACGCTTTCACTGGATTCCCAAGTATTTTTTTAACGGAGCGAGCGAGACCTTGAAGATCAAAATTTACGGAGGAGAGGGACATAACTTCTTTCCACGAAACAGTTGCACATTCACAGTTCTTGTCTATTGAAAGTCAAATATTTCATCATGTTACCTTCTTTCTCGTCGAGACGCAAGTACCTACTACCTATGTGCGACCTCAAACCGCGACAAATAGTATTTATTTACTTATTTAACTACTCGTCCCTGAAGCGAAACAGTATTTGCTTACTAACTTACTGACTCGTCGCTGAAGTGAAACCGTATTTATTTACTCACTCATCGGCGTAACAGTATCAACTTATTCACACATTCTCTCACAAAAGGGCGCGCGCGGTAGGTTCCCACTTATTTATCCATTTCAGTAAAGGGAAAGAAGGTAAAGAAAGAGTCACCGACAAACCTCTGACACAATCATGAAAACGAAACGCCGAGTTAAGAAGCCGAGTTAAGAACGCAAAACAGGGGCCAGTCTTTTCAATACACATCGCATGGTCCATCTGCGCAAAAGTAAGAAAAAAAATCACATCGAAATCAAAAGATAAGCGCAATAATCGCACCACTTCACATCTAAGATGCTCAAAAACATTAATTCCACTTCACCGATTCCGAAATACTCGCCGCGTTGCCGTCGCGAATCATTTACACCGGCCAAATTATGCCAAACGACCCATGTGTACAGAGTCGATCTCCACGCACAATTTCACATTCCCTTTCGGTGAGATAACTTCTCAAATACACAAATTATGGTGCAAATCGGAATCTCCCTGTTCAACGACACTTTGTTCGAGACATCCACCAAATTGCGTGATTAGAGCTATGAAGCGTTCTTATTCGACGGAACAATGCGCCAACGTGTTTTACGTCGCACGGTTTGCACGGAATATCCCTCAACGCTCGCTGTGGTTGATATATGCGATCGCTTTAGGATATTTGTGTTTCAAATCGTGCTTACGAGTTTTTTTTTGCTTGCAGTCTTTTCATATTCATAAGTTATGTTTGTTTCGCTCATGAAATATGCACTTTACCCCATCTGATAAGATGCACACAAGATGCCTCAATATTTTACCGCCGTTCGCGACTTTTTTCTTTGTCTTCATTGCCCGCACGTCGCTTTTTTGGTTTCAAGTTTCTCATTTTCTTCAGTTCATGATTCGCTTTCACCTCCGAAAAGCCTGAAAGATCGTGTACATCTTCAGTGAGAACATTTTTCGGCATGCCGCCGGCGAGTCTTGCGCTTGATTAAATTATCTTGCGGGTCGATGATCGGTTTGCATCAACTCCGTCGGTAACTTCCAATTTCCGCGCGGAATATACACCGCTCGTGACGGAAAAACGCGCTCCTTGCGTTCTGTCGAGGTCGACGTTTTCCTCGCGAGCGCGTGTTTTAAGCAAGGTTTTGAGCAGTGTTTGTCGCTGCGGGTGTGCTCCCGTGACTCCGCGCGTGTGTTTGAGTGAAAAAAGCAGGTTCGCTGGACAAGCTTCTCGGTTTTCACTCCCCCTGGCAAAGTTTCGTTCGTCGCCAAAACTATGACGTTTTCGTGAGACCATGCCAGTCGTGGGATTTCTCTCCTTCTCGTTCTCTGGTCGTCGGTTTCGTCTCCCGTCCAGTCCAGTTCTCCGCTCCGGTCCTTGAAAAAATGATTTTTCCGAAAATCAAACAAAAATCATCGATCGACGGTCTGTGAACCGTCAAAAAGTCCCGCTTCGTCGAATTCCTCAGTTTCCGCTCCGTGAAATTCGGGCCCGAGCCGCTTTCCGCCGACCAGGACGGATCTCCGAGTTCCGAGTGTGGATGACGGCTGGCGAAAAAAGTGAGCGTCTCACCCTCGAGCCGTTCGATCGACCGTCAGCCTCCCTACCCTGCACTCTCACCTCAGAGTTCGCGTGCGCGCCACACGGACGACACTCGACCCCGTCAGCCTCTGACGGCGTGGCTTGAGTCCCCCACCGGCGAATCACCGCGTGACCGCTAACCAACGCCGCCAATCAACATGAGCGCCGTCGCTTCGCAATCGGCCATCGCGCCAACCGCCGCCGCTGCTCTCAAGCACCGCAAGCGCACCACGCGCCGTGCCGCGACGCGATCCGTGTCCGTCAAGGCGTCTGCGGGCACGCTCGAGAAGCTCTACCTCGAGCCCATCAAGAAGATCGAAGGCACGGTCACCCTCCCCGGGTCCAAGTCCATGTCCAACCGCATCCTCCTCCTCTCCGCGCTCGCGGAGGGTAAGACGAAAGTCCTGAACCTCCTCGACAGCGACGACATCCGATACATGGTCGACGCGCTGAAGCAGCTCGGACTCGAGATCACGGAAGATCGCGCGAACAACATCCTCGAGATCGAAGGCTGCGCCGGGAAGATCCCGGTGAAGGGCGCGGAGCTCTTCCTCGGGAACGCGGGGACCGCGATGAGGCCCCTCACCGCGGCCGTCGCCGCCGCCGGCGACGGAACCTTCATCCTCGACGGCGTCGAACGCATGCGAGAGCGTCCGATCGAAGATCTCGTCGACGGACTCAAGCAGCTCGGCGTCGACGCGGAGTGCACGATGGGCACGGGCTGCCCCCCCGTCAAGGTCGTCGCGAACGGCCTCCCCGGCGGCCGCGTCGAGCTCAAGGGCTCCGTGAGCAGCCAGTACCTCACCGCGCTCCTGATGTCCGCGCCGCTGTCGACGGGCGACATCGAGATCGTGATCACGGACATCCTCGTCTCGAAGCCGTACATCGACATGACGGTCAAGCTCATGGAGCGCTTCGGCGTCGAGGTCGGCGTCTTCGACGATATGCAGCGCTTCGTCGTGAAGGGCGGTCAGACGTACAAATCCCCGGGAGAGGCGTTCGTCGAAGGAGACGCGTCCTCGGCGTCGTACTTTCTCGCCGGCGCGACGATCACGGGCGGGAAGGTGAAGGTCATCGGGTGCGGCACGGATAGCTTGCAGGGTGACACGAAGTTCGCGGACACGATGGGTTTGATGGGCGCGAAGGTAGAGTGGGGCAAGAACGACGTCACGGTCACGGGACCGGGCGGGAAGTTGAAAGCGATCGACGTGAACATGAACGCGATGCCGGACGCGGCGATGACGCTCGCGGTCGCGGCGCTGTACGCGGACGGCGTCACTACCATCCGCGACGTCGCGAGCTGGAGGGTTAAGGAGACCGAACGGATGATCGCGATCTGCACGGAGTTGAGGAAGCTCGGGTGCGACGTGTTCGAGGGTGAGGACTACTGCGTCATCACGCCTCCGGCGAGCGGGAAGATCAACGAGGGCATCGACGTCGACACGTACGACGATCACCGCATGGCCATGGCTTTCTCCTTGGCCGCGTGCGGGGGTGTCGGGGTGACTATCAACGACCCCACGTGCACGAAGAAAACGTTCCCCAACTACTTCGACGCGCTCGCGGAGGTGTGCGTGTGAGCGAGACGATCGATCCTAACTCCGTCACTGATTATTAATAAGAGTTCTCCTCTCTAAGCGTAAAGAATAGGCTCAATGACCAGGCGGCTGCGTCACCTGGTTGAGCTCCGCGAAGCGCATGCTCACGCGGGACGAGTGCTTCAAGAATTTCTCGCAGCACTTGCTAACACACTGCGAAGACGCGGGCAGGGCGGGGGCGTCAGCGAAGATTTGGAAAGGAGATCTGCGTACGTGGTCGATCGAGAAAGGCACGCACCCTCTCCTCGTCTTTCTCGAGCGTCTTTCGCCTGAAGCTCTGCACGCACGTGTCGAAGCATTTCTCCACGAGGTTGTTGTACATACGTAGACTATCGCGGGTTTGCATCCCCTCGATCATCGTCGCCATGCGCTTCTCGTCCTCAGGCGAGATGCCCTGCATCTGCTGGTTGGGATCCATCTGTGCCGCGGTGTTTTAGGGTTACGCCTGCTGGCGTCTCGTCGCTTCTCCTCGAGCTCGCTCGCGGATCGCGTGTGCGTAGCGACTTTCGCCTCGCGTACACCTGATGAAGTCCGGTAGAAATCGGAGCTTCGATCCCACGCTTCTGGCCGCGTGCGCACACGTAATGACGATCTGTGGCTGCGCCTCCACCACTCACGAGCTGATTTCGGAGTCGGCCGCGGAAATCACGAGAGGCAGAGGTGTTGTTTTTGGCAGTGACGCGGGAGCGAGAGACGCACTCCCGCGTGCGCAGCCGCACGTCGCGCGAAGTAATATGATACTGCAGCACGCCGAAGCGCTGTGCGCGAGACGCCTCATCCTCGCGTCGGCGTCGCCGCGCCGGAAAGAGATCCTCGGTAACCTGGTGAGTCGCGAGACGCGGTGCCTTCTTTCTCGTCGGATTCGTCGTGTTGGATTGTCAAATTGCTGAAGCTCTGCTTCTCCGACGCGCAGGGGTTGAAGTTCGACGTCGTCGTTTCCAATTTCGACGAAGATCTGGATAAATCCACGTTCACCGGTGGCGCCGAATACGCCTCCGCGACGGCGACGCACAAAGCGATGGAGGTCGCGACGCGGTTGGAGAAGGAGAAGCCCGCGCCGTTCGTGGTCATCGGCGCGGACACCGTCGTGGAAGGCCCCGACGGCGCGATACTCGAGAAACCCAAGGACGCTAACGAGGCGATGAAGATGCTCCTGTCGCTCCAGGGGATCACTCATCAGGTCCACACCGGCGTCGGGGTCATTTTCCCGAACAACGGCGGCGGCGGCGAACGTCTCGTGAAAACGTTCAGCGAGACGACGAAGGTGACGTTCGCGCCGCTGGGCGAGGCTGAGATCGCGGCGTACATCAAAACGGGCGAGCCGTTCGATAAAGCGGGTGGATACGGTGCGCGCGGGGGTTTCTATTCGTCTACACATCTTTCCTTCATCAAAACACATCGTGCTGAAGGTTTTCTACGAACACTTCGTGCATCACTTACTTGTCCGCGTCTCGCGTTTCGTTCGTTCGTTTCGCAGGGATCCAAGGTCCCGCGGGAGCTTTCGTGAGTTCGATCTCCGGGTGTTACTTCAACGTCATGGGGTTCCCTGTGCACAAGTTCGCGGACGTGGTATCAAAAATGATAAAAGAGGGAGTCATTCAACCGTAGAAACAGGGGAATCGTACCCTTAGCCTGGGAAGAGAAGTAGCCGACTAACATTTCACCTTGCCGGGGGGAGCGGCCACGGCTGCTTTCCCTTTGCCACCCTTCGTCGCCGCAGATGCCGTCGTCGACGCGTGTAGCTTTTCCGTGGACTTGTCCATCTCGAACGCCTTGAGCTCGGTCTTGTAGAAAACCAAAGCGTAGTTGGTCGCAGCGCCAGGGCCTCGCAGTCGAACCAGCGCGCGGTCGTACGCTCGCGCGGCCGCAGCTTCTTCGTTGTACAAGCCGAGGTAGATGTGCTTCGACCCGGGCATGCCGATTCGCGCCTCCCATCGCCCGTTCGGGTGGTGCGTGACGCCTCGGAACCCCGAAGACCCGCGCGCGAACCCTTGACTCTGCCTGCGAATCGCCATCACGAGCTCCTCCAGGCTGACGGACGCCATGAACGAGCTCAGCTCCGCGTACTTCGCCGCGGGAAAATTCAATCGCACTTTCCTCGTGCCGTTGTTCCCCGCGCCGCCCTTGCATTTCATCGCCGCGACGTCGTACGCCTCCGCGGCGTGCTCCTCTGTGTCGTATCCCCCCAAGTACATCTGTTTCCCGGTCTCTTTCACCCAGATGTGCGCCTCCCATCGTCCGCTCCGCTTGTGCTTCGTCACGCCGCGGTACTGCGACGAGCGTTGTTTCCCGTCCGGGGTGTTTGGCGGGATCGCGTCGCACACGAACTGCAGGTCGTGGATGTTCACGAGGTCATCCGCGTCGTCCGTCCCGGGCGTGGGCTTGCTCGTCGCGCTGCCGCTGCTGTGGTTATCCGACGACAGCAGCCCGACGCCGTTCGCGCCGATCTTGCTCTTCTTCGTTCCCTCGCTCGGGTTCGCGTTCTTCCCCGCGCGCGCGCGTTTGTTGTTGTCGTTCTTCTTCTTCGCGTTCGCTTTGTCGGCGTCTCCGGCGGTTTTGTTCTGGATCACCGTCGACGTCAAGACCGCGGTGAAGACTTCCTTACCCGCACCGCCCATGTCAAACGCGGCACCTTCCGCGATCGCGCCCTGCACTGCGGCCGCGGTCGCGCACGCGCGGCGGATCTTCTCGTCGTCGCCGAGACTGTCCGCGGTGGCGCCGTTCAGGGCGACGCCCACGCCGCCGCCGGGGGCGTGCTTCCCTCCGTCGATTTGCCACTGCATCTTCATCAGTTCCGCGCTCACGCCCGCGGCCTGTGGGAGCGTGTTGCCGTCCGTCATGTGTGCGTGTGCGCCGTTCTTCTTGTCGTCGAAGCCGAGCTCTGTGGAGACGGGGACGACGTGGAGTCGAGGGCGAGAAGGAGGGACGGACGCTGAAGAAAAAAGAAACGAAGGGAAAAGGAGCAACGACGGGCTTGGATCTGGAGCGTGCGCGCGTTAGACGCGCGATGGACGCGCGCGATACGCGCACGCCGACGCGTCGCGCGAATAATGAGGCGGTCGCGGCGGGCGCGCACCCAGCAGCTCCGTGTCCGATAAGAACGTCGGGTGCGTGTCCCAACCGGATATGACACGCGAAGAAAGCAGTTCCTGCGCGTTGGCGTCGACACCGTTCGCGTCAGGCAGAGCTTCCATGTCGCGCACGCCGCGACCTTTCACCAGATCGCGCACGCGCGTCGACGCGTTTCGCGATCGTCAAGCGAACCTCCCGACGAAGATGGGAAGGGACGCACCGCGCGGCGCGGCGTCGCGTATGAGGGCAGCCTCGCGACCTTTCGACGCACACGGAAGAAAGAAGAGGTCCCGAGCGGGGGCTCGTCGCACCTTCCGAGGAAAACCCGCGCGACAGCCAATCGATGCCCGGAAACGACGTTTTATCGGTCGGAGCCCATGTTTCGTTGTCTCGTTTTCGGGGTCATCCCAGGTTGGAGGAGGCGAAAGGGCATTTTTGGTTTCGGAAAAATCAGCCGAGGACGACGCTTGACGAGCGCTCGTGCAACGCGCGCTGCCGGGACGACGGGTGTTAACGTGTACATGATATCATTGGATTTAATATAGAGGCGAAGGATATTTAATCGCTATCCTCCTCCTCAGACGAGGATGCCTCTTCGAGCCAGGCGATGAACGCCTTCGCCTTCTCCAGGAACCTCGCGTCCGCGTCCGGCTCGATCGCCACCGCATTCGTCTTCTTCTGTCTCCACGCGAAGATCGCCTCCTCGGAGAGGATGTCCTCGTCGAACAACACCTTCAGGGTCTGCCCCGCGCAGCCTAAGAACCGCACACCGCCCGTCCGGTTCACGAACGGAGACGCGGACAGCGCGAGCGCTTCGACCTTCTCGATCGCGAGCACCTGCTCGGAGCGCTTCTTCAGCAGCGACTCGATCAGCTCCGTGTTCGCTTCGACCACCTTCGTGAGCGCGGCGAGGAGCTCCTTGTCCGTGCCAGCCATCTCCGCCGGGTGAATCTTCGGCGCGTCCGCGGGGAGGCCGTTAGGCGCGGGCAGCACGAACGACATCGCGGACGTCAACACGAACGCCCCCGTCTCCGCGAGCGACCGGCCTTTATCCTCCGCGAGCTTAGTGAGCGTCGCGACCTCCGCGGCGGTGTCCCTGCCACCGCTTTGCATCTTGAGAACCGCGAGTTCGACGTCTTTCTGGTAGTCCTCCTCGGCCTTGTTCTCCTCGTCCTCCGCGCTCTGCCCGAGCGTCGAGCGTCGCAGCGTGCGCAGGGAGTAAAAAATAGCCGTCCCGTCGCGACGGAGACGACCTAAGAACTGCTGGAGATCCTCCCAGGCGAGCAAGCGACCGAGATCTTCCTGCAGGAGGAGCGTGTCCACCGCGGGACAGTCCGTACCGTAGATGGACGAATAATCCACGACGAGGACGTTGAGCGGCGGCGCGCGACCTTGCAGCGAGTCCGGGACGGTGAGCAACGCCTGGTTATACAGACGCTTCACCATCGGCTCCGTGCCGGAGCCGCACGCGTACGCGATGCCCTTGGACAGCATGATGAGGGTGTCGATGTCCGCGTCTACCGCCTCCGCGAGGCTAATCTTGAGCATCGGTCGCAGGGTGATCAATCCGATCTGTCCCTCGGTGTCGTCGCCCATCTGCGCCTCCTCTTCTTCGTCTTTTTTCTTCGCGCGCTTCTCCGCCTTCGCGGACTCCTTCATCCCCCTCTCCGCTTCCTTGAGCTTCGCGTTGATCTTGTGCACGTCCTGCTGCCACTGTTCCTGGTTTGCGAAGCCCGCGAGGTCCATCGCGACCTTCCTCGGGTCGATGCAGCCGACCATCGTGACGCCCTCCTTGGACAGCGCGCCACGGATGCCGTCCACCTTCGTGGGCGCGCCCTCGCCCGTCGCCCATTGCGCGCGTAAGCGCGTGAAATCCGCGTAGGACAGGTTCTTGAAGATCGGCTCCACCGTCTTACGCAAAGACTTGACGTCGCCCTGGATCTTATCCCAGGCCCCGCCCGGACCTTTGATCCCCATGAGATCGTTACCCTGCCGACAGGACAAGTGTCTCAGCAAGAGCAGCGGGAGACGATCGTCCTTCATCACGCGTAGGAACTCCGCGTGGTTGTTGAACATCCCGAGCGGGCTCACGGGACTGACGGTCTGCTTCTCCGCGTTCCACACGTGCAGCGTAGACATCGGGAGGTCGTACGGCTCGAGCGAGATCGTGATCTGCCGCGCCGGGTCGGGACCGCGCCACCACTGCTCGAGTCCTTCCCAGGGACCTAGCGTCGCCGATGCGAGCACGGCGGCGATCGGCATGTGCGCCTGAATCACGCTCACGACGCCTAACACGTTCGGGTCGAGATGGATACCCATGTTCGGCTCGTCAAAATACAACAGGAGGTTGTTCTTGTGGTAGAAGCTCCCCGGGGCCGCGGTCGCCGCGGCTTTCATGAGCGACGCGGTCGTGTTGAGATCCGCGATGATGATGTCCGGCTTACCCGCGCCGCGGTCCTTCAGCTTGTAACCGACGTCCGCGGCGTACTCGAGCTGCTGCTCGATCGTGCCGCTCCCCGCGCTCAGCTTCTCTCCGATCGCGGCTTTCGCGCGCATGGCTTTTCTGTTCCTCGCCTTGTCGCGAATCGAGTACGGCCGACGGACCTGGTGTAAAGTCCCGTCGCCGCTGTGGTCTCTCGCCGCCGTCCAGTACGGCGCCGCGTGCGCTTCGCACTCCTGACCGACGCGCTTCAGAACTTGCTTCGTGGGGACGGAGTACACCAAGATCGCGTTCGGGTGCTTCACCTTGAACAGACGCAGATGCACCATGAGCGCGGTGAACGTCTTACCGGACCCCGTCGGCGTGGAGAGGACGACGTGCAACGGCAGCGGCAGCTTCTCGTTGTTCTCCACGGCTCTGTTCACCGCGGTGTAGTGCGCGTCGAGCTCCTCGAGGAGGTCGTGCTGGTGCTTGTACATCCGCGCGACGCCACCGGATTGCGCGCCGCCTTTATTCGTCCACAGGTGCATCGCCGCGAAGGCTTGGTCTTTGATGCGGTCGGAGCACTGATCCCACACGATCTTCGCGGCGATCGCCTCGACAGAGTCCGGCCCGTGCTTGAGGGCTTCGCGTCGCAGGAACAAGTGATCCGCGGGCTGCGCGTCCACGACCGCGTTGAGCCATCGCACCGTGTGCTTGCCGTACTCGCGCATCGCTTTGATTTCGTCTAACACGCCCTTCGCCCAGAGCGACTGCAGCCTTTTCTTCTCCGATTTGTCGTTCGACGCTTCCTCGTACTTCTTCGGGAAGCACTCCTTCACGAGGTTCTTCCACAGGTCCGCTTCTTTCCTCTGGACGTAGAAGAACTCGAAGACCTTCTGCTCGAGAAGCGCGGGGGGCGCGTCGAGAGCGCCGTCCCACGGCGCGATCTCGCGCATGATTCGGAAACCGGTGCTGCCTCGAACTTTCGCCACGAGGTCGCTGTTGTCGATGTCCGCCCAGTCATGGCTCGTGAGACCGGAACCGACGTCGACCTTTAACGTGCTGTTGTTAGGATCGAAGATGGGGTCGACGTCACCCCCGATGTGTCCATCGTCGTCGTCGGAGTATTCGCCGTCGCTCATGTGGCGTGCGGCGTGTCGTTGGAAAAGACCGCCCCGGCGGCTCAGATCGCGAAGAAGAATAACGCGCGTGAGAAAAAGCAGTTCAGTTAGGGTTCGTTGCTGTCGCGGATAGGATCGAAGGCGATCGAATGCCGCGGCACAATCGTCGACGCGCGCTGCACTCACAACCGGCGCATATCACACGATGGCGGTCCGACGACGCGCGGGGAGCGCGCGGAAGATGCCCGCGTTCAGCCGGATCATCAACTGCCACACCGAGGAGGAGTACGCGAAGGTGTTCAGGAAAGCGGGCGACGGCGGGTTGGTCCTCGTCGAATTCGTCGCGGGGTGGAGCACGTCGAGCAAGTCCATGGCGCCGTACATGACGACGCTCGCGAAATCGCCGGAGTACAAGAAGATCACGTTCGCGCGCGTGGACATGGAAGCGCTCCCGGGCGTCGCGCAGAAGTGTAACGTGAAAGCGCTGCCGACGTACCAGCTGTGGAAGGGCACGGAGAAGCTCGACGAGATGTCGGGCGCGATGCCGGCGAAGCTCGTCGCGATGTTGAAGACGCATCACGTCGCGAAGAAGAAGAGCGGACCGATGGGCTACGTCGCTCTCATCGGCGGCGTCGTTCTGACGATCTTCGCGCTGTTGAAGGTGAAGGACACGATCGAGGAGTGGGAGGCTGAGGAGGAGGAACGCGCCGCCATCGCGGAAGCCGAGGAGGAGGCGCGGCGCATGGCCGAGGAGGAGGCGATTCGCGCGCGGAAGGAGCGCATGCGGCGGCAGGCGCAGCAGGCGAAGGAGAGGTGAGCGATCGCCCGGGTGACATTTAGAGAGAGAGAGTGGCGCGATATTACGCGCCGTGTGATGAAAATGTACGTTCAATCAATCGCTGCCGTCGTCGGTCTAATCAAATCGCTCGTCGTTCACAACCCGAACTCGCTGAACATCTGTCGCTCTTGCTGCTGCTGCTGCTGCTGCTGCTGATTCTGGGGCGGGATCCCACCCATCTGCGGCGGCATCATGCCCCCCATCTGCTGAGGCATCATCCCGCCCATCCCCTGCGGCATCATGCCGCCCATCGCGCCGCCCATCTGCGGCTGCTGCTGCGGCATCATCCCGGGGCGCATCCCTCCCATCATCTGCGGCGGCACCTGCCCCATCTGCCCCATCTGTCCCATCTGCCCCATCTGTCCCATCTGTCCCATCTGTCCCATCTGTCCAATCATCTGCGGAGGCATCTGCGCGGGGTACCCGCCGCCGAATCCCCCGCCCATCATCCCGCCGTTCGGCATCCCGCCGCCCATCATCCCGCCGTTCGGCATCATGCCGCCCATCGTCCCGCCGTTGCGCATCATCCCTCCCATCATCCCGTTCTGCTGCGCGCCCGGGAAAGCACCGGGCTGAGGCGCGTCGAACAGACTCATGATGTCGTCCTTGGACACCTCCGGTTTCGCCGCCGCCGGCGCGGCGGCGTCCGCGAACGCTCCCCAGTCGTCCCCGCCCCCCGGCGACGCCGGGTTCGCGGGCGCCGCGGCGGCGGCGAACGCGTCGAACCCGCCGGCGCCGGCGCCGGCGTTCGCCGCGATCGTCGGGGCGTAGTCCGACGACGGCGCGGCCAAGCCGCTCAGCGCGTCGAACCCGTCGGTCGCGCTCGACGCGACGCCGGACTGCGGCTGCGCCGTCGACGCCTGCGCGGCCGCGGATCCGAAGTCCGCCCACCCGCCGCCGGCGTCTCGTCGCGCGGGAGGCGCCGCGGGCGCCTGCGGCGTCGGCGACGCGAGATCGAGCAGGTCGAACATCCCGCCGCCCGCGGGCGCGGCCGGCGCGCGCGCGCCCATCCCCACGTCGATGCGCGGCGCGTCGTTCACCGCGCGCGCGGGCGCGGCGTCCGCCGAGCTGCCGTCCCCCGGCGTCGGCCCGTCGATCGTCCTGTCCGCGTACGCTCTCCTCTCGTACTTCGCGCGGATGAACCGCTCGACGGTGGGGAGATCCGACGTCTTCGGCTTCGCCCCCGGCGGGATGTTCTTCTCCCAGTACGCGTTCGCGCGTTCGTTCCCCATCTTCTCCATGAACGCGACCTGATCTTCCGTCCACTTATCGAGCTGCGTGCTCCTGACGCGCGAGATGTGCACGCCCAGGCCGCGATGTATGCCGCTGCAGTTCGTGCACATGAAGACGCCCAAGTTCAACGACGCCCACCTCGGCAGGCGCATCGGGCAGTCCACGCACAGGATATTCTCCGGGCGTTTCAGGCACGCGTTCAGGCGCTTCATGAGCGCCTCGTGCGCGCGTTCCGCCGCCATCGCGTGCGTCCGGGGCCGGTCCCCGAGCGCCGTTCAAACTGTCACGTCACACGAGAACGCGCGAGATCGAGAAGAGACAGCAGATCGAGCGAGCGAAAACTCGCAGCTTTTTCCGACCGACCGCCCACAATTTCTCGAAAAGGAAGACAGATGGAGACAATTTCATGGTTCGCAGACCGTCAAACCGCCTCGGGCCAATGAGATACTTTCGCATGATATGATATCGTTTGTGGAGTTCGAGGACGAGGAGCATTCGCCCGTCCTCCGCGCGGCATAACTTCCAGCGCGCGCGTGGAGGACGCCGCGCGTGTCGTCGCGAGTTTCTTCGAGAACTCGCTCCGCGCGACTTCGCGCGCACGCGCGAAACCCGCGCGTCGTCGTCGTATCGCGACGCCGCGGAAGGCGAAGGCGTAGGGTTTTTTTTTCCTTCTCGAGCGAGAAGAGAGAAAGAATGACGTCGGCGCCCGGGGCGAACGCGGGGGAGAGTATCGCGCCCGCGGGCGCGGTCGGGGTCAAGAAAGAGGAGACCGCGGTCAACAAAGAAGACTCCGGGGACTGGCTGGCGGACATCTTCGACGCCGTGGACGAGGACGCGATCACGTCCCTCGAGATGGGAGACGTCGCGCTGCCGCAGGATATCCTCGCGAAGGTGGACGAAGGATCCGCGTCGGCGGTCGCCGCGGGGAAGAAAGAAGAGGGCGTCGGCAAGCGGGGGAGGGGCGAGGGCGGGGAAGAGCTCTCGAAGGTGAAGAAATCTCGTCGGGAGAAGCTCAGGCGCGAGGCGCTGAACGACCGGTGCGTCCGCGCGCCGCGCAAGATCGCGCGCCCCTCTTGTCTTTTATCACGCGCGCGTAGGGTTTTTCCCTAATTTCAACAATGCCGACTGACGGACCCGCCTCCCCCCTCTCCTATCCCTCGATCAGGTTCATGGGTCTCAGCGCGCTGCTCGACCCGAGCAAACCCCCGGCGACGGACAAGGCGACGATCGTCACCGAGGCCGCGGCGGTGATCTCGTCGCTCAGGAAGCAGCTCGCGGAGCTCGGGGAAAACCTCGAGAAGCTGACCGCGTCGAACGAGGCGCTCGAGACGGAGAAGAACGCCCTGGCGAGCGACAAGGCGAGCCTGATGCGGGACAAGGTGGCGCTTCAGCAGGAGAAGCACAAGCTCGAGCACCAGCTGCACGTGTTCATGGGGTCGATGCCGTTCGCGTCGCCGCCGCCCGGGATGATGGTGATGCACCACCCCCCGGGGGCGCCGCCGCCGGGCGCGGCGATCGTGTCCTCCACCGCGAGCGGCGCGAAGGTGGGCGGGCACCCGGGCGGGATGATGCCGATGATGTGGAGCTTCCCTCCCCTCGTCGTGCAGAGCACGACCGCGGAGGAGGACGCGAAACTGCGAGCGCCGGCGGCGTAAGGATTCATTCTATTTGTAACGAATACTCGTACTACCATCCAAGACGAACGGCTCGTCTCTATCGCGTCGCGCGGCGCGGCGTCTAAAGCGGCGTGCGGAGCGGGCTATCGTGTCCTAATCTTATCCTAATCGCGCGAACCGAACGTCGTCGCGTCACGTCTCGTTCCCCTCGTCCGGGATCTTCTCGTCCGGCCACGTCGGCGGCATCGGGTGCCGCTCCAACCGCGCGAAGTGCAGCCCTCGCAGCATGCTGTTTATCTCCGCGTACGTGGTCCCCGCGCCGAGGGATCCGGGCCCGGAGTCCGCGCTCATCGGCTCGTGCTCGTCCATCGGCGGGCGCGTCGGCGACGGCGACCGCAGCGCGGGCGCCTCGGTCTCGTTACCGACGGTCGCGCGCGTGGAATTCCCGCTCACGACGTCAGACGTCGTCGTCGCGACCGCGTCTCCTCCCGTGTTCAGCCGCTTCACCGCGCGCTGCAGCTCCTTCACCTCGTTCTCGTCGTCCGTCGGCTCGAGCGCGCGCTTCGAGCGCGTCGAGCGCGTCGACCGGCGCGTCTCCATCGTCGCCTCTTCGCCTCCCCCCTTCCCCACGTGTCGTGTCAACAAAGTGGCCCAACCGCCCCCCCCCCCGACGACGTGTCGTCGACGCGGCGCCTCCGTCTCGGTTCCCCGGACCACGCGAGTTCACGGACGGTCGAGCGGGTGCACGTCGTCCACGGGACGGCGTCGACCGCGTCGCTCTCGATTCGCGCGGCGCTTCCACCAGCCGTGGCTGCGCCCTCGCTTGTGAGGACCGAACGCCCCTCGTTTTCAATAATTCGTCGTAAAATGCGTGACTCAAACCCAGATCCGAGACCATTGCTCCTCGCGCGATGGGGAAGACGACGGCCGCGAAGAAACCCTTCGGGAAGAAAGCCCCTTTCGGCACGACGAAAGGGGCTTTCGGGAAGGAAGGCAAAGGAGGGGCGAAGGGGAAAGGGAAAGGGGGGAGACCGCTCGCGAAGATGGTGCGCCGAGATTCGTTCACCGCCGCTGTTCGTCGCTTTCGTCTCGACACCCCCCGCGCGCGCTGAAGATTGACATCGCCCCACCCACTCGCTGTTTTCCAGGAATGCGGACAAGAGAAGACGAAACGAGGGGGGGAGGCCGTTTTCGACGACAACGTTCGCAGGTGAGCGCCCGAAGCACCACACGTCGTAGAATCGAATCCGACGACGCGCTTTTACTTTTTCTCACCCCCGCCCGCGTCTCTCGCTCTCTTCCAGGGACTGGGTCACCGGATACGGCAAACGCAAGACGCAGCGAAGAAAGTACGCGGTCAAACAAGCGGAGGAGAAGGCGAGGAAGGAGCGGCTGCAGGAGCGTAAAGAGCGACGCGAGGAGTTCCGAAAGACGCACGGGCTCACGGACGACGCGGGCGGCGGCGACGGCGACTCGAAACCAGCGGGGGCGGTGGACACCGAGGTCGTGGAGTACGACTCAGGGGTCACGGTAATCGTCGAGGGGATAGATTAACGCGCGCTCTCTACTCTCTACAGCAGGGCGACATCACGGGAACGATCGCGCCGACGCGGCGCGTCATCAGTAGTCGCTCCAATCCTTTTTCCCCCGCAGCGACTTCTTTTCGCTCCCTCGCTTCTTGTCGGCGAGCCGAATCTTGTTCGCCTTGTTCGCCTGCTTCGCCACCTTCTTCGCCTTCGCCTTGTTCGACTTGCTGTTCGGCAGCTTCGACGCGCGGTTCAGGCACGACTGCATCTTCTCCAGCGCGTCGTCGATGTTTTTCGACTGCGTCCGGTGCCGCGACGACTGCATCACGAAGTCCCCGTCCTTGTTGATTCGGTTCTTCTCTAAGATCCGCAACCGTCTCGAGACCCACGGGTGGAGCCAGTCTTTGTTCGCGTCCAAGTTCAGGCGCATGTCCACCTTCGTGTTGACTTTGTTCACGTTCTGACCCCCCGCGCCGCCGCTTCGCGCGAACGTGATGACGACGTCTTCCCTCGTCAGCGCCCGAGGCGGGTCCGCGCACTCCCCGGGCTCCGGCATCGGGAGGGTCTCGTCCACGCGAGGGCCTTGTATCCCTCGCAGCGACGCGACGTCCTTCTCGGTTTTGACCGCGACGGAGTCGTCGTCGTCGTCGTCGTCGTCGTCGTCGTCAGCCTGCGAGAAAAGGGAAGGGGAGCGGCGGAGGTCAGAGGACGAGCGAACGAGTGCACGAGGGATATCCACCCGAGACGACGCGCGGGGTGTGGACGGACGGACGCGAGTTGGGAGGGACGCGAGCGCACCCACGGGTTCACGTCCTCGTCGTCGTCCCACTCGTCGTCGTCCCAATCGCCTCCCCGCCCGTACGCGCGGACGACGCGAAGCGAGACGCCCCGCCCGACGCCGCCGAGCCGCGTCGGCGAAGAAGGCGCGGACGCGCCGACCGCGATGTCGCGGCTCGCCGGGCGCCACGACGCGTGCCACCTCACCGCCGCGACCGCGCGGGACGCCGCGCACCGGGGAATCGGCGCGCGAGCGACGGAGACGCACGGGGGCGACGCGAGCCCGCTCGCGCCGCTCACGGCCGCCATGACAGCCCTGCGGAGCATCGGCGCCCGCGACTGTGTGTCCTCCAGTCGTTGCGTTGCGTTCGATCGGTTTTCAAACATTCTGTTTCCTCGAACCTCGTCAGTCATCACAGAACGTCCGGCGCGCCTCGGCACGGGACGACGCGAATAAACGACACGGCCGTCGACGCGATGACTCACAACGCGACGCACGACGCGTCCAACGCGCAGCCGCTGAGGGAGAACGTGAACCGGAGACGGAGGAACCGGAAGAAGCCGTCGCACGGGAAGGATCACGCCGATCGCGCGAACGTCGTCGTCTCCGTGCCCGCGGACGCGGTCGCGGACGACGCGCACGATCTGCGCGAAAACCTGAAGAAGACGACGGACTTACGAGACGACCTGCTGCGCCAGCGCGCGGAGAAGGAGCACGAGCGCGCGCGAGCGCGCGCGCAGGAGCGAACGCGCCCGCAGCCAAAGTCGGGAGAAGCGTCGCATCAGACGCCGCGAGCGAAGACGCAGAACAAGAAGGGCCGCAACACGCAGGACTTCTCCCCGAGCCTCGCGCCGCCCGGCTTAAAACTCGTCGTGGGCGACGCCGCCGCGAAGACCTTGGGGCGGAAGATGCACGGACGCCACGTGACGTACGTCCCGAACTTCTTCTGCGCCGAGGCGGACGAGAGCGCGCACGCGACGCTTCTCGAGGAGGTCTCCGCCGCGGGGTCCAGCGAGATGTGGATCCCGTGGCACGAGAAGAGCCACTTCATCGCGAACGATCGCGACCGGCACGGGAAGTGGAAGCAAGACTCGCCGATGTTCACCGCGGTCGTGGAGAAGATCGCGGCGTACTTTCAGATGGACGTGAAGGCGACGCGGTTCAACTTGTATCGCGACGAGGAGGAGTGGAAGCCGTACCACCACGACGCCGCGGCGGTGAAGAAGGACAAGGCTAGGACGCAGAATTGCACGATCGCGGTGTCGTTCGGCGCGACGAGGGACGTCGCGTTCGAGCACGCCAAGACGGGCACGACGGTGTTCCTCCCTCAGACCAACGGCAGCTGCTACGCGTTCGGCCACGACGTCAACGTGGAGTGGCGGCACGGCGTCCCTCAGGTCCCGGAGGGCCTTCGACGCGCGGAGGGGGAAAAATGCGCGCGGGTGTCGATCATCGCGTGGGGGTGGGTCGACCAAGACCGCGACGACGTGAGCTCGTTCGCGAACTGACGTCCGTTAACGAGTGTATCAGCGCGTGAGCACTTATTTTTGTAATGAGCTGGATTTTCGACCCTCGAAGCCTCGATCAACGACTGCATTTAATAGGGGCGAAAAACGTCCTTGACGGGTGAAATTCGCGCGTGCTCGCTTTCAAAGCTCGCGAAGCGTCGGCAAAAATTGACCGCGCCTCCTTCAAAGTTCCACGGCCGAGAGCTTAGCCCGGCGAATCTCTTCACGGCAAATGTGTTGGTCCACGCGTTTTCACTTTTTTTCGCGCGCGGGGCGACGGCTTCCGCGACGATGGCACGCCGACGCGACGACGTCGGCGTCGTCCAGGTGTGTCTCAGCGCGCTGTTCGCGGTAACATTATCCCACGCGTGCATCGAGGGGTATCGCGCGTACGAGACGTTCAGCGCGAAGGACCTCAACGCGCTGTCGGAGATGATGATGACTCAGGTCCGCGTCCCATCTTGTTTTTATTCCGTCGCGGACGCGCTATCCGCCTTCCCTCGCGCCGTCTCGCTCAGCCCGCGATCTTCCCCCCCCCGCGCGACGACAACGCGCGATCTGACGCGGTCCACCCCCTCTCACGCGCGCAGGGCGTGCGCTTCGCGGACCTCGCGCCGTTCGCCGTGACGTACGCGAGCGGAGTCACCGCGCTCGCGATCCTCGTCACGGCGTCTCCCTTCCGCGCGCCGACGGCGCTGATGCGACACCTCGCGCGCGCGATCGCGGCGCTGATCGTGCTCCCGCTGACGCTCCGCGCGCGTCTGCGGCGGCGAGCGATCGCGCTCGGCGACGACGCCGGCGACGGCGCGGACGGCCGCTCGTCTCTGATGACCCCGGAGCTCGAGCGGCTCGTGACGGACGACGACGTGCGCTACTTCCTCGACGAGCTCGCCGCGCACCCGACGCTTCACGACCGCGAGGAGCGTTCAGTGCGCGAACCGCGCTCGAGGGCGAACAGCGAGGAGCGAGGCGTCAGCTCCGTCGACGTCACGATGTCCGGCGGGTGGAAAGGCGCGCCCGGCGGCGTCGAGGCGGCCGCCGCCGCCGTGTCGGCGGATGCGGCGGCGGAGGAGGCGGCGTGGACGGTGATCCACCGCGGGAGCACCGGGACGGGGACGGACTACAGGATGCTGCGGCGGAACGGCCCGGCGCCGGGGACGAGCGAGGGCGGCGATCGCGGGTTAGCGCAGTTTCGGTTGGAGGCGGTCGTGCGAGGCGTCACCGCGGAGTCGTTGGCGAACGCGCAGATGAACGACGTCGTGCGAGCGACGTGGGACTCGACGTTGATGCGCGCGGATCAACTCGCGTCGTCGCGGCCGGCGCCGCTCGCGGCCCCGAGCGAGAACAGCTTCGTGGAGGAGGCGGAGTGCCAGAGCGAGGGAGCGGACGCCGCGCACGACAGGACCGAGCTCGCGTTCTGGCGCATGAAGTTCCCGATGCCGATGGCGCCGCGGGACTACCTGTTCGTCAGGCGCCGGTGGAAGAGCGAGGACGGCGCGTTTTACGGCGTCACGAAGGATGCGACGGGCGTTCGCGAGGCGAACCGCATGCTTCAGAGGACGGGGCTGAGTGGCCGCGGGTACCGCGTGCGGCGGATATTCAGCGGGCAGCGCATTCGTCCGCTGGACAGCGCGCGCGACGCGTCGTGGTCCGACGACGACGCGAGCGCGCCGTCGACGCCGACGACGGTGCCGACGACGCCCGTGGCGGCGTCCGCGACGAGCTCGCCCGCGAGCTCGGGGTTCAACGCGGTCTCGCCTCCGCGGCCTCGAGCGCGGTCGAAGTCGAGCGGGAAGAACGAGCCCGCGGCGGAGCTCGTGAGCGTGTACCACGAAGACAGCGGCGTCCCCGCGGCGGTGATATCCATCGGCGCGTGCAAGGGGCTCCAGCCGTTCATGCGAAAGTTGGAAAAGGCGGCGAGGGGCGAGATGAACGGCGGCGGCGCCGGCGCCGGCGCGAATAACATCCGAGGGCGCAAGCTTCTGCGGTTCCGACGGTTGCGAAAGAGGATAACCTCGAAAGCGTGGGACGGCGTGAGCTTGGACTACCGGAACTCGCACATCGCGATCTCGTCCGACGAAGAGAGCACGGGCGAGACCGCGGGCGCGCATCGCGGAAGTCGATTCCGTTTCCGGCACCGAACGAGGATGGCGCTGTCGCGGCTGAAGAACGGTCTGCACAGGACGATTCACCGCGCGCCGCCGGGGGCGCACGGGAACGGCACGCTCAATCACGCGGAGGGACGGCGGCGGCGGCTCATGGTTCGCGCCGCCGCGTTCGTCGCGCTCATGCAAAAGATCAAAGACTGAATTTGTTTTCGACGTACGACGTACGAATGCTCATGTTCTAGACTATTGTAATGTGATACTCACGGCTACATCTAGCTAATCTAAGTCGCCTTCTCGTGCTCGGACACCCCCGGGTACCAGACCACGCCGCCGCCGTAGCAAACAGACCCGGTCGTGTCGTACAGCACGAGCGCCTGACCGGGCGTGATCGCGCGTTGCGGGTCGTCGAAGTCAACCTGGAGCGCGCCGCCGTCCGAGCTCTCCTCGTCGTCTTCCCGGCGTAGGTCTTCGTCCGCGCGCCAGTACTTCCCGCGCTCGAGCGTGATCGCGCTCCAGTGCGGGACCCGCCTGACGAAACACTGGACGATCTCCGCGCCGTACCTCGTCTTCGCGCCGAACCGTCCGCCGTCGAGGCCGTCCGAAAGCGGCAACTTCCCCTCGACCCAGAAGCACCGCGCCACGGCGGCGGTCGCGACGAACAACGCCGGGTGATCCGACCCGGGGGCGACGTACACGTTGGTCACCCCCGCGCGAGAGTCCTTCCCGACGACGAACCACGGCGCCGACGCGCCGCCGACGCGCGCGCCCTGGCCGCACGTGTAACGCGCGAGACCTTTGTGCGCGCCGACGACGGCGCCGTCGACGACGGAGACGAACGCGCCCGACGCCGCGTCCGAATCGGTCGCGCTCGCCTCGGACGTTCTCCCTTCCTCGGGCAGGTACTCGTGCACGAACTCTCCGAAGTTTTTCTTTCGTCCGATGAAGCAGATCCCCCGGCTGCTTCGTCGCGACGTCACCGCGGACGGCAGCTTCGCGGGCCCCGCCGCGATCGCCCTGACTTCCGTCTTCGTCAGCCACCCCAAGGGAAAGCACGCGTTTCTCAACGCCTCTTGCTTCACGGACGCGAGAAAGTACGACTGGTCCTTCTCCTTGTCCTCCGCAGTGTGCAGGCAGAAGACTCCGTTTGGACCGCGCACGATTTTCGCGTAGTGCCCCGTGCACAGGACGTCCGCCTTCACGTCGAGGAGGCAGTGCTTCAGGAGCGAACCGAATTTGATGTGCCGGTTGCACGCGAGGTCCGGGTTCGGCGTCGACGCGCCGCCGTCGAAGTCCCTCAAGAACGGCTGGAACACCGCGTGCCAGTACTCCTTCACGAAGTCGACCTCTCTCAGCTCGATCCCGACCGATCTCGCGACCGCTGCGGCGTCGCGTTGGTCCTTCTCGAACGCGCACTCGCCGCCCGTCTCCTCGGCTTCGTCCCAGTTTCGCATCAGCACGCCGACGACGTCGTACCCGGCTCTCTTCAGGATCCACGCGGTGACCGCGGAGTCGACGCCGCCGGAGATGCCGACGGCGATCTTCGGAGGCGGCTCGCCGGTCGCGCGGTGCGGCAGGTGCGGTGCGATTCGCGCCGCGAGCGGCTCCCCGAGCGCGTCCTCCAGGTTCCGACGCGCGGCGCGGCGGAATTCGTCGATCGCGGGGGCCTCGCCCTCGCCGTCGGTCTCCTTCGCGCCCGCGCACCCTCGTCCCCACGTGCGACAGGGCGGGGTCTTCGGCGTCCCTCGCGGGCCTCCCGCCGAGGCGAGAGGCGGGAGGAGCCGACCCAACGCCCGGCGCATCTCGCTGTGAGAGGGGAGAGCGACGACAAACAGCGAAAAGCGCGAAGTTCATCTCGACAGCTCCAAGAGAAAAAACACGATCGCTCCCAGATCTCATTGCGCCGCACACTCGACGCGCGCGACGAGCGTTAACGCCGCTCGAAAGCGCGCGCGCGCGTTCTGCCCACGCATAACTACGACTTGCGCGTTGGCATTTTCGACCGCGCGCGCGTTCACGTCGCGTCCTCCGCTCCCCGGCGCGAATCGCGTCTGAAAAACGCTTTTCCCGAAACGATGCCGCGCGCGCGCGCGGTCCCCCGCCGCGCGTGGCTCCTCGCGCTCCTCGCGCTCCTCGCCGCGCCGCCGTGCGACGCGCACTCGCGAATCTTCCAAATCACGAGACCGAACGCGGACCACTCCTCCCTCGAGGTCGTGGAAGACGGGCTCCGCAGGCTCGAACAGCTGGGGGACCGACGCGTCTCGCTCGTGTCCGTCGTCGGCGGCTTCCACACCGGAAAGTCCTTCCTGTGCAACGTCCTGAACGCCTCCACGTCCGGGTTCGAGCTCGGGCCGACGCACGAGTCCACGACGATGGGCCTGTGGCTCGGGGAGACGGGCATGATCTCCGAGGTGGACGGCAGCGAGATACTCCTCGTGGATACGGAGGGCTTCAGCGCGGCGGGCGTGGCGGAGGCGTACGACGCGCAAGTCTTCGCGCTCGCGACGTTGCTCTCCTCACATCTGCTGTACAACTCCGTGAAGCTGATCACCGCCGCGGAGGTGGAGTACCTCGAGATCCTCGCTCGGCGCGCACGGCTGTGGTCCCTTCGCGCGGACCTTGAGGACGAACGCCGCGAGGACGAGCGCGAGGACGACGACGCGTCCGAGGCCGAGGCCGAGTCTGAGGCCGAGTCGCCGCCGCCGCCGCCGCCGACGACGACGATTCCCCCGCCGACGTTTCCCCCGCTCACGTGGGTCGTCGAGGACTTCTTCCAGGACCTCGGCGACACGACCCCGACGGAGTGGCTCCTGTCGTTCGTCGGCGACGGAGGCGTCGACGACGCCGGCGCGATGACCCAGCCTCCAGGACGACGACCGCTCGTGGACGGGAACTACACGCTCGCGCGGCTCTTCGGCGGCGGCGACGACGTCGACGCCGCCGCCGCCGCGCCGCGTCGCGTGAACGCGCACACGCTCTTCCTTCCCGCGTCCTCGCGGATCGCGCTTCGAAGCTTACACACCGTGCCGTACGCGGAGCTCGAGCCGGAGTTCCTCGAACAGGTCGACGCGCTGCGCGAAGACGTGCTGCGGAACGCGGAGGCGAAGCTCCCCCCTCGCGCGCTCGCGGCGTTGCTCCGCGCGCTCGTGAAGTCCGTGAACGCCGGGAACTTCCCGTCGCTTCCGACGCTGTGGTCGTCCTGGGAGGGACAGCTCCTGTCGCAAGCGCGCGACGCCGCGGTCGACCTCTACGTCGCCGCCGCGGAGGTCGCGCTGCGGGGCGACGTCGGCGCGGCGGCGTCGCCGCCGCCGCCGCCGCTCGCCCCGGAGGCGTTTCGATCGAGGCTCGCGAAAGCGAAGGACGACGCGGAGGACTTATTCAAAGCGAGCCTCTTCGGGCTCGAGCCGCTATGGCGATCGCCCCTCGAGTCCCTGCGACGCGAGCTCACCCTCAGGGAAGCGAAGGACGTCGAGATCAACGACGCGGCGGTCGAGCGCCAGCTGGACGCCGCGGTCGCGGACGCGTTCGAGGCGGTGGAATCCGAGATCGACGCCATCGTCGTCCCGCAGCCTCCCGCGGAGCTGAAGCGCATCGCGAGCGCGCGCGTCGGCGAGGTGGAGAAACAACTCGCGATGCGCATCGCGATGTACGCGAAGAGCGCGAACGGCGCGCACGCTCGAACGATGCAGCGGTTCCGATCGTTCTCCGCCGTTCGCGTCGTCGCGGCGAGGGTCAAGAACGATGACGCGGAGGCGGAGATCCTCGCCGCCGCGGACGCGGCGTCGAAGCGCAGGTACGACCTGGACATGACCGCGTCGACGATCCGCGCGAGCGCGGATAAGGCGACGACGCGCGTCGCGAGCGTCGACGGCCCCGGGGCGCTTCCGATGGCCGCTCTGGACATCCGGTCGTTGCACGCGGCGGCGAAACGCGCCGGCTTAGACGCGTTCGACGACGCCGTCCTCGGTCGACGCGAGGACGGCGACGACGCGCCCACGGCGTCCCCGACGGCGTGGCTGCTGAAATCGCCCAACGCGGCGATGCATCGATCCCACGCGGAGCGCGAGCTCGAGATTCGCGGGCACGAGTGGACGCGTCGGAACGAAGCCGCCGCCGCGAAGCTCGCGTCCGACGCGCTAGAGCACGCGACGAACGCGGTGGAGGCGGAGACGGACCGCCTGCCGCTCCCGGACCTCGCGGCGTCGCTTCGAGAGAAGATCGAGCGCATCGCGCGTCGACACGTGGACGAGTTTAACGCGAAGACGTCGCCCGTGGCGGACACCGCGGCGGCGCAGGACGCGTTGATCGAGCTGAAAAAGACAAACGCGGAGAGGCTCGCGTCGTCGCTGGAGCAGAACGCGCGTCAGTGGCACAAAGCGCTGGCTCCCGTGAGCGAGGCCGCGCTCGAGACGCTGAACTTCGACAGGACGTGCGTCCGCGCGATTCGGGCGGCGTGGAGCGTGACGGACGCGAAACTGAACGCGGACGCGGTGCGAAGGTGCGCGCGCGAAATCATCCCGTGGGCGTTGAAGCGCGACGCCGCGAACGCGTGGATCGACGCGTTCGAGCACCGCCGAGCGGAGATCATCGCGGAGCACTCGCGATCGAGCCTCCTTCGAAAGCGCCCGAGGAACGTGATGATCGTGAACATGACGAGCGCGACCGTGCGGGAGGTCGCGAAGGTGTTCGTGAACGACGACGTGTCCGAGAGACTCGCCGCCGCGCGCGTGAAGTTTCGATGCGTCCTTCTCACGACGCTCTGCGTCGTCGTCGCGTCCGCGTGGCTGCACGTGACGTCGAAACCGCGCCATCGCCGCGTCGACGTCAGCGATAACGATGTCACGGACGAAGACGTCGACGACGCGTTCGTTCCCGACGTCGACGCGGACGCGCCGGGGAGTGATCGCGCGTGGGTCACGATCGACCGCGAAGAAGCGGCGGCGGCAGAGGCGGCGGCGGCGGCGGCGGCGGACGCGGAACGCGTCGTCGCCGCGGACGCGGACATCACGCCGCCTCGGGCGAAGACGCCGACGCCACCGCATCTCGTCGATCTCACCGGCGGGGACGCGAACCTGCCGAACCCGGTCGTGTTCAACGCGACGCAGCCGCTGCCGGACGAGGACGCCGGCGAGGAGCGCTTCGACCTCGTGGACGGAACCGAATCCGACTCCCCCGGGTGGGCGGAAATCTCCCCGCCGCGGTCGCCCACGCCGCCGCCGCCGCTGCAGATGACCGTATCTGATATCATGAGGGAGATCAACCGCGTGCGAGACGGCGACGCGGACGCGATGGCGCGCGTGCTCGCCTTCCACGTCCACCCCGACGTCCGACACCTCGTCTCCGCCGCCGAGACGCACTCGATGGGCGGCGCCGACGCGCGGACGGTCGCGGAGTGGCACGTTCGGGTCCTCGGGTACGTGCGGCTTCGCACGGACGACGACGAGGAGGCGTGGCTGCGCGCGCCGTACGTCACGAGCGTGCTGCGGCGGTACGCGGACAGGGTGTGAGCGAGCGAAGAGGAGACGCGACGAGCAAGAATGTTTTTTTTTGGAGGCGCGAACGAACGAACACGGAGGAGTGTACGAGTACCCCGCACGACGGACGAATTTGTTTTCCCGTAGAGCGCTTCTAGCGCGAGATGTAATACGAGCGCACGACGACGTCACGCTCGCGAGGAAAATGAAGGACGCGAACGCGCGATGTTCAAATCGAATCCTGATATCCTTTCAGAAAAGCCACGCCGCGTCTCCTAAAATGTTCTAGTCCCGCACTACCGCGTTCGGGCCCCCCGAGCGCGGTCGCCAACGCGTGAACCTCTTACGCGACGGTGAAGGAGCTCCAGGTCTGCTTAAGGTCGCGCTCCTGGCCCTTGAACCAACGCTTGTCACCGGACTGGAGCTTCATGGTGTAGAGGTCGCCGTCGGAGACGGTCGCGGCGATGAGCTGGTGGCGACCGCCCTCGTCACCGTCCGCGGTGCGGGTGAGCACCTCGTAGTAGTAGTACGTCTTGCCCTTGTTGGACTTCGTGAAGACGTCGAGAACCGCGGCGGCGGACACCTTGTTAGCGGCGAAGCCACCCTCGGAGCGGGTCTCGCCAGCGTACACCTGCTGCCCGAGGAGGTACCCGATCTTCTCGAGGTACGCCTCCGGGGAGCCGAAGTCCTCGATCTTGGACTTGCCGCACTTCTTCTCGACCATGACGGAGATGTTCGTCACCGCGTCGAAGTTGTCCTCGAAGTACACGTCCTGGTTCGGGAACGGGCGCTCCTTGGAGGGGTTGTACTTGGACGGGAGCAGGAACGCGTAGCCGTCGCCGGAGTACGGGATGAAGCCTGTGGAGAGGATAAATCGAGTTCGAGACGAGAGCCGTCAGCGTCGTGCGTGGTCCGAGAGGCTCGACGCGCGAGCGGCGAGCGGGCGCGGGCGGCGACGCGACGGGCGCGAAGTCGACGGTTTCGACGACGCGAGGGCGACGACGATCGAGTTCCGTCGCCCTCGCGCGTCGGGACCGGTCGCGAGCGCGCGTCCGCGGGGACGTCGGTCGCGCCGCTGGACGTCGCGATCGTCGCTCGATCGACCGATCGATCCCGTTAACATTCCGACGCTCCGAGAGCGACGCGGACGACGGGTGAAGACGCACCGGAGGTGTTCGTGGTGGCACCCCAGATGTTCGCGGAGTCACCGTACGCGGCGAGGGACGGCTTCGCGACCGCGGCGACGCCGGCAGCCTGTCGATGGAGAGAGGAGAGGGGCGCGACGGTCAGCGAACGAAGTTCGGGATATAATTTACTCGCTCGAGCCACAGCTGGAGGGTTTGTTTTCCGATCGATCGGCACCGTCGCATCCGTCGCGCGGCGACGCGCGAGGGCGATCGACACGCCGCCGCGCGACGGAAACGAGCGCGTCGATGTGCTCACGAGACGCCGCCGGCGAGTTTTCGCGCGAGCGCGCGTCGCGTTCGCCGTAGACGCACCGTGATGACGGACAGGGCCGCGCGGCGAGAGGTCTCGTCCGCGGACGCGAGGGTCACGACAGACGCGCGCTTGGGCGCCGCGGGGGCGACCGCGCGGGCGCGGAGGGACTCGGTCTTGCCGACGAACGCCGGGCGAGCCACGACGGCGGAGGTAGCGGAGGTGATGGCAGCCATTTCGACGGTGAGGGGTGGGTGAGCCTGAGCTTCCGGGTGCTTCAATGACGGTATTCCTCGCGTCTTCGCGCTTACAGAGGAGGAGGAGGAGCGTGGATTTCCGGTCTCGCGCGTTGATTGGCTGAGCGCGAGAGCCGAATTTTCTCGGTGGCAGCTTCGATCCAGATTCTCTCTGTGCACGGTACGACTGTATCGGTCGTTCACCATCCCTGACTGCGTTCCGTACGTGTCGAAGCTCGACAGTGCGATGCTGCTGCTTGTGAGCACCAGACGCTTGCCGCTTGTTCGTTCGATGGTTCGAACCTCCCGCACTGAGCATGAGCGCGGTCGCGGCGGTGTGGTCCCACCGCGCCTCGCGGGCGCTCGCGTCGTCGCTCCTCGCCGTGCGCCGCGCGTCGAACGCGACCGTCGGTCCGAGCGGCGCGTGCGCGTCCTCGACCGCCGCGCTCGCGTCGTCGCTCGCGCCGCGTCGCCGCGATTTCTTCGGCGTGCCGTCGACGTCCGCCGACGACGTCCGCGAGAAGACGTTCTCGTCCACGAAGCTCGTGCCGCACTCGCCCGCGAAGCTGTTCGACGTCGTCGCGGACGTGGACAAGTACGAGGAGTTCGTGCCGTTCTGCGTCGCGTCCAGGGTCTTGCGGCGCGGTCGCGGCGGCGGCGGCGGCTGGGGTGCCAAGGCGTCGTCGCGCGACGCGAACGAAACGAACGCGAGCGCGACGAGATCTTCGTTCGAAGCCGAGCTCGAGATCGGCTTCAAGCTCTTCAACGAGCGGTACCTCAGCGTCGTGACGCTCGAGAAGGGCGCGACGCACGCGGCGGTCACCGCGGAGGCGGTCACGGACGCCCCGGACGCGAGCGGTCTGTTCGAGCGCCTGGACACGAGGTGGAGGTTCGCCCCGGGGTCGCACGACGACGAGTGCGAGGTGCGGTTCGACATCGACTTCAGGGTGGGGTCCGTGATACACGCGCACGCGGTCGGGTTGTTCTTCGAGGAGGTGTCTAAGATGCAGATCGAGGCGTTCGAAGAGCGGTGCGACGAGCTATACGGGCGAGGGGGGGGGGCGCGACGCCGGGAAGGAACCTGGTGACGACAACCAACTGTAGGCACAACATAGCGTATTCGATATCTATCGTAGTTCTAAACGAGCGCGCGCGTCCGTTCCGCGGGTATCATCACGTCACTTCTTCGCGTCCGCGATCGTGTCCGCGTTCTTCGCGCCCCCCGGCACGAACTGTATGTTATACGACCCCGTGTTCTCGTCCTTCTCCGCTTTGAAGTTGTCCACGCTCAGCCCGAAGTTCCCGAGGAGGCTGTTCCCCAAGTCTTTCAACTTCCCCATCATCTCGCCTCTCATCGCCTCTCGCTTCTGCTCCACGATCGGCTTGAGCCGCTCGACCGCAGCCTTGGAGACCACACACGTCCCGTCCTCGAGCTCGTTCGCGCACATCTCGTAGTCCGCCAGCGCGCCTTCGAAGTCTTCGAGGTGCTCGCGCGCGACGCCGCGGCGGTGGTACGCCTTCGCGAACTGGTCGTCCGCGTCGATCGCCGCGGTGCAGTCCGCCGCGGCCTCCTCGTACCTCTCGCGTTTCAACAAGCACGCGGCTCGATTCGCGTAGAACACCGCGCGCTGGCGATCCGGGGCCAAACGCGGCGGCATCTCGTCCGGGAGCTCGTCGTCCTCGGACGGCGGCGGCGGCGCTCGCTTCTCCGGCGGCGGCGGCAAGCGTTCGATCGCGGCCGTGTAGTGCGCCTCCGCGGCGAGGTAGTCCCCGGTCGCGAAGCACGCGTTCCCTCGAAGCTTGTGCGTCTCCGGGTCCGCGTCGTCGAGGGCGTTTAGCTCGTCGATCGTCGGCTTCTTCGGCGCGGAGGACGCCTTGGTCCCGGACGCGGATCTCGAGGACGTGTCGAGCGACGTTCGCGCGAAGAGCATCTCGTCGAGCTTCGCGTCGTCGTGCTCGGGGAAGGACCGCGACGCGCCGTCGTCGCGCGGTCGCGCGTCCGTCATCGGGACGTCGCCCTTATCTTCGGCTATGTGCACCATTCGAGCGGTGGACGACGGAGCCGCGCGCGCTCGGAAGTGGCGTCGTGGTTTATTTTTTGACGCGTTCGAGGCAGCCCGCATTTTGGCGCAATAATTCGGCGCGGGCGGTGAGGTCAGTGCTCGACGCGCGAAGGCGCCGGGGGGCATGGGGAAGCCCGCCCGAACGGAGAAAGGATGGGGGTGGGACGGCCATCACGACGGCGCCACGGAGGAGAACGACCCGTGCATCGACGACGCGACGTTGACGTTCATCAACGACGAGGTCGCCCCGCACCTCAGCGACGCGAAATGCTTCATCGAAGAGCACCCCGCGCGCGGAGGACCCTTCCGCGTGTCTAAACAGGCGTGCCAGGCCGCCGCCGCGGAGCTCGGCGCGGTCGCGGCGACCCTGCGGGCGTGCGACGCGACGACGCCGATGTCCGTCGCGTCCTCGGTCGCGCGCCGCGGCGTGAAAGCGCTCCGCGCGTGGACGGACGCGCCCGGGCACGCGCAGACGCTCGCGATGCTCGGGGACCCGTCCTCGCCGGAGAGCGAGTTCAGAGCGCTCGCGGACGAGGTCAAGATGCGGCTACGCGGCGGCGACGCCGCCGTGGACGCGGTCAGAGAGGCCGCGGAGGCCGCGGGCCGAGGGTGCGCCGCGGAGGCGTGCGAGCGACTGAAGGAGAATTTAAACCCGCCCGCGGCGGCGTGCGCGCGCATGACCATGGACGCGTTACCCTCCAGAGAGCTCGCGATCGCCGCGGAGGCGCTCGAGGCGCTCGTGGGGACCGGGCGCGGGAGAGACGACACGGACGCCGCCGCGGCGTCGCTCGCGAGGGCGCTCGTGCCGACGCTCTTCGCGCCCCTGTTGGGCGCCCCCGGTCGGGTGCCCGAATCCGTCGCCGCCGCCGCCGCCGCGACGGCGGCGACGTGGAGCGAGGGCGAGTGCGTCGTCGTCGCCGCGGGACAGGCGGTGCACGCGCTCGGCGGCGCGGGCGAGGGCGCGGGCGTGTGCACCGCGGCGATCATCGAGCACATCCCCGCGTCGTCGAACATGGCGCATCGCGTCGCGGAGGCGGCGGCGGAGCCGATCACGTTGGAGACGGCGCGCTCGGCGGCGGCGGCGCCGTCGGGGTGGTCGCTGGTCGAGCGCCTGACGCAGTCGCTCATCGCGCACACGAAGAGACACGTGCGCGAGATCGTCGGCGCGGTCGTCGTGGCGGATAAGGATAACAAGCAGGCGGAGTACCGAAGCGACTCCGACTCGGACGACGACGGCGGCGGGAAGATCGACGCCGTCGGCGCCGCCGCGTTCGCCGCCGTCCTCGGCGCGCTCGAGCGCGATACGATGTACATCGCGCTGCAGGCCGTGGACTCGGTCGCCGCGGACGCGCGAGCGCGGTTCACGGTCGCCGCGGAGGGCGCCGCGGAGATTGCCGCGAAGAAGATGCGCGGGTTGCTCACGCCGATCATCACCGCGACGAACCACGGGTGGAAGTTTCGCATCGTCGCGCTGAAGGGCGCGGAGGGGCGCTTGCGCGACCTCGCGTCCGAGGTCAAGAAGGCGACGGAGGCGACCGCGCTGTTGAATCGCCTCGCGCGGGTGGGACGGCCGCCGAGCCCGAGCCCGGAGCGCGCGCCGGCGCCGGCGCCGGCGTTTGACGCCGTAGTCGCGAAGCCGCCGACGAAGAAACGTTCGAGCCTGAAGCAGACGAACCGGTTCCGCGCGGACGCGGGACGAGAAGGCGGCGACGGTGGGGGTGGGCAAGGAGGGATGATGACGCTCGCCGCGGCGATCGCGGACGTGGGCGACGACAAGCCGTACGACGACGGCGACGACATGCACTTCATCAACAACGAGGTCGAATCCGCGGATCCGGAAAAAGTGGGACCGCTCGACGCCGTCGTCGACGCCGGGGACGTCGACCTGAACGCAGTCGCCGCTCGATGGGAGGGCGCGAAGGATGCAAAGAAGGCTGCCGCGTCCGCCGCGGCCGCCGCCGCGGCCGCCGCGGACGCCGTGGATGGGGGAAGGTCGGTAGACGTCGACGAAGTGATCTCAACCGCGGAGCGAGCGAAGGCGGCGGCGATCCGCGCGACGATCGCGTCCGACGCGGCCGCGAAAGCGTCCGACGCCGCGGTGCTCGCGATTCAGACCGCGAGCGCGATCAACGACCTCGTCGGCGTCGGCGCGTCGAGGCTCGGGACGATCAACACCCCGGTCGCGCGGAGACCGACGGAGGGGCTCGACCGACTCGCGTCGGAGGCGGGGAAGCTCGGGAAGACGCCGAGCACGCAGGAAAAGCGCGTCGCGTTCTCAGTCCCCGCGCATCAAGACGCCGGGTCGATGTCCGTCGCCGACGTGGAGAGCGTCGCGGCGTCGATAACGGACCTGTGCGAGTCGTTATCCATCGACCTCCCCCAGAGCGCGGTGCGGCGGTTCAAGGAGGATTTAACGCGGTGCCCGAGGTCCATCGCGCAGGTGTTGTCTCCGCTCGCGCAGAACCTCCCGCACTTGAAGAACATCTTGGACGTCATCCGGACGTCGCCGTTGATATCACCCACGCCGCGCGCGAAGTTGACGACGCAGAGACCGGGGGTGTTGCGCGTGAGCGGCGGCGGCGACGGGACGCCTCGGTCCGCCGCGTTGCCGGCGCCCGCGCGGCTGAGCTTCGGCGACGACACCGCCGGGGAGGGAGGGAGAGGGAGTGGGTTCGAGGTGAAACTCAAGCGGAGTCGCCCGAAGGAGAAGGACGACGAGCGCGCGGAGAGCTCGAAGGAGGCGAAGACGTCGCCTCCGAACGCGGACGCGGCTCGGCGCAACTCCACGCACATACGCTTCGATTCGAGTGACGAGTAGGCGGTCGAGAAAAAGGCGCAGCCTAGCTTAGCGAATTGTTACTCGAGATATCCGACACTTCGACGCGCGCGTGTCGTCGTCGCCCGCGTCGCGCCCGAAGCCGCGACCCTCGCCAAGATGTCCTCCGACGCGGACGATATACTCGTCGACGCCGTGTCCTCCGTGCGCGTCGTCACGCTGAACCGCCCCGATAAGCTGAACGTCCTGAGCGATTCGATGGTCACGCGGCTTTCGGAGCTTTGGGCGGAATGGGACGCGGACAAGGACGTGAAGTGCATCGTCTTGAACGGCGCTGGCGAGCGACCGTGCTTGTGCGCGGGCGGGGACGTCAAGGCTGTGTACGACATGCGCCCGCCGGAGGTTGACCCGAAGCGCCACAAGGCGCCGCCCCTCGCCCTCGAATTCTTCAATCGCGAGTACCAGATGAATCATCAGTTGGCCAACGCGCGAACGCCGCACGTCGCGATCATGGACGGCGTCGTCATGGGCGGCGGCTGCGGCGTGTCCATCCACGGCGCCTTCCGCGTCGCGACCGAACGCACGGTCCTCGCGATGCCGGAGTGCGTCATCGGCTTAGTCCCCGACGTCGGCGCGACGTATTTTCTGTCGAATCTCCCCGGTCGCGTCGGCCACGCGCTCGCGCTGACAGGACGCCGCGTCGGCGGTTACGACGCGAAGAAGCTCGGGTTAGCGACGCACGCGATAGGGTCGAGCGCGGTGGGTAAGATCGTCGAGAGCCTCGCGACGGCGCTGGAGCGGACGTTCAGCGGCGGCGAGACGACTTCCGAGCTCGATCGGAACGCGAAGGACTGGGCGAACAAAGTCGACGAGGAGCTGAGGAAGCTCGAGAAGGAGACGTCGGGGGAGGTGAAGGAGACGCCGAACGATCTGCACCCGCACCTCGCGGTCATCGACCGGTGGTTCGTCTCCGACGACGTCCAGGAGGTGGACCTCACGCTGAACGCCGCCGCGGTCGGCGGCAGACGCGAGAGGGAACGGAAAGTCGCGAAGGAGCTCCTGGAGCTCATGCGCGCGGGGTGCCCGGCGTCGCTGAGGGTGACCGCCGCGATGCTCAAGCGCGTGAGACCGCCAGTGGACATCATGAACGTCAGCGGCGGACCGCCGCCGCCGCTGGACCTCGCGAGGTGCTTGCGAATGGAGTTTCGCGCCGTCGCCGAGTGCATCTCGAGGGACGACTTCTACGAGGGCGTCAGGGCGCGGTTGGTGGACAAGGGCAAGGGCGACCCGCCCGCGTGGAGCCCGGAGTCCGTGGAAGAGGTCGGGCACGAGGACGTGGAGACGTTCTTCGAGCCGGGGAGCAGGGAGGTCGAGGAGGTCATCGCTCGGTTCGAACGCGCCGTGGGGCTCGAGTCCGACGCGGGGGGCGCGGGCGCGGGCGCGGGGTCTTCCCGCCTGTGACCGCCGCGCGCGGCGACCGCGATACGTTAATGAACGCGACTAACGCGACGCGTCGTCTCGTATATCGTCTCTTTATTACATCGCGCGCGCGCGCGAGCCGTCGCCGCGTCGTCGTCATGGCGTCCGGCGACGCGGCGGCGCGCTCACGCCGCCGCGGGTCCCCCCGCCGTCGCCGGCGCCATCCCGGACCCGGCCGGGAACGTCGGCGCGCGGTTCACCCACTCCTGGACGCTCTCGTTCACCCCCCTGAGCTCCGCCGCGCCCGTCCTGAGATCGTTCGCCATCTTCTTCGCCGCCGCGCTCTTCTCGTGCAGGTTCTTCTTCGCCGCGGCGGCGGCGGCTTCGGCCTCGACCATCTTCGCTCGCAACTTGTCCGCCTCCTTGCGCTTCAGATCCGCCCGGAGCGCGCGCATGACCGCGTCCGGCGGCCGCGTCAGCGGCGCGACGCTGCCGTTCGCGGCGCTCGCGCCAAACCCCATGATACCCCTCGCCTCGCACGCCTGGTCGACCGCGTTCAGCCGCGGCACGAGCGCTTCCTCTTTCAAGATGGATTCGAACTCGTCCAGGCTGAACGTCGAGATGCCCTGAAGGAGCTGGCAGTACAGGTCGTACAGCGGCTCGTGCATCTCCGCGTCCACGCCGCTTAAGGCGGCGGAGAACTCCTGTGATGATTCGCGCGTCGCGTGGGGGGGGCGGGAGGTCAGATGGGGTCCGTGCGGGGCAGCGGGTCGGGGCGGATTTCGTCCCCCTCGATTCGCCGAGTTTTTTTTCTCGCGACGCGCGCGGGGACGACGAGCGTCGCGCGAGACGCGCACCTGCATCGACTGCGGCTCGAGCGACGCATCGAGCGCGTCCTCGAACGTGTTCCTGAGCTCGCGCACGCGCTTCCCCTCGAAGAAGTCCATCGCGCCGGCCGCGTGCGTCGCGATATGAAATCTGACGGGGGCAGCTGTCGCGGCTTCGGCTAGAAATCGGGGGTCGCGCGCGGCCGCGGCCGGGCGCGGGCCCGCCGCGCGCCCGCGTATTTTTCTCATCATCAGTGCCTCGTCCTCACTTCGAAGGGGCGCGGGGCGAAGCGCGCGCGCGTCGCGATGCCGGACGCCAAGAAACCCGATGACCCGAAATCGGTGTGGCAAGACCGCGAGATCAGGTTCGACATGGCCGTGAAGGGCCTCGCGCTGAGGAAGGGCGAGTTCGAGATCGACCACCTCGAGGGCGTCGAGGACACGAAGGGCAACAACGGCGAGCGCGGGACGCTCGTGGTGACGAATCTGCGCGTGATTTGGTTCAGCAAGCGGTCGCGGCGGACGAACCTCAGCATCGGATACAACTCCGTGTCAAACATCTCGATGAAGACGGCGTCGTCGCGATTGCGCGGGAAGACGCAGTCGCTGTACGTCATGACGCGGTTCCAAGGGAGCAAGTTCGAGTTCATCTTCACGAACCTCGACGACAACTCCCCGCGGCTGTTCACGACCGTGCAGGCCGTGTACAGGGCGTACGACACGTCGAGGCTGTACCGCGATTTGAAACTGCGAGGCGCGATCATCGCGGACAAAGAGCTGAAGCTGCTCCCGAAAGAAGAGACGTACAACCGGATATCCGGCGTGTGGAACCTGAGCAGCGAGCAGGGCAACCTCGGGACGTTCTTCGTGACCAACGTTCGAGTGGTGTGGCACGCGAACATGGCGGAAAACTTCAACGTGTCGATCCCGTACGTGCAGATGAAGTCCGTGACGGTGCGAGACAGTAAATTCGGCCGCGCGCTCGTGATTCACACGACGTCGCGGAGCGGCGGGTACGTGTTAGGGTTCCGCGTGGACCCGGCGGAGAAGCTGGACGAGATCTACAAAGAAGTCGACGCGCTGTTTAAAGTCTTCAGCGTGAACCCGGTGTTCGGCGTGGATTTCAAAGTGGAAGACGCGTCCGAGTCCCTGCGCAACGTGACGAAACACCGGGAGAGCGACGACGTGGAGATCATAGGCGAAGGCGGCGAGTCCGATCCGTTGGCGGCGTACTACGCCGAGGGCGGGAAAGACGTCGGGAGAGAAAACGATCCGAATAACATCGTTTACTGCCCGCGTCTCGGGATGGCGGTGCAGCGGATGCCGGAGGGGGTGACGACGGAGATGTTGTGGAACATATTGTAGTAGTTTATGAAGTTAGTTAGCGAACTGCCGAATACCCTTCCTTCACGGGACGCGCGGCGCGCCGGGGAAACCTTCCACACCTTTCCAACACATCCAAACGTCGATCAACAGCTCGTCGCGTTTAAGAAACGTCGCGAAGGATCCGTCCGCGCGTCACAACGACGGTCGCTCGCGGAGAACGAAGAAGATGTCGGAGGAGATCAAGGACGACTTCGACGCGTTCGACGACGAGCCGACGTCGGACGTGAAGCTTACGCCCCGGTCGCTGCTCGCGGTCGTCCGCGCCGCGGAGGAGGGAACGCCGACGGAGAGCCTCGCGGACGCGGTCGCGAAGTTGAAGACCGACGTCGCCACGCTCGAGGCCGAGGCCAAGGCCGCGATCGAGGAGGACGGCGACGGCGCGACGCCGGCCGCGAAGGCGCCGCCCGCCGCGAAGGAGGCGCCGTCCAAGAGTTTAGGGCTGAGCGCGGAGGGCGAGGTCCAGGCCATCGGCGTCGCCATGGATCTCTCGTCGATCCTGTACGGGTACCAGACTCGAACCGCGCGCGTGTTCTACAACGCCGAGAGCGCGTCCGCGTCGAAGACCGCGGCGGAGATCCGCGATCAGCTCGACGACGCGACGATGGGTCTGAAGCGCATCAACGTGGAGATGATCGGCACGCTGTCCGCGGACGCGTCCGCGGTGTTCGAAACCTTGAGAGACGCCAAGCCGGAGCCGGGGGGCGCCGTCGTCCTCGTGGACGACGACCCCGAGCGCATCGCATGGGTCACCGCGCGCGTGGGGTTAGACGGGGTGGAGGCGAGCGCGTTCAAGCACGCGACCGGGGCCGTGTGCGAGTACGACGAGAACGGGTCGTTCGCGCGATCGAGGATCGTGTCGCACGAGTAAACGACCGCGCGATCGCGCTCTGTTCTGCAACTAAAAAAAATCGCTCGCGTTCGTTCGTTCGCGCGTCGCGCGACTGCTCTCACTGAAGCGGCACGGTGATCCACCCCGTCGTGCTCTGCTCGCTCTCTACGATATTCACGTCCACCCTCTACGTCACGCGCTCGTGCACGCCCATCCCCGCCGGCCCGCCGACGTCCAGCCCGCACAGCAGCGTCGTCATGGGCCCCTCGAGCAGCGCTCTGTACGGCGCCACCGCCGCCGGCGTCGCGGCGGCGCCGCCGAGCCTCGTCGCGGCCCAGAACGCGACCGCGGCTCGCAGATGCGGGCTCTCCGCGAGGAGCGCGCGCGAGGGGACGCCGCACGCGTCCTCGAGCGCGATGTCCAGGGCGGTGTACGTCATCTTGTACGCTTTATCTCCGGTGACGTGGCCGTTGACGTTGTAATCGAACATCAACGACTTATTAATCTCGAACGAACTGTCTTCTATTTTGTCCTCCTCCGGGTCGCGGACGCAGTTCAGTAGCTTGCCGCCATCGTGATGTTCTGCAAAAAACATGGCGGCGCAGCGCCTCCCGGGAGCAGGGAGAATCGGCGTCGGAAGAATCGGTTCCTTCGGCGACGCGTCATGCTTTGGAAAGTACACGACGGGGTCGTAACTCTCGTCGGAGTGGTCGGAGAGGTCTCGCCCCCTCGGATTGTGCAGACTACCCTTGCAGGACGCCGCGACGTACACCGCGAGCCTCGCGGAGCACCAGCTCTGCAACGACGCGGCCTCTAAGACGTGCGATAGCGCGATCAAGTGCGGCAGGTATTTCAGCTCCAAGCCGTCGTGCCGGAGCCCGTCCTCGACCGTCACGAGCTCGTTCGGTCGGCGTTCGGTGTACAGCCAAATCATCGCGATTCCGAAGATCTCCCGCAGCGTCTTCGCGTCCTCGGGCAACCCTGCCGCGTGCGGGAGCGGTATCGGCTCGAGCTGTTTCGCTCGCGCGGCGGAGCTGAACGTGGAAGCTTCCGCGGCGGCGTCCATGTCGCGCAGGACGTCCGTCAGGAACGGACTGTGCTTCTCGATGATCGACCGGTGCACGTAAAACGGCCTACCGCCGACGAGAATAGACACCGTCCGCCCGTCGTTGGTGTTCACGTTCACGTCCTTGCGCGTGAACATCGGCCGCGGCGACAGCATGTCCGTCTTCTTCTCGTCTGCCATCGCCCTACGGATTTGCACATCCAAGAACTCCTCGATGTACTCCCCGTCGAGCTCTTTCGATAAAAGAATGTCAGCGTTGTCCTCCATCAGCGTTGTCCTGAACTCGCTGTCCTCCTTCATCGCGTCGTGTAATCGCGCGAGAAGCGTCTCTTTGTTCCCTGTCGTGGATTTTCCGTACTTTTTCAGGTCCTTCTTGATCTCCGCGACGGTCTGCTGCTTCGCGGCCATCCAACACTTCACCTTAAATCTGCGTCTGGGTCGTGTTTTATTCCTTTCCTCCCTTTCCCGTGAACTTGATTGATCCGTGTCCCCGCGCTTGCGTTTCCGCCCGCTGAGCTTCGTCCATCTCAGCTCCGCATTCGTCACGGTCGTGACGTTCGTGTCCACGGTGGCCATCCCATTTTCCGGAGTGCACTGCGGCGGCATCGTCGTCGCGTCGAGCCATGCCTCGCGCATCCTTCCTTCCAGGGTCACCCGCCGCTCGACGCTCGAATCGTTCCACAGGCGGTGAAACAATGCGCACGTCGCCCTCGCAGCCTCTCGTCCGATCGACGGCGGCATCGCGACGTCGTGAACGAATGTCCTTCCGTATTCGCCATGAAGCGAATACGTCGGGTCCGTCGCCGCGGCGTCGCGTTCGCACGCGTCGACCTCGTCGAAGTCTGGGGTGAAATTTCTGCGGTCGAACGGAGCCGCCGCGAGCGCCGCGGCGTGGTCCCACGCGCGTCGAACCATGACGTGCACGCTCGACGACGCGTTCAAGACACCGCACACGGGCATCGTCGTGGTGTCGCCGTGCACCCACCCCGGGCCCTCAACGAGATCCCCTCCCCCGATCGTCCGCGCGGCGTTCTCGAGGACGGTCTCTTGATGTTCCCAGTCCTCGTCGTCCAGCCCGAGCGCCGCCGCCGCGGTCGGCCACCGGACGTTCAAGTGCGTCTTTTCCATCCCTTCCCCCCACCTGCGTCCGATGGGATGCATTCTCACGCACGGGGCGTATCGCGCGACCTCTGAGACGCCGTCCTCGGACGCGAGTCTCGCGAGCGCGATGCCGGACCATATCCTATCGTCCGCGCTTCGAATCGACCTCGTCGGGTTTCGCAGACTCGACACGAGCGAGAAGCTCTCCTCGAACGTCCTGACGACTTTTGAGCGCAAGTCCCCGACCTTGATCTGTTGCGAGATGCAGAACCCGAGCTCGTGTTCGAGCTTCACTAGAAGGCCTGGGTGATGCACCCTATCTCGTCGGGGATGGTACTTTTTTTTCTCCTCGCCGAAGAAATTGATCATCGTGCTCAGCTCGAAAGGTTTATTTTTTTCCGTCAAGCCGACGTGCTCGGCTAACCTCATCGCCTCGTAGCTGATTCGCTCGAGCGTCGTTTCGATCTCGTCGATCGCGTCGCAGTACTTTGCATACTCATGCCCAGTACTTCCGCCCATGACGCGCATGACTTCCATGACGCGATCGCGAACGAGCGTGAGAAACTCGAAACGAATCGTGAGGTGACGGATCCGACGCGCGGCTTGCTTTTTGAACTTCCCCTCTTCGATCCCGCCGTTGTCGTACCCGCCGAGGAGAAACGGAAGCAAACGCGCGAGCGTCTCCGGGCGCGACTGTATGAGGGCGATCTCGTACACGCCAACCTCTTGTTCGCTGCGCGCGAACTCGGGCTTCGCCGTGAAGATCGCCTCTATCGTCCGTCGTATGAACGGAGCCTCGTTCTCCTCGATCAGCGGATTCTTCATGATGTCGAAATGCGCGAGCATCCCGATGAACGCGTGAGGATCGAGCCACAGCGACGTCGCGACCGCGCTCTGCGCGGTCTCCGCGATCTCTTCTAGGATCTCCGTCGCGAGCTCCGCGTTCTGCGCGTCTTTGTTCGAAAGGAACTGCATCAGCGCGGGTAACGCGCCGGCTTCGATGCACGCGGCCCAGCCGAACCCGCAGTGCACGATGGAGCGAATCGCGTCCAAGCAATGCGACGCGGCGATGACCCAGTAGTCGTACTTCGCCTCGTGCGGCGGCTTATGCGGCGGCGTGGTCCATTGGTACTTCGCATCACGCGGTGGCTTCTGATTTGAGCTAGATTTCCGATTCGGGACGATCCTTTTCGTGTTCTTTTTGCACGTCCTCGCGCTCAAGACCGCTCGCACCACGCGCCCCGACACCGGGCTCGACTCCTCGTCGCGATCCGGGGTCCACGCCGTGATGCGGCTCAAGAACGCGTCCTCGTCGTCGAGCGGCGCGATCGGCGGGAGCTTCGGGGGCTTGTAATTCAACACGGACACGAGCACGGGGAGCGCGTTGAACGCCACGCACTGATGCGCCGCGCCCTTGTGACAGCTCACGAGGTTACACAACGTCTGCGCGGCGTTCGTAACGCACTCGCTGGACCGCGGGTCCCCCTTGCGTATGAGCTCGATCAGAAGCGGCACCGCGCCCGCGCGAAACATCGCCTTACACCCGGGCGTCTCCCTCTCCGCGCGCAAGTCGTGCTGCTCCTCGCTGATCCACGAGAGCGCTTCCGCGGCGCCCTCCGCGTGGCGAGACCACGGCCCGCACCGAAGCAGCGCGACGAGCGGCGGTACGACCCCGGCGTCGATGCACCGCAGACGCATCTTCATGCACCGCAGACGCATCTTCATGAGGTCCCGTTGAGAGACGTGATGGCCGTCGACGCTGTCGAACTCGCACGAGCACATCGCGGCGATCGCGCGCGCAGCCTCGACCGCGACGGTATCCACGCCGTCGACGCCCATGTTCATCAGCCTCGCGCCGGGGAGCACGGTGTGTCTCAGGGCCGTTCCATACAAGCGAACGTCGGGGTGGAGTTCAAAGGCGTCAGGTGGAGTTGAAAGGCGTCGAGGGCGGGGATTGAAAGCGAGGGGTGGGCGGAGAGACGCGACGGGAAAAGTCCTTAAGGATCGGCGTTCACCACGCCAACGCGGTCGTATGGGAACCAGTGTATAGAACGCACCTCAGCTTGTCCACGTCCTCCGCGTGCTGGAGACGCTCGGCATCGAACGCGCTCTCGTTTAAAAACACGGCGCCGTCGTTTCTCAGCGCCGCGCGCATGACGGGCGCCGCGGACTTCTTCAGGATGTTCACGATCGGCGCGTGAACGCCCGCGTCGAAGCACGCCTGCCACCCGGCGCGGCAGTTGAACGCCACCCTGCCGATCGCCTCGGCGGTCATCGCGAGCGTCTCGTGCAACTTCGCGGGCGCGACGGCCGGATGCGTGACGCGCAGATCTGGCTTTGGCTCGACCGTCGGCGGCGGCGCGTTGAAATCGCTCGCTGGGCGGTCTTGAAACGTCGACATCGTGTGTCCGATCTGGAGCGGATGTCGCGTCCCGCAGCAGTCCTCCACGTCCGCGTCTTCGTCGTCCGTGAGGTCGAACCGGCACGGATGTATACACGATCCACGGCCGTCCTTCTCTCGCGGGTCGCCGCCGGTGAAGTTATTCAGGAGCCACTGTCCGACCTCGTGCTTCACGAAGTCTTCCTCGTCGTCCATGAAACCGGTGACGTCGATCTCTCTGATTGTATTTCTCAAGTGCTCGAGCATCTTGTTGATCGTGAGCTCCTTGAGATCCGCGGACGACAGCTTCTTGTGGATTACTCGCACGATGTCCCTCTTCCGCCCCGGTTTCATCTTCTCCCACGCGCGTTTGGGTTCTTTCTCCGCCTTCTTGTTCTCCTCGCCAACCTTCCCCTCGGCTTCTTCGACGCCCCGCTTCGCGTTCAAGGATTTCATCACCTCTCTCGACCACGCCCGCGCGCGCACTTCGCGATCCCTCGAGCGCGCGGCGTTCGTCTCCGTCTCGAGATGCGCGGTCCCCGCGTGCAACACGCGCGCCAACACGGGCACGGCGGCGACGCAAAACGGCCTATACTTCGCGTCCCACGCCGCGCTGTTCACCACCTCGACCGCCGCGAACGCGACGCGATGCGGGTCGACGTCCGGCACCGGCGGCTCCTCCGCCGCGGTCGCGCACTCCGCGAGCGCGCCGTGACGTTTATTTTTCCTCGCCAGCGCCGCCGCCGCCGCCGTCGCCTCCACCGCGGGGACGCACGAGCTCAGGACGTCCACGACGTTGTTCATCCCGCCGATTCGGATCGCCTCGTCGCACCCTTCCGACGTGTTCAACACGCTCGACATCGCGTCCGCGACGGCCGCGAGCAGCTTCGGGTGGTGCATATTCTCCGACGTGAACAATTTTATCAGCGTGGGCACGACGCCGAGCTTCACGGCTTGGAGCTGAATGAGGTCGTCGCACGCGGCGTACGCGAGGCACGTGGCGACGTCCGGGAGCGCGACGTCCGCGGGGTCCATCTCCTCGAGCATGGCGATGAGCATGCCGAGCAAACCTTGCTTGTACGCCGCGTATCCGGTCTTCGTCTCGTCCCACAGCGCGAGCTGCCGCGTCCCGGTGGAGTTGTGGATGGACGAGATCTTCGCGACGAGCCGGGCGCGAATCTCCCCGCCCGCGGCCGCGCCGCGCTCGCGCACGTCCGCGCCGAGGTCCACGACCGCCTCCGCGGCTCGGATCGCGTTCGCTTTCAGACGCTCGCCGCCGTGGAAGTGGTTCTCGTCCCACGGGTGCGGCCAATCGTTCGCGGCGGGCGGGCCCGCGCGGTTCAACGCGCGGTTCACCTGGTCGGGGCTCGACTCGACGAAGCACACGCCGTCCTTCGATCGCGTCGGGCCCTCGTCGTCCGCGCCGACGCCGTAGGTGACGTACCGGATCCCCTTCCGTCGCTGCCCGTGGGCCGCGTCGGTGGCGTCGTACTCCATCCCGCGCGACGTCAGTCGGTAGGAGGAGTGGGGAGCGGCGCGCCGCGAGAATGCGGGCCGCGGACCTACCTGAAGTCGTGGTTTACGGCACCGCCACCGACGCGCTGCAGATGCAGGTTGTGGTACTGATGAGCTGAGTGTTGATGACACACTCGGCGCGATACGATCAACTCCCTATGACTACGTCCCCACCCCCCGCTAAGGAGGCTCCGGCACTTTCTCCAGCTCCTGCTCTAACTGCGACAGCGACACCCCCGCGCTCCCGCGCTCGGACGCGACCTGTTGCCCCTCCCCCGGCGACCACCCGGTCATGTACAACACCTGAAACGTCGCCTCCACGCCCGCCTTTTCCAAGTCGCTCTCGTTCTCCACCGCGGGAAACATCGTCGCGTACGCCGCCGCGACCGCCGCCGCGGTCCCGCGCCTCACCGGTCCCGGTCGCCGGCTCGCGCTCGCGTTGCCCTCGCCCATGAAACGCACGTGGTCGATCAGTTTCATGACGTTCGGATACCTCATCGTCAGCGTGTCCACGTCCACCGCCGGCAGCGTCATCCCCGCGCGCGTGAGCAGGTTGCCGCAGTCGCGGACCCTCGCGAGCGGCGACACGCGCTGCGAGACCCCGCCCTCGCGCTCGAGCTCTCCCACCGCGCACGCGATCCGCATCTCGCGCATCGTCTCCCCGCCGAACACGGACGCGAGGAACAGACCGTCCGGCGTCAAGGTTTCGCGCGCGCGCGTCATCGCGCCCGGGAGGTCGTTGGCCCAGTGCAGCCCGCACGCGGCGACGACGACGTCGACGCTGTTGGGCTTGATCGGCAGGCACTCCTCGTCCGCGTGGACGTAGTGCAGCCGCACCGGGTTGCCCTCTTTGTTCAGGAGCGTCTGCGACGGCAGCGAGCCGCCGGCGGGCTCGTCCCGCTCGTCGTCGTCGCCGTCGCCGTCGCCGTCGCCCGCCGCCGGGAACGACGCGGCGGCGCGCGCGCGCGTGAACTTCAGCATGTCCATCGACACGTCCGTCACGACGACGGTCTCCACGTCCGCGCGCTCGCGCATGAGAAGTCCGACGACCGCGTCGGAGGCGCCGCCGAGGACGAGCACCCTCGGGAACGCGCGCTTCACGTCCGCGAGGCGGTCCAGCGTGCGTCGCGCGATCTCTTCGAGGAGCGGATCGGTGGGATCGTTCGACGGGTGCGTCGCGCGCGCGTACGCCGCGCGGTCCCTGTGCGCGGCGACGACCGCGCGGTCGAAGACGAACATGCCGCCGTCGTCCTTGGCGTTTTTCGCCGCGAGCGCGGCGGCGCGCGCGCGCGCGCGCTCTTGCGCCGCTTCGACGTCGAGAAACTCCGTCGCGGACGACGACGACGACGACGACGACGCGAACGCGAGCGCGCGCGCGGGGATGGCGAGCGCGGCGTCCGTTCGCGTCCTGCGCGGGAGCGCGGGAGCGCGTCCTCCGAACGCGAGGCGACGGAGCGCCGCGGTCGCGGCACGCCGTGTCGCCATCGCGCGCGCGAAGAAGATGTGCGCGAGTCGACGTGGCGTGGCGGTGGTTCGAACGCGAACAACTTCTTTTCGAGTCGCGATGAGGCGATGAGGAGCGTTACGAGAGTTTAAGCTCACGAGTCGTATCGATGAGGCATCACACGACGTACAGCGGGTCGATGGTGAGCGGCTCGTGGCCCTCCGCGACGTGCACGTCGTCCTCGACCCCCGTCCTCCGGTCCTTCGACGGCGGCGAGCACGTCAGATGATTCACCGCCGCCGCGCGCGCCCCCGGGTTCTTCGCCAAAAACGCCTTCAGATCCCACTCGCGTCGCTGCGTCTCCGCGCCCTCGCTCACGACGATCGGCTTCTCTCCCGCCTGCTCGAACAACACGAACACGTACCGATGCGTCCCCTTGGGCGGCACCGGGGGCTCGTACGGCACCGCGAGGCGAGGCACCGCGAGCGGCGCGGTCGCCGCATTTCCGCCGTGCGTCGTCCAGACGGCGTGCAGGTACGGCGCGTTCGCGCCCGGCGTCGCGCCGTCGCCCGGCGCCGGCTCGGGCGCGTCCGGGTCGAACATGATCACCGCGCGGTGCTTCGTGGGGTCGAGCGGTGGGCGAATCGCGCTCCACGACACCGCGGGCGGCGGGTTCAGCACGAACGCGTCGCGGCTGGACTGGAAGTGCTCGCCGGGGACGACGTCGTGGTTCGCGTACGTAACCGTCAACGTCGGCAGCGCCGCCGCGTTTTGGACGCCCGCGTTGACTTCGAGAAACTTCGCCACGGTCGCCGCGCTCGACGCCGGGCGCGGCGCGGGGGTCGTGGCGGCCTCCGTCGTCGTCGTCGTCGTCGCGGCGGCGGGCGCGGGGGGGCTCGGGACCTCTCCCCATTTCGTCGGGTCGACGATCGGGATCACTTCGCCGCCCAGCCACGCCGCCGCGCCCGCGCCGAGCGTCGCCGCCGTCGGCGCCGGCGCCGGCGCCGCGCCGTCGTCTCGCAACTCGTACCTCCAGTACAGGTAGAAAGACGCGCCGCCTATCACGAGGAGGAGGCATATGAGGCATATGTATCGCTGCACGCACCGCTCGCACGCCATGCGGCTCATGCGCCGCTCGCTGACGTCCATGTCCGACTGCATCGACTCGTTGTTCACGCGCGCGGAGAGGACTTTGTTTCGCTGGCCGTGCAGCGCGGTGAGGATCGCGTCCCCGGCGTTCACCGCGTTGGACGCCGTGGACGTCGTGTCGTCCAGGGTTTTCGCGCCGTATTTGCCGTTGGCAGGTTTGTTGAGGAGCTGCGCGTTGGGGTGGGCGGACGGGGGGCGGGAGAGGTCAGGACGGGGCGCGGGCGATCGTCATTCATTCGGCCAGGGCGAGCGAACGCGCCCTCGGTCGATCCGATCCTTCGCGAGGGGCGGAGGGGCGCGGGCGCGCGAGAAGACGCACCGGGAGCTCCTCGGGGCCGCCTCGTCTCATCGTGCCTCGCGCGTCGGTGGTATCGTCGTCGCCGTCGTCGAGTCGTCGCGAGATCGACGTCTCTCTCGCGTGCGGGCGCGCGGAACGAATGGCTGGGGGTTACACGGGCGCGGCTCTCGGACTCGCCGCGCCAGCTGCAACAGAAAAATGCTGCAACAGAATGTTAACCAAAACCGCGACGCCCTCGGTCTCCGTGCGCACAGCTCGATCGCCGCCAGCGCGCACGCGGACTCCCGTCGCGAGCATGGCGTCGTCGTCGCTCCGTATCGATGCGCTCGCGCGCGTCGCATCCACGCCCGTGGCGTCGCGTCCTCCGCGGGGACGCGCGACGCCCCCCCGCGTCGCGCGAACGACGACCGTGGAGACGATCTCCTCTCCGCGCGGTTCCGACGCGTCCGCCCCCGGCCGCCGCGCGTCCCTCTTCGGCCTCGCCGCCGCCGCCGCTGCGGCGACGTCATCGCGTCCACCGCGCGCGCGCGCGGAGATATCGACGCCGAAAGGGTACGACGACCCGGTGGTCACCCCCGGAGGTTTCAACGCGTGGGCGTCCACGAGCGATGCCATCGGATGCGCGTACGTCATCGAGTGGCCGTCCGGGTGGTGCGCGCTCTCGGACCTGAGCTCCGCGCGGACGGTCGGCGTGGACGCGTCGTTCAAGAACCCCGCGGACGAGGCGTCCACGCTCGCGGTGTTCGTGTCCGACGTGCCGGTCGGGCAGCGAAGCGTCGCGGATCAAGGGAGCCTGGACGCGCTCGCGAGAAGCCGCGCGGACTCGGCGCCGCGGCAACAGAACATCGGCAAGCGGAAGCGGAAGACGCCGCTCGCGAGCGGGGGGGGCGACGCGCTGACGTACGACATCGAGACGAAAGTCGGCGGCGGCACCGCCGGGCGGTTCGGCGCCGCGGTCGAGCTCGTGTCGATCACGGTCGTCGGAGGGAAAGAGTATTTGATACGAGCGACCGCGTCGGCGTCTTCGTGGCCGGGGGAGAAGGCGAGGCTGCGACGCGCGGTGGAGAGCTTCGCGTTCACGGGGAAGTGTTAGATTAGTTTATGAGTAGTAACGACGTAGTCGTAGTCGTCGTCGTCGTTTCAACGGGACGGTTAAACGGTAAGACGTCGTCGACGTTCGTCTATAAAGCGCTAGCTAGTAACTCCGAGAGTAGGTCCTACGGCGGCGGCGGCGGCCGGGCTTGGTAAAACAACAAGTACGCCTGCGCGGTCGCGACCGTGATCGGGTCCGCGCGCGTGACCTGATGATCGTCGCACCGGAACCACGCGCCCTGCCACTGCACGTACGCGATGTAATGCCCGCTGTCGCTGCCCTGCCCCGAGTGCACGACGACGGCGAAGAGGTCGTAATTTTTTGGGTCGTCCGCGCCGCCGCCGTCGCTCATCGGCGTCAGCCTGTTCCCGTACCGCTCCCGGATCGCGGTCGACGCGCAGTAGGCGCGCATGGGCAAGACGAACGGGAACGAGACGTGCGATTCGATCTTCGAACCGCCGCCGTCGCCGTGCGCGTTTTGTTTCTTCGCGCCGCCGTGCTCGAAGCGTTTCAAGTGCAACGCGAGCGTCGGCGGCAGGCGTCGGATCGCCATCTGCTTCATCTTCGGCGTCGCGGTGTCGCCGCAGCGCGCGCACGGAAACACGTCGCCGTCGATCGAGAGCGTCTCCGGCCGCGCGAACTGTCTTAAGCACCCTTCCAGGGTTATCCCGGGCCCGCCGCCGCTGCCGCCGCCGCGGCCTTTCCCGCCGCGTCGCCCGTCCGCGCCGAGAGGCACCGGGACGTCCAGCGACAGGCCCACGGTCGGGTCGTTCACCGTGGACGTGTGCCCGCACCGCTTGCACGTCACGTCCGATCGCAGCGACCCCGCGAACGCGCGATGCAAGACGCACTCGCAGTATTCCGACCTCGCGGGCGGCGCCTGCGGATTCGCGCCGCCGTTCTCGTCGGGCGATTTCGGCGGCGCCGCGGAGATCTCGCCCGAGCCCCCGGCGCCGGCGCCGGCGCCGGTCTCCGCCTTCGCCGCCGCGCCCTCGCTCGCCGCTCGTGCGCGTCGTGCTGCCGATGCTTCGCGAGGTGCTCCGAGCTCTGCCGCCACCACGAGTGCAAAAACGCGCTCGGGACGATCGGCTCGCCGCTGCCGCTGTACGCCTCGCCGACGAGGCCGTCGAGCTCGCACGCGAGGCAGTGCTCGTCCTCCGCGCTCGCTGCGGCAGTCCATCGCTCGGCGCGTTCTCTCCCGCACGCGTGTCGGTTGTGCCCGTCCCTCAGGAAAAACCCGCCGACGTTCGGCGCTCGCACGACCGCCTGCATGACCGTGCTCAAGAAGCACGTGTTCCCTAAGTTCGCGAACCCTCTGAGCCCTCTCGGGACGCCGTGCGCGTTCACGGACGCGAGCGGCGCGCCCCCCGCCGCGTGCACGTCCATCTTCGCGAGCTGCGTCCGCGGCGTCGTCTTCTTCCGTTTCTTATTGCTCCCGCCTTCCTCGCCCGCGATCGCGTCGCCGTCGCCGTCGCCGGCGGCTCTCTTCTCGGCGCCGCCCGTCGTCGCGCCCACGCCGGTCGCGACCGCGGCGACGCCGTTCACGGTCTTGTCGAACTCCAACGCGTACACGTAGGTGGAGCACGCGGCGCAAAACAACTCGGCGCGCTCGACGTCGGCGTACACGCAGTGCGCGTTGACGGTGTTCGTGGACCCCGCGGGCGGCGGGGGTTGGGATTTCATGTGCGCGGGGGCTTGCGCGCGCGTGCAGAGCTTCGCGCAGCCGAGGCACGCCTGGGGCGGGGGGGTGGGCGGGGACGGGCGAGGTGAGGGTCGTTCGTTCGATCGTTCGTTCGATCGTTCGGTCGATCGATCGGCGGTCGCGCGATCGGCGGGGATGGCGGGGACGTCGCGGGCCCCACGTCGGTTCGGCTCGGTTCGCGTCGCGTCCGTCGCGCGAGCGGAGTCGAGAATATCGCCTCCGACGCACCATCGTCGCGTCCATCCTCGTCTTCGGCATCTGCCCTGGGAACTTCGCGGCGAGGCAGCACCGCGCGAGCGGCGCGAACACCCTCGTGCCGCCGTGCGCGAGGAAAGTTTTCAGATGCGAGCACTGCCCGAGCTGCCGCGGCTTCGGCTTCGGGCCTCGGGTCTTCTTCCCGGACGCGACCGCGGGCGGGGTCGTCGCCGTGCCCGTCATCTCGCGCGCGGACGACGCTCAGAACCGCGGCGGCGCCCCCGGTCGTCGTCGCGCGGCCGGCGATATGTGCGACGCGACGGCGAGAGATTTATTGGAATGGACCTTTCGCGCGGCGGGCGGGAGGGCGGCGAATGTTTTCTCCGAGTCTGCCCGGCGTAGTTGCAGGTTCCCTTTACGACGATAAGCTAGGTCTGTCTGTATAAGGCGGGCACCCTGCTCACACGTCCACGGCGTCGTCCTCTTCCTCCTCCCCCCCCTCCTCCTCCGCGTCGTCGTCCTCGTCGTACGACGCCGCCGCGGCCGCCGCCGCCGCGGGAAGCCACAACTCCACGCGCGCCACCCGCGGCGGCAGCGACGGCAACGCGTGAAATATCCCCCCCGCGTCCTCCACCAAACTCCGAGCAATCTTCAAACTCCGCGTCTCCCCCGCGCTCTTAGCGTCGAGATCCAACCCGTCCACCGCGTCCGCCAACGCCCCCGCGCGACAAGAGTCGTCGTCCCCGTGCGCGGTGACGGACGCGGCGACGACGACGCCGCCCTTGGCGCCGCCGTTGGCGCTGACGACAACCGTCACCTCCGCGCCCTTCGGCGCCGCCACCAGCATCGCGTCGATCACGAGCGCGAGCGCCTCGTGGACGTCCCTGCTGTCCGCGGCGACGAGCGCCTTGGTCGGCGGCGGCGGGAACGTCGCGGTCATCGTCACTCCCGCGGGTTTCGCGAGCACCTCGGACGACGCGAGCAAACCGGCGACGATGGGCGTGACGTCGCACGACGCGCCAATCGCGCCCCGAGTCGTCGTCGACGTCGTCGTCGACGTCGTCGTCGACGTCGTCGTCGTCCCCGGCGCGGGCAACAGCGGCGCGCGCCTCGCGCGCTCGCCGCTCGGGAGCCCCGCGCTCATCCCCCTCCTCTGACCCAGACCCGCGGACCCAGACCCGAGTCCGCGCGCGCCCGACGCGAGCTCTTCCACGGCGCTCGCCGGGTACAACGCGCTCTCGAGCTCCTCGGAGAGCGACGCCAACGTCTCCCCCTGCGCGAGCATCGCCTCCGCCATGTCCCGCGACGGCGTGTCCGGCTTCAGGTGCGACGAGAGCATCCCGCCGAGGGTTTTCAGCGCCGTGAGCGGCTCCTTCGCGGCGTACGTGAACCCGGCGACGCGGCGGTCGCTTCGCACCGCGGCGGCGGTGGCGTAATCCGCGCGGCGGTGCATCGCCCACGCGGCGACGATGGCGCGCGCGGCGGCCGTCAGCGCCGCCTGTCTGCGGTCGCCGAACACCTCCGCGGTGTCCGCGGCGTCCTTCGCGCCGGCCGCTTCCTCGAGCACCTCCACCTCGGGCTCGGACTCGAACCCGATGCTGCCCTCCTTGGCGCGTTTGGCGCGCGTGCGCGCGCTCACCCTACGCTTCCACCCGCCCCCCTCCGGCATCTCGCCGACGAGAAGGCCGACGAGGGCGTTATCGCGGCTCAGCGGGACGACGAGCGCGTTCGTGGACGGCAGCGCGAACACGCGCTGCTTCACGAGCAGCGCCTCCGCGTTGGTCTGCTGACTCGTCGTCGTCGCGCCGCCCTCGACGTCGAATTCGTCGACGGAGCCGTCGAACGACCCGCCGCGGCCGCTCAGCGTGATGGCCTGCGACGTCTCCGCGGCGGCGTCTCGCGCCGCGTCGCCGCCACTCTCGCCGGAGAGGCGCTCGAGGGAGTGCGCGTAATCGCCGTCGTCGTCGTCCTCGTCGTGGTCCTCGTTCCAGTTCTCGCCGGAGCTGCTGTGGGGTCGCCGCTTCGGGTAGCACGACACCTCCGCGAGCCGCAGCGACCCGGCGTCGTCCTCGGCGCGGAGGTAGAGCATCGCGCGCGCGCCTCTGCCGAGCGCGTGCGCGACGAGCTCCACCTGCGAGTCGAGGTACTCCGCGAACACGTCGTCGTTGCTGTCCACGATCGACAGCGCGGCTTTCTCGCTATCGCTCGTCCTCGCGCCGCGCGACGGCGACGACGTCGACGTCGACACGACGGGCTCGTCCAGGGAAGATCCCACGGCGGAGTCGACGCGGAGACGCGACCCGCGACTCGGCGGCGGCGGCGCGACGCGGGATCGCGCGCGGACGGCGTGCGCGCGCGCGTGAGGGCGCGCGAACGACGTCGACGCGGTCGCGAGGACGCGCTGGCACGACATCGCGCGCGGAGGAGGAGGACGGAGCGCCGCGGGGTGGGGGATTACAGACGCGGAGAAACGCGCAAGATGTTCCTTCCCCCGAAACGTGTCGAAACGCGGGAAGACGACCGGGCGCTCGACGTCGTCCGCGCGCGTTCGCGTCCCGCGCGCGACGCTCGGCGCGATGTGTCGGTCGCGTGAAGCGCGGCGCGAGGTCTCGGTGCGGTTTCGAGGCTCGCGCGCGCGCGCGTCGGTTGTGCGCGGCGCGCCCGACGCGGTGACTGTGCGAATGCGCCAGCTCAGCGATTTCGGATCTCGGTTCAACGCGGGCACGCGATTGGCTGCGATCAGTTGATCGCTCCTGTCCGTGCCGTGCCGTGCCGCGGCTTGAGCCGTAGCCGGCCTGCTGGCGCTTCCGATAAAAATGCCGAGACGGGATGTCATTTCCATCAGCGCGTCGTCCAATCATGTCCACGTCGCGGTGGTTCGACGCGATAGACTCCTCGACGCCGTTCCACGCCGAGGTGTGGTCCCACGCCGACGCGCAGACCGTGCGCGACAGCGCGGCGTGGGACGACTTGGCCGCGAACGCGATCAGACGGGCCCCGTCGGAGGCGTTCGCGAGCAGATTCAAGACGTACTTCGTCAGCGATTACGTCTTCGTCGAGGACTTCATCGACCTCCTCGCGCGCGCGCTCGCGTCGTCGCGCGACTTTGAGCACAAGAAAGTCCTCGGCGCGTTCTTGCACTTGATCTTACAGGGCGAGGCGAGCATCTTCCGACGCAGCATGAAGAAGCTGTGGGGCGTGGACGCGGACGCGATAAAGCGCGATCCGACGTCCGCGGGCGCCCTCGCGATCGCGTCGACGGACGTGCCGCGTCGGATGTCCGCGTTCCTGCGACGCGTCGCGGACGACGGCGACCACCTCGCGCGCGTCGCCGTGATCGCCGTCGCGGAGGCGCTGTACTTGCACTGGGGGAAGCGCGTGACGACGAACTACGTGATCGCCGTGAGCTTGGGCGTCGGCGCGGACGGCGTCGCCGACGACCGCGAGCTCTACGCGACGTGGTGCTACCCTCTGCACGCGTCTGACGAGTTCGAAGCGTGCGTGTGCGCGTTCGTGGAGGCGTTCAACGCGAGCTGGAGGGACGCGGGGGAGGAGAGTCGCGAGGCGTGTCGCGGGGTCGTCGCGGAGATGTTGGAGTTAGAGGTGGAGTTCACCGCGCTGCTGCTCGCGTGACGAGAAGCGGGCGGGCGGGCTGCGGGGGGTTTCGCGCGACGCGCACATTTTTAATTTCATCATCTCCGCGCGTCGTCACCGACGGTGCCTGTTCTCCTCCGCCGCGCGCATCGCCTGCGCGATCCCGACCAACCGATCCAACGCCGCGCTGAAAGTCGGGCGGCGTTCCGGCTGCGTCGCCCAGCACTCCATGAGCAACCGAACGTAGCTCGACGGCAGCGCCGGCGACGCCGGCAGCTTCGGCCGCTCGCCGCGTAACAACGTCGCGACGATCTGCATCGGCGAGTGCCCGCGGAACGGCTCGTCCCGGGTCAAGCACTCCCACATCACGATCCCGAACGAGTACACGTCAACGCTGTTGTTATACGCCTGGTTATCCAGCAACTCGGGGGCCATGTACGGATACGTCCCGACCAGAGTGAGGAGGTTCGACGTCGGCCCGTGCGCGCGCGCGAGGCCAAAGTCCGCGACTTTGATGCACCCGCTCTCGTCCAAGAGCAAGTTCCCGGACTTGACGTCGCGATGGATGATGCTCCTAGAGTGCAGGTACACCATCCCGCGCGCGGTGTCCGCCATCCACCGCAAAACGTGCGCGGCGGTGATGTTCTGCCTGCGGTTGTGTAACACGCCGTACAAGGAACCGTTGGAGCAAAAGTCCATCACCAGGCACAGATCCGGACCCGTCGTGCACGCGCCCAGAAACTGCACGACGTGCTTGTGCCGTAAACCGCACAAGACCCTGAGCTCTCGTCGGAAGTCCTCCGCCGCCTGCGGCTGCGACGGGTCTAATCTCAGCCGCTTCACCGCGACGTCCGTACCTTGGTAATTCGCCTTTAACACCTCGCCGAACGCGCCGGTGCCGACGCGCTTGCCGAAGACGATGGCCTCGATCGGAATCTCGTCGAACGACGCCTCCGGAACGGGCGATCCGCCGCTCGGGGTGCGCTGGTGTCCCGCGCGCGGCGTCGGGACCGCGGGCGCGAAGTTCGGAGGGATGATGTTCAGGTTCTGCGGCCGGTTCTTCATCGGGATCGGCGGCGGCGGCGCCGTCGGCGCGTCGTCGAAGTTCGCCCACCCCTCCATCGGCGCCTGCGTGCGTTGCGGCTGCGGCGGCGGCGGCGGCGCGGGGGGTTGCTGCTGCCGCGCGGACACGAACTGCTGCGACTGCTGCAACTGCGACTGCTGCGGCTGCGGCGGCGGTTGCTGCTGCAGCTGCTGTTGCTGCTGACCGCCCCACCCGCCGCCGTTCCCGCCCCACCCGCCCATGGCCGCGGCGACGCCGCCGCCGCCGTTGGTCCTCGACGCGGCGTTCATCGACATCGGCGGCCCCGCCGTCGGCGGCGGGCGCTGCGAGTTGATCCCCGCGGGCGCGATGTCCTTGAACATCGTCGGTGCCTTCGCGTCGAACACCGCCTCCTGCTGCGTCGTCGGACGCACCGCGGTGAGCTCGAACGCCGCGAGCGACGCGGCCATGTCGAGCGCCTTCTTCTCTTGCGACGGCGTCCTGTTGTGCCCGCCCGTCGCGACGCCCGAGCGCATCCCCGCGCCGCCGCGTCCGGCGCCCCCGCCCGGGACCGTGCCGCCGGCGATGGACGTGGACCCGCTGTACCCACCGAAGATGGGCGGCCGCGGCGTCGCCGCGGTCGTCGCCGCCGCCGCGGAGACCCACCCCGCGCCGTCGTCGAAGTCGATCAGCGGCGCCCCCGCCGTCGGCGCGTTTCGCTCGTTCACCCCGCCCGGGGAGAAGACCACCGGCCAACCAAAGTCCTCCGCGCTGGCGCCGCCGTCGTCGCGCGCGCCGCGCTCGCGCTCGTTTCCGCCCTCGGACGCGGACGCGTACTCGTCGTCGCTCGGGTACGCGTCGAACGGGGACACCTCCCTCGCGCTCGCGGGCGGCGGCGTGTGCGACGACGGCGGTCCGAACGAGCTCGCGATCATGCTCGCCATCGCGGCCCTCCCTTCTTTGCTATCGAAATTCGGCAGCGACGCAGGGAGCTCGAGGAACCCGAACCGCTCGCCGCCCTCGCCCTCGCCGAGCCACCCGGGCGGGAGCGCGGGGTCGCCGCCTTCCTCGACGAACGCGAGCATCATCGCCGGCCGCGCGCGCGCCTCCACGAACGTCGCTCTCAGCGCGCTGTGCTCCATCTCTAACCGCCGCGCTTCCTCTCTCGGGAGCCCGCCCTCGCCTCTCCCTCCCGGCCCGGCGTTCTTTAACCCGCCCGCGCCGTACTCCGCGAGCGTCGCGGCGACGTACACCGCGGCGCCGTGAAGCAGGTGCGCCTCCACGGCGACGAGTTTCCCGACGTGCGCGAGCAGTCTATGCCACTGCAACGCCGCCAGCGGGGGATCCCTGGGTAAGATGTCCGCCGCGACGTCCAGAGCTTCTCTGCAGCAGCTCCCGAGCGAGAGCATCGCGCTCAGGGACTGCGCCGACACCGGGTCCGGCCGCGCGTTCGTCGACCTCTCCGCGTCGAACGAGTAGTTGTTTTCAAACGCGCGAAAGTCTTTGTGGAACCGCGCCTTCGCGCTGAGCATCTTCGCGTACGCGACGATGAGCCTTCCGCAGACTTGCGAAAGGCCGTACTCGCCCCCCATCTGTCCCGGCCCCCAGTGCGCTTCCACGAGCATGAAGTGATCGAGCCACTGGCACGTCGCCGGCAGCACCGACGGCGATCCTTTTTGCATGAGCTCGTGCACCGTGCTCAGCACCTTGAGCGTGATTATCGGCGAGTTCAGCAGAGGGCACCGCGACAGCGCGAGGATCGCCTCCTCCGCGGCCGCGGGGGATCGCCACGACTCGTCGACGAGTCGTCGCGTGTGCTTGCTCTTCGGCGGTCCGTCCGTCGGCGCGGTCGCCTTGACGACGGACATCTCGACGTAGGAGAGGTTGGCGATGAGCCGCTTCACGACCTCGCGCTTGCGCTCCTTCTTCACCGGCGGGTCCGGCGCCGCGATCTCGCGGTTCATGTGAAAGTTTCCCAGGGACCCGCTGTTGACGCGCGACAGCGCCGAGTTGCCGGGGTTATGCCGCGGCGGCGGGCGCACGTCGTCCATCCTATTATATTCCTCTCGAGCCCACCGCTTTAGGACGCGCGCCCCGTCCCGTCGTCGCGACGCGCGCGCGCTCGATTCGACGCTCGATTGGACGCTCCGCGCGCGCCGCGACGCTCCCGGCGCGGACGCGCGGAAACGCGAAGGATGCGACGCGACGACCCGAGTCGCGCGCCTCCACACGCGCCCCGCGGCCACGTATCTGAGCGCACGATCTCGTTTCCCCTCCTCTTTAAACGGCGTTGGTTCGGGCCGCGTTCAACAAACCGGGTGCGGTGGGTGGTGGGCCGCTGTGCCGGCGCGCGTCGTGTGCGCATTTGCACTCGTCACGGCGCGTACTGTAGTACGCTGCGACCGACCGGACCAAACAGCTCGAACGGATGAGAAAAAGCGCTGCTCGCTTTGCTTTTTTGAGCAGTCTTCGCGATCGGCGGAACCCTACGGCTCCCTGGTGCTTCGTCACTCGGCGCGGCACCAATCGCCGCCGATCCCGCTCGAGATGGCGCCCGTCTCCATCGCGCAGTCGCGCGCGTTGATCGCGGGCCGCCGCGTTCGCGACGAGCGGCGCGCGCGATCGAACGCTCGCGTCGGCGCCGCGACGAGCCGCCGAACAAAAAATATCTCGTCCACCACAATCGCCGCCGTTTGGCCTCCTCGCGATGGCGCGCTCCTCCGCGCGACCGCGGGCGTCGCGGTCGCGACCCCCGCGGCGGCGCGCGCGCTCCGCGGATCGACGATCGGCCAAACCGCGACGAGAAACTCGCGGACGACGCGACGGATCGTCCCCACCGCGGTCGCGGCCGCGTCCGGGGGGGATGATGCGTCCGCCGACCCGAAGGAGACGAAGAGGATATCGAAGACGGACATCAGCCGCGACATCCTCGCGGGGATCTCCACCGCGTGCGTCGCGATGCCGCAGTCCTGCGCGTACGCGTTCCTCGCCGGCACGGGCGTGAAGTGCGCGGTCATGGCCGCGGCCGCGTGCTCGATCCCGTGCGCTATCCTCGGCTCGTCGAGGTACATCCAAGTCGGTTGCCTCTCGCTCGGCGCGTTGCTCACGCGCGGCGCGCTCCTCAACAACGGCTTGATCGGCGCGACGGAGGTGTACGTCATGGGCGCGTCGTGCCTCGCGTTCTACGCCGGGTGCACGCGGATCGCGCTCGGGTTGGCGAAGATGGGGAACGTCATCACGTCGTTGCCCGTGAGCATCCTTCAAGGATTCGTCAGCGCCGCGACGTGGATGGTGTTCTTCTCGCAAGTCCCCGCGATGGTCGGCGCCACGGCGCAAGGGCCGATGGCGGGGAACTTCCTCACCGCCGCGCTGTGGCTCGCCGCGCACCCGCTGTCTTGGGACTTTGGTAGCGCAGGGATGGCGGCGCTCACGTTTTTCATCATGCTCAACGGCGGCAAGGTGCACAAGCTCTTCCCCTCCGCGCTCGTGTGCTGCATCGTCGGCTGCGTGCTCGCGACGATGGGCGTGAACGTCGGCACGTGCGTCGGCGCGATCCACGTGAACTTGAGCACGCTGTGGCCGCCCGCCGCGTTGGAGATCCCGAGAGCGCTCGCGACGAGCCTCCTCGTCCCCGGGATCGCGATGGGGGTCATCACCTACCTCGAAGGCGCAGCCGTGTGCCGGATGTGGGCGGACAAAGACGGCGAGGAGTGGGACTCGGACAAAGAGCTCATCGCGCAGGGCGTCGGGAACATCGCGTCCGCGGCCGCGGGGGGGATGAACGTCGCGGGCGTCATCTCGCGCAGTAGTTTCGGCATCATCGCCGGCGCGAAGACGCGTCTGTCGCATTTCGTCACCGGCGTGTGTCTCGTCTTGTTCGTCATCACCGGCGGCGGCGAGCACCTCGACGTGTTACCGAAGGCTGTCCTCGGTGCGCTCGTCGGGAGCGGCGTCTTGCCGCTTCTCGGTCCCACGGAGAAGATGAAGCCGCTGCTCGGGAAGGAGAGCTTCTTGGGGCAGCCGTACGAGGTGAAGCGGGACTGCGTCATCTGCTGGGCGACGGCGTTGTTCACGTTCACGGCGAAGCCCACGTTAGACATCGGCCTGTACCGCGGGTGCTTCTGCGCGCTGCTGTTCTTCTGCTGGGAGAAGTGCAACGCGAACTTCGAGAGGGCGAAGGCGGAGGAGGAGGCGAAGAACAGCGGGGGCGGCGCCGCCGCGGCGTGAAACACGTCGAAGACCCCTTTTGTACCACTGACGAACGAATGCCTTGACTGTATAGACGAGTTGATCAGCATATGTAATTTGAGGTTTCGATGATCTCAATCACGGACGGATTACACACTATAGGGCCTACTACGTGTAGTAATATCACGCGAAGCGACCACGCGAGTCGAAGCGCCGCCCGCGGACGCGTCGTCCGACTGAATTTGGATTTGGATTAATCCGCGCCGCTCACGAGGAGAAGCACGGTCCTCCCTCGACCGGGACCGCGTTCGGGATGAACCCGAAATCCTCCACCTGCCCGAGGAGGCAGTATACACCCCCCAGCGCGAGCAAGTACGCGAGCCCCTCCGCGAGCCCGAGGACGCCCCCCGGACCCTCGGGAAGTCCCGAGCCGGTCCGGACCTTCTTCACCGCGCTGTACGCGACCAGGGCGCAGACGTAGAGATAGCTGAGACCCTCCGCGGCGCCGACGAGCCCGCCCGGGCCCGGCGGGAGCCCGCACCCGGTGTGCCGGAGCGTGTACAGGCTGTACCCCATGATCGCGCACGAGACGCACCCGCCGACGCCGACGATCGCCTGCCGCCGGAGCTCGCGGTCGTCCCCCGCGAGCGCGTCGCGCGTCCGCGACGGGCTCACCTTCGCGAGGTCCTTGTCCAGGTCCTTGAGTCCCGCGACGACCGGGTGGGTCGCGACGCGGCGGGCGCGCGTCGGCCGCGAGGCGACGCGCGCGATGCGGAGCGCGCGCGGGGGGACGACGCGAGCGGCGAGGAGGGCGGACGACATGGCGCCGGCGACGTGCGCTCGCGCGTGTGACGTGGCACTCGGCACCGATCGCGATATTAAGTTGAGTCTCCGACGCGATCGACGCGCTCGATGTTACTCCCGCGGTCCGCCGCGCCGTCGAGCGATCTCGCGCGCGCCACAACGATGAGCGCGGACATGGAGGTCGACCCCCCCCCCGGGTGGGCCGCGGACGTGGAGACGTTCGTGTCTCCCGACCGATCCATCCCGGAAGCGTCGCGCGCGGACGCGTCGCGCGCCGTCGTCCGGCTCCTGCGCGACGGCGCGATCTCGTTCCTCGACCTCCTGCGCGGCATGGAGTCCGCCCTCGTGACGACGGAGGACGCGCGACGCGCGCGCGGGGTGCTCCTCCTCGCCGAGTCCGTCGCCGGGTACGCCTCGGGCGCGCCCGACGGCGCCGACGACGCGTCGCGGTCGCCGCGTCCGCTGCCCGCGAGCGCGGCCAACCTGCTGTCGCAGTACTTCACGTCCAAGCTGGACGACTTCGCGGTCGTCCGCGCGGCGCTGCTCGGATGCGCGGCGATGCTCCGCGCGCGCGTTTCAGTTTCGCCCGAAGAAGGGACGAATCCGGGATCCGTCCCTCACGCGGATCCCGGCGCGATGACGACGACGACGAATCCGAAGACGACGCCCGCGGTGACTCGACTCGCCGCGCTCGACATGGCGGACCGCTTCTTCGACGCCGTGCACGTCCCGAGCCTCGTGCAGGCGGATCGCCAGGTGCGTTCTATACACTGGTCCCCATACGACCGCGTTGGCGAGGTGAACGCCGATCCTTAAGGACTTTGCCCGGCGCATCTCTCCGCCCACCCCTCGCTTTCAATCCCCGTCCTCGACGCCTTTGAACTCCACCTGACGCCTTTGAACTCCACCCCGACATCGCTTTGTATGGAATGGCCCTCAGCGAAGCTACGAGCTGCTGATCGCGCTGCTGTCGCACGCGGGCGCGGCGGACGAGCCGGACGCGGTCGGCCCGCCGCTCGGCACGTCGACGCCGTCGGAGCAGCTCGAGTGCGTCGTCGCCGCGTGCGACGGCGAGAAGGACCCGCGGTGCGTCCTCCTCGTCTGCGAGCTCTTCCAGGCGTTGCCCCGCGCGTTTTGCGGCGCCGAGGGCGACGACGCGCGCGCGCTCTCCAAGCTCGACGCGCATCGCGCCGCGTTCGCCGCCGCCGCGGAGACGCTCTACGACGTCGTCGCCGCGTACTTCCCGGTGTCGTTCCGCCCGCCGCCCGGCGACGTCGTGCGCGTCACGCACGAGCAGCTCGCGGCGACGTTGCGAGGCGCGATGTGCGCGTCGAGCGCGTACGCGCCGTGGGCGGTGCCGCACGTGTTGGAGAGCGTGGACGGGTCCAAGCCGGGGCTGGTCGTGGACGACGCGCTGGCCGCGCTGGCCGCGTGCGGGAGCGCGTTCGGGCGGCGCGCGATGGCGCCTCACATGCGCGCGACGTGGGGGGCGCTGCGGAGGGTGCTGCTGAACCCGCCGCAGGGCGGGGAGGATCTGAACGCGGAGGGCGTCGCGCGGTGGGCGACGAGGATGTTCGCCGCGGAGTGGGCGACCGGGGGGGGCGGGCCCGGGCGCGTCTCGCTCGTGGACTTGGCGCTGGAGGATTCGTGCTTGAAGGACGCCGCTGCCGCGTTGTCCCCGAGCGGCGTGAGCGAGGATGGGGAAGAAAACGAAAACGCGGAGAAGAGCGGCGGGGGGTGCTGCGGCGGGAGCGGGCACGATCACGACCACGACCACGACCACGGCGGCGGCGGCGGCGGGTGCGGCAACGCTCGACCCGGCGGCGGCGCGACCGAGGGCGCCGCCGCGTCCGCGTCCGAGGTCACGAAGCGCGGGCACGCGCTCGTCGCGGGCGCGGGCCGCGTCCTCGGCGCGGTCGCCGCGTCTGGCGTCGCCGCCGCGTCCGCGGCGATCGCGCGCGGGTTGACCCCGCTCCTTGACGCGGCGGGCTTGGGACCGACGGGCGACGTGGAGCGCGTGAAGCCCGGCGTCGCGCCGCTGTTGCTCGTGCTCGCGATGCCGACGATCTCCGGCGCGCTCGACGGCTCCATATTCGGCGGCGGCGAAGAAGAGACGGGGACGGGGACGATCGGCGGGGCCCAGGGCGTGTTGGGCGCGTGCGGGCCTCGGCTCGCGGGTCTGTTCGCGGCCGCGGCGGCGAAGACGATCAAGGGCGCGGGCGCGTTGACGCGAGACGACGGCGTCGAATACGTCGAGGACGAGGAGGAGGCGTTCGTGGACGCGTCTGACGGCGCGATTCTCGGCATCGCGGGCCTCCGCGCGCTCACCGCGTTCCCCACCGGGCACGGGCTGTCGTCCGGCGACGGCGCCATCACCGCGATGCGCGCGCTTGTGGACGCGGCGACGCGGCCGGACGACCCGCCGCCGGCGTTCGCATCAAGCGCGGCGAACGACGAGGAAACGACGGCGTACCTCGCGTACGTCGGGGACGACGTGCGCCGACGCGCGGGGGAGGCGCTCGGCGCGGCGGCGGCGTCGACGCGGGATCCGGACATGGCGGCCGCGGCGATAACGCACGCGCTGCCGCCGTTGATGAAGCTGTGCGAGGAGTGCGCGGGCGGCGCGGCGGCGCGGGCGTTGGCGGCGGCGGCGCGCGTCGCCGCCGTCTCGTCGGCGGCGCGGAAAGTCGCGACGCCGATTTTGTGCGCGTTCGCGACGCGGCCGCGGGACGCCGCGGCTTTTGACGCGGAATCGTGGCGCGCGCTCGTGGACGCGCTCGCGGGGACGTCGGATACGGCGTCGACGACGTCCACGCCCGGGATGCTGCAGCGTGCGGCGACGGACGCGGAGGGCGCGTCGCCGGAGGAGGACGCGGCGGCGGCGGCGTTGGCGACGACGTTTCTTTCTCCTCGCGCGCCCGCCGCGCCCGCCGGGCCCGAAGACGCTTCCGCTTCCGCTTCCGCTTCTGACGACGGCGTCGTGCGACTCGTGCGCGCCGCGGTCGCCGCGTGCGCGGTCGAGACGCAGGAACCCATCGTCGCCGCGGCGATCGAGATCGTCCTCGCGGCGCGCGAGCGTCGCGAGGAAGACGGCGCGTTCAAAGCCGCGGCGGCGGCGCTCTCCGCGACGCGTCCGACGACGCGCGTCCCGTCGTGCGTCGACGCCGTGCGCGCGCTCGTCGCCGTCGCCGTGGACGACGCGTCGTCCGAAGACGACGCGACCGCGGCGTCGCACGCGGCGAGCGCGCTGATGCACAAGCACGGCGGCGCGGCGGACAGCGCGCTGGGCCCCGACTCGGGCGTCGGAGCGGCGAAAGCCGCGGGCGCGTTCGCGGCGTTGCGATCGCCGCGCGGCGTCCGAGTCGTCGGCGGCGTGCTTCGCGCGCTCGCGGCCAGGAACGACGCGACCGCGCCCGCGCTCGCGGCCGAGCTCGCGTCCTCGCTCGCGTCGGAGGATCGCGAGCTCGCCGCGGGCGCGGCGAAGGCGCTCGGGGCGGCGCTGTCGCCGAGCGGCGGCGGACCGGGCGTCGCGAAGACGTTCCACGGCGTCGAGAAGCCGCTGTTCCGTCAGAAGCTCTTCTCGACGACGCTGCCGTCGATCCTGACGCCGCTGCGCGCGGGCGCGGCCGACCTCGCGCATCGCCCCGCGCGCCTGTCCGCGCTCGTGCACCTCGCCGCGCACGCGCCGACGCCCGCGGTGCTGCAACGCGGCGACGCCGTCGTGCCGCTGCTCGCGGAGGCGATGCGCGCGCTCGCGGATCGCGAGACGCCGTTCGCGGATAAAGACGCGCTCGCGTCCGCGATCACGCTCACCGCGTCTTTCTTGAGCGACGAGCGCGCGAGGGACGTGCTGCACGCGCACGCGGACGAGCACGGTGGGGGGATCATCGACGCGTTGTGCGCGTTGGGCACGGCGAGCGCGGCGGGGCGCGCGCGGCGGCGAACGAAGCCGGACGAGCGCTTCGCCGCGGGGGACCCGACGATAATGTCCGCGGTCGTTCGCGAGACCGCGCTCGAGGCGCTCCTCGCCGCGGTCGCGTTGCCGTTCAGCGCGGTGTACCCGCAGAGGAAGGCGGTCATGAAAGCGGCGACCGCGGCGTTGGACGACCCGAAGCGACGCGTGCGGATGGCCGCGGGGAGGTGTCGCGAGGTGTGGCGCAAGTTGGATCCGAAGTGCGCGTATTAGTAGACGATGAGAGAGTTTTGGACGAGGACGACGCTCTGGAGGTACACTGCTACACACCACGACGCATACCGTGTATAACGAGCGAGCGTGACAATAACGCTCTCACGGTATGCGTTCGCCGATCTCCCCTGAGCCCTCCCAGTCCGCCCCCACGCGATCGCTGCTGAAAATCGGCAGCCGGTTTCGCATGTGCACGCGGTCGATCGCCCAGTTCACATCCGCCGGCAGCGGTCGGATATCTTTCCCGAAATACTTGAGCGTCTCGTCGAGCTGTTCGAGGCTCGTGTGCCCGATGAGCGTCGTCGTGACGAGCGCGCGGTCGCGGCACCACCTGAGCGCGAGCTCCGTGAGCGACATCCCGGCCTCTTTCGCGATCTTCGCGTACTCGCGCGTCGCCGCCTCCGCGGGGCCGGATCGATACCGGTATAACGTCTTCCCCCAACTGTAGTCGTCCATGCGCCCGCGCGGGTTATCCAGGAGCTTCTCCGCGAGCTTCGGGTCTCGCGCGTTGTCGACTGCGGCGGGGACGTCGAGGTATTTCCCGGTCAAAACGCCCCCAGCGAGGGCGTTATACGCCATGAACCCGACGTTCTCGTTCGTCGGCGACGACGCCTCGGACACTCCGTTCTCTTCCGACCGTCGGTTGATGATGCTAAAGTCGCCTTGAAGCACGCACGGCGGATACTTCCCGATCGCGCGCGCCGCGTACACGCTCGCGGTGAGCCCGTACGCGTTATCGTTGCACATCCCCCACCCGCGAAGCTTCCCCTCGTCGATGAGCTCCCCCGTCGCCTCCGCGATCTCCTCGAAGCTCGCGTGGTTCCGATACCACGGCGCCGCCTCCGTCTCCTGATGATACTGCAGCGATTGCCCCCAGTTGCTCTGCGGCGTGTACCTCGCCGGCCAGTGCAGCGTGTACACGTCCACGTAGTCCGTCCCGAGGCGCCGCAGCGACCCCTCGAGGTCTTTCTTGATGTTCTTCTTCGTGACGTTGCCGCCGCCGGTGATCTTCGTCGCGATGACGAGCTTCTCTCGGCGCGACCTGTCCTTCTTCATCCAGCTCCCTATGATCCTCTCCGTGTCGCCCTCCGGCCTCGAGCGGTCCGACGGGATCGGGTACTGCTCCGCGGTGTCGAGGAGGTTCACGCCGCACTCCAGCACCGCGCGGTCCATGAGCGCGTGACACAGCTTCTCGTCCGGGGAGTTGAAGTCCGCGCCTCCCCATCGCTGCGTCCCGAGCGCGAACTCGCTGACGAGGATGTCCGTGTCCCCCAAGCGCTTCCGTCGCATGCCGTCGACGACCTCCGCGACCTCGTTCGTCGAACCGACGTTCGCCGCGCCCTGGGAGAACCCGCCCGCGTTCGCGCTCGACGACGCGCCCTTCGCGGCGTTCGACGGCTTATCACCGCCGAACGGGAAGAGCGAGCCGAGTCCGGCGGCGACGACGGGCGACGCGACGACGGTCCGTCGCGCCGGTCGCGGCGTCGACGCGCGTCGCTCGTCCGTCGCGCGCGTGGACGGCGCGCGCTTGAACGCGCCGTGCACGCGCGATGGCGTCGAGAGCGCGTGCATCATGGCGTGGTGCGCTCGAGGGAGTGCTGACGTAGAACACGAAACCGATGATGCCGACGTGATGAGGCGCGACGACCGCTCTCATCATCGTCAGATCTGACGCGGGCACGTCTCTCGCTCTCGCGGCGACGTCGAGCGCACAAGCGCCGACGCGGCCGCCCGTCGTCGGGGATGACCGAGGAGGGCGAGGCTCTGCCGGCGGCGAACGACGCCGGCGGAGGCGCCGCCGCCGACGCGAAGACCCCCAAACCCGCCAGAGGAACCAGAGGCAAGGGCGGCGGTGCGACGGGATCGCGCGCGGGCCGATCGCAGCGCGCGACGCCGCCGACGATGCCGTACACGGGCGCTCTCGCGGGGTGGGCCGCGTCCGCGCCGCCGCCGACGTCGATGGGGCTGGGTTTAGGATTAGGGCTAGGGATGATGCACACGCCGCCGCCGATGTTCAACGGCGGCGGCGGCGGAGGAGGAGGAGGAGGAAGAGGAGGCGCGTCGGTTCCGATGCATCCCTCCGCGCTCCGGTACGCGGCGCACGCAATGACCACCGGGAAGATGGACGTCGGGCACGTCAACAAGCGCCGAAGAGTCGGCTCGAGGCACGCGCCGATTCCGCTGGACGATAACGCGCTGAAGCCGTGCCTGTTCTGGCGGAACGGCCAGTGCAAGAACGGCGACGACTGCGGGTACCTCCACGGCGACTCCCCCGTGCGATGCCAGACGTTCAACACCAAAGCGGGGTGTCGATTCGGCGACAAGTGCGCGTTCAAGCACGTCCGGGGACCGCTCGTCGTCGACGAGGTCACGGACAGGGACGACGTCGACGGAGACGCCGATGGTAACGGCGGCGCGAATCCGAATCCGAATCCGAATCCGTTCGCGACGCACGCGAGCAACTGCGGGTGCGACTCGTGTCACCCGCCGCCGCCGGTCAAGGTGCGGTACGTCGCGCGCGGCGGGGGCGGCCGCGGCGACCGCGGCGACGACGGGAGCGACAGCGAGGACGGCGAGATTCTGGAGGTCGTGGAGGATCAGGGTCTCGAGGACGGGTCGCACGTCGTGGGGGAGCGGACGCTGAGCGCGGAGGAGGTGGCGGCGCGTGACGAGACGCTCACGAAGTGCTCAGGCGCGGTGTCGTGCGGGGAGACGACGCGGCATTGGGCCGAGTTTTTATCTGGCGGCGTCGGCGGCGCGCACAAGGGGCGGCCGTCGAACGGGCTCGTGCCGTTCTGGAAGAAGGACAACGAGCGCGGGAATTAGATTAACTGATAGCTAGCGAGTTATGCTTTAGGGGTGGTTTTGTCGTGAAATCATGACACGACTACGTGTTGTTGCTAAGTTGTTTTGGTGGTACATCTCGCCTCGTCGTCGCTCCTCCGCGCGCGATCGACCGCTCGCTCGCTTAGAACCCTTCCTTGCGGTTCTTGCCGTGGTACAGATCGTCGAGCCCTTTGACGAGGAGACCAGTCGCGACGCCCGCGAGCGTGAGCGGGATCGCGACGGACGTCAGCTTATCCTGCGAGTAGGCGAAGAGAGAGAGAGGAAGCGGCGTGAGTGAGTCGTCGGCGACGATGATGATCGGGCGACGAACCGAACGCGGCCCGTTGGCTGCGCGAATCCTCCGAGCGCGCGCGGGGAGGTCGAGTCGGGTTCCGTGCGCGCACCAGGGAGCCGCCCTTCAGGTGGATGAGGCCCTTGGAAGCCTTGAGCGCCTGGAAGAGGAAGCGAGGACGAGGGAGCGGGGTCGCGCGTCAGCGATCGCGTCGCGGCTCGCGGGACGAGACGAGGGGGCACTTCTTTTTAGGGTTCGCGCGCGACCGTCCGCGCGGGCGCTCGCGCGGCGCGCGGCGACGCGGCGAGCGCCGGGTTCGAGCGCGGGAGCGACGCGCACCTTTTGGGCCGCGACGACACCGGGAGTTCCGGACATTTTGACGGACGCGACGACGAGACCCTTCGCGCGTGCTTCTATGAGACCGCGAGGCGTATCTTCGAGGCATTCAAGAAGCAGGCCGCTGGCGAAATCGCGCACGTCCGACCGAACACGCCAGTTGTTACCCCCACTTTCGGGCGCGCGCCCTCGGCCGCGCACCATGGGTCTCTTCGGGATGTTCAAGAAGAAGGACCCTAAGGACATGGTACGGGAATGGCAGAGTAAGCTCCGGGCGGAGATGCGGAACGTCGACCGACAAGTCCGAGGTGCGCGCGCGAGAACTCCAGATGCGTCCGCCGGCGACGCGACGCGCGAGCGAGGGGCACGGTGCCTTTCGTCGTGCCTCCAGATTCGAGACCGCTGACCTCCCCCGATCCCGCCCCCGTCCTCCCGCCCGCGCGCGTCGCCCTCGCAGACATCCAGAACGAGGAGAAGAAGGTCCGGAAGAGCATCAAAGACTGCGCGAAGCGGAACGACATCAAGTCCATGCGCGTGCTCGCGAAGGAGGTGGTCTCGTCGCGAAAGACCGTCTCGAGGCTGTGCCAAAACAAAGCGCAGATGAACTCGGTGTCCATGATGCTCTCGGAGCAGCTCGCGACGGTGAAGTCCGTGGGGCACCTCACGAAATCCACGGAGGTGTTGAAAGCGATGAACGCCCTCGCGCGCAACAAAGCCGCGAATGACACGATGCGAGAGATGTCCAAAGAGATGATGAAGAGCGGCCTCGTGGAGGAGCTCGTGGAGGAGGCGTTCGAGGACATGAACGGGGGCGCGGAGGACGTGGAGGAGGAGAGCGAGAGCGAGCTGAACAAGGTGTTGGCGGAGATCGCGGGCGAGAGCGTGGCGCTGATGCCGGAGGCGGGGAAGGCGCCGGTCCCGGTCGTCGCGGCGAAGAAGGCGAGGGAGCCCGCGGCGCCGACGCCCGCGGAGGCGGAGGCGGAGGCGGAGGACGACGAGCTCGGCAACCTTCAGGCGAGGCTGGACGCGATACGACAGGAAGCGTCGTGAGCGCGCGTTCGCGGTCGCGCACGGCGGCGGCGCGTTCGCGACGGAGGTGGTGGCGGCGGCGGCGGCGGCGTGCTGTAACGTGCGTCGTCGAGTCGAATCCAGTCGCGATCGCGCGTGGGTGGTGGCCGCGCTCTGAGTTCGACAACCAGCTGAGTAAACAAAAAAAAATCATCAGCGAAACGGCAGCGGCGGTAAGGTCACCGACTCCGCCGCGCGCATCGCGTCCTTCCTCGCCTTATCCATCGCGATCTTCGCCTTCACGACCTGCACCGCGGTACCCTCCTTCTCTTTCGTCCTCTGCGCCACGATCCCTTTCGCTTTCTCGACCTCCGCGCTGACCGCGGTGAGCCGCAGCGCGATCTTCTCTCGCGCCTCGAGCTTCGCGTCGAGCGCTCGCGTCGCGTCGGCGACGACGGCGCGCGCGGCGGCGACGTCCTCGTTCGCGCGCGTCGCCTCGGTCTGCGCCTTGGTCATGTCCGCGAGACCACTCGCGACGGTCTTCTGCGCGCGGGCGATCTCGTTCTCGTGCTGACGAAGGAGGAAGACGGGCGGCGGGGCGGGGAGATCGTCAGTCGCGGAGTGGGCACCGCTCACTCTGGGCACCGCGGCGAGCGCGGGGAGACGCGCGGGGGCGGAGATCGCGCACCGACTGCGCCTTGGCGTTCACCGCGTCGTACGCGCGCTCGGCCGCGGTGACCTTGCTCTCGGCCTCGTACACATGGTACATCGCGGGGGCGTAGTACGCGCCCGCGGCCTGCGGAGGAAGAGGACGGACGGCGACGGAGGGAGGGAGAGGCGCGATGAGCTCGCGAAGGACGGCGCGCGCGATCTCGGCGCGCGATCGATCGGAGCGACGACGACGACGCGACGCGCGCGACGGCGCGCGCGGTCGCGCGGGGACGCACCGCGGTGGCGCCGGCGAGCATCAGGTTGCGTGCGGTGGCCATCGCGCGGGTCGCACGCGTGACGTCGGCGGCGCGCGGGGGGTCTGGCGTGCCGTTGCTCGGCTGCGGCTTTTCGTCGACTCGCTGCGCGCGTGCTCGCGGCGCGCAAGAAGCGAGAGGGAACATTTGTCTGCGTCAGCATTCGCTCACACCGCGATGCGCGTCGGCGTTGCCCCGGCCCCCGCCTTGGGGGCCGCGCGGACGAGCCGCGGCGCGTGGGGAGCGTCCACGTCGAATCGCGGCGGCGGCGGCGCGGATTCGAACGCGAAGGTCGCGTCGCGCGCGCCGCGGCCGCGACGTCGACGGGCGCGATTAATTTCCCACGCGATACAACGACGCTCTGTCGACGTCGTCGACGACGACGACGACGACGGCGACGACGACGACCGTCCGTCCGCGTTCCTCGCGGACTTATCCTCCATCACCCTCGGCGCGTGGAGCTCCGTGGTGACGAAGACGCAGGAGGCGTACCGATGGGCGTCCGGGGACTCGTTCGACGACGACGACGAGCTGTACAACCATCGCTACTCGGCGTCGTCGTCGTCGTCGTCGTCGTCGATCGCGAAGACCGACGCCGGGCAGTGGGGCGACGAGACGTACGCCGACGCCGCGTCGTCCTGGGTCACCGACGACGACGAGGACTACCTCACCCCGGTCGTGGAGACGATCGCGAAGACGGGCGCCGCCGCCGCCGTCGGCGTCGGCGTCGTCGTCGGCCCCGTCGGCGCGTTCATCGCGGATCGACGCGAGAGGGCGGCGGCGGCGGCCGCCGCCGCCGCGGTGCCACCGCCGCTGGACGTCGTGGTCGTAGACAACGCGATGAAGGCGACGCTGATGCTGGGCGCGGACGAGATGCACTTCTTACCGATACCGGACAGCGGGTGGTCCGTCGCGTTGTCGCGGTATCGACCTCGACCGTCGTCCGTCGCCGACGGATCGAGTCGTCGAGGGACGCTCCGAACGACGTCCGTGGCGTCCGCGATGGACGGCGCGTGGGACGACTCCGACTTCGAGTGCCTCGCCGGCACCGACGAAGACGCGCCGCCGCCGCTGCCGGTCGTGATGGTCCCCGGGTGCGCGTCGAACGCGTACACGTTCGACGTCGCGCCCGGCTTTTCCCCCGCGCGGTTTCTGTCCCAACGCGGGCACGACGTCTGGATCGTCGAGTGCCGCGGCGTCGGGTTCTCGCGGCCGTGGAGGAAAGAGAAAGAGTGGACGGACGCGAAGACCGGCGCGCCGAAGCAGCACACGCCGACGTTCGGCGATTTCGACTTCGACACGTACTTGCGAGAGGACTTGCCCGAGGCGTTCGCTTACGTCGCGGGGACGACCAAGTCGAGGGCGCTCGCCGGCGTGGGGCACTCGATGGGCGGGATGCTCCTCGCGTGCCTCGCCGCGGGCGGGGACGCGTTCGGGGGCGAGGGCGAGGGCGAGGGCGACCGCCGCGAGCGTTCAGATGGCGATGGAAAGTCGTGGGAGCTCGCGAAAGTCGTCACGATCGCGTCCTGCCTCGAGTGCTCCACGAGAAGCGCGAAAGGCCCGCAGACTTCGGTGTACGGTAAGCTCGCGTTCATGGCCGGGATGGTTCCGGACGCGCTGTACGGCGGCGGCGATAAGAGCGGTCCGAACGTCCCTCAGCTCCCGCTCGGCCCGCTGAGCGTCGGTCAAGCGTTCGCGCTCGAGTCCGTGTTCGGGTCCCCGGACGACGACGACGGCCCGCTCGACGCGGAGCGGCGGCGGCGATGGGAGAAAAACGCGGTGAGCCTCACGACGTCGTATCCGGGCGCGACGTCCCCGGCGTGCGTGAAGCGTCTGCTGTTGAAAGGGTTCGGGAACGTCCCGCTGCGATTAGTGCTTCAGATGGCGACGCTGTTCTCCCCGGGCGGGCTCGCGACGCGCGAGGAGACGGTGCGCATCCGCGAGCGCGAAGTCGCGGAGGCGAAGGCGAAGAGAGCGAGGGCGAAAAAGTGGAGGGAGAAAAAGGCGCGGCTAAGGCGGCGGAGGGAACGCGCCGAGGATGACGCATCCGGGGCGTTCGACGTCGTCGCCGCGGACGAAGCGTCGAAGAGGAAGACACCGCTGAGAGACGAGAAGGGCGCGTCCGCGGTCGAGACCGCGGACGCGGCGACGGACGCGAGGACGACGAAGACGCCTCTGAACGCCGAGAAGACCGGTCCATCGAAGACCGGTCCATCGCTCGCCGCCAAAACCGCCGCCGCCGCCCCAGCGCAATTTTACCTCGACGCCGTGCGTCGGACGCGTCCGAACATGCTCGCGCTCGCGGCGGACTGCGACCCGATCTTCCCGCCCGTGCAGGTCGCGCACACCGCGCGCGCCGCGGGCGGGGAGTTCATCGTCTTCGGCGACGGCCCGTCGAAGAAAGCGATCGAGACGACGACGGACGCGGAGGAGATTCTCGACTCGATGCTCGCCGACGGCGGCGAACATTTTTCGCACTACGATCTCCTCTGCGGCGTCCGCGCGCCGGAGCTCGTGTACCCGGTCATCGCGGACTTCCTCGCTCGCGACGACGCGCCCACGGTCGCGGACGCGATTCAGAGATGGAAGACCGCGGTCGCGAAGATCCCTCTGCCGGAGTTTGGCGTGGGATTCGGCGCGTTCGGCGGGCTCGTCTCCGTCGGCGACGTCTTCGCGAGGAAGATGTCGTCGGGCGTCGAGACGGCGCGGCGACGGTACCTCGTCTCCCTGAGCGACCTGAGCGAGCTCGAGCACCTGTTCAAGACCGACCGCCCGGGCGGGAAGAAGAAGGAAGATTCGGACGCGGACGCGGACGCGGACGCTCCTATTAGTAAACCTTAGCTAGTTACGATGATGAGACTACTATACTATCGCGTGTCCACGGCGCGGATGCGTTCCATCGTCGCCGCGAAGTCGTCCTCGTCCTGCGCCAACGCGGCGCTGATGTCCAACGTGATCGCCATCGACCGAGTGCTCAGGGACGTGTGCTTCCCTCTCCACGTCACGCACACGTGGCCGTCTCGGAGCGTTCGGTGCCGGGATTTGAACCGACGTTTGAGCTCCGCCCCGAGCGCGGCGGCGACGGCGTCGTGCGACGACGACGTCTCTCGGAGCACTTTCCCGAGCATCCCGCTCGGGGTGAACGGCGACGCGTCCCCGGCGTTTGCCGCCAAATTATCCCCGAGCGTCGTCGCGAGCCATCGCTCCAAGGGCTCTTTCATCCCCTCGTCGTGGTACCGCTCGATGCACCGCTCCACGGACAGCTCCAACGTCGCGACGAGCGCGCGTCTCACGCCGTCGTTCGCGAAGAGTATCGCCAGCGCCTCGGACGTCTCGTCCGTCGGCACCGCGGTCCACCACTGCCCGTGCGGCGACCGCGCGGTGGAGCGGCGGTGAACGCGCCGCAGGCACGACGTGGTCGGGGCCGCTTGAACCGCGCGCGCGGCCGCGGCGGCCGCGTGCATGATGGCGCGCGGACGAGAGTAGTCATCTGAACGTCGTCGCGTCGTCTGATGAAAAAGCGCGGCGCAGTTCGATCGATGCATATGCGATGGCGACTGCAGGTCGTCGCCATAACGCGCCGCGCCGGCCGCCACCGCCGGTCGTCGCCGTTCCACGACCGCGCGCGCCGCGAGTGCATGCTCGCGTCGTCCGCGCACCTCCCAGCGTCACCGTCTGCCCCCGCGCGCGTTCGCACGCGTCGTCGCCGCGCCATGCCGCGCGGGAAGGCTTTCATCGCCGCCGACGCCGCCGAATCTCGTCGTCCCTCCGCCGCCGTCGCCGTCGACGACCCGACCGTCGTGGACGCGTACGGCCCCGCGATACCGGGCGAGCACAAGTGGCTCGGCGCCGCGGTCGCGGAGGACGGCGCGATATACGGCGTCCCGTCGCACAACCGGCGGGTCGTGCGGGTCGTCCCGGGCACCGGCGAGGTCACCGAGCTCGGCTCCGACGACGTGCTCTCGACGAGGAAGTACAAGTACCTGCGAGGCATCCGGACGTGCGCGGGGACGATCTTGGGCATCCCCGCGTGGGCGGACTCCGTGCTCGAGATTACGCCGGAGACGGGGGAAGTGAAAACGCTCGGGGAAGGAACGTTACCGCTAGGAAAATGGATGTGGCACGGCGCCGCCGCCGGCCTCGACGGCAACATTTACGGCATCCCGTCCAACGCCGACGCGGTGCTTTTCGTGGATCCGCGCACGAAAGAGATATCCACGTTTGGCTCGGACGTCATCCCGCCCGGGCAAAATAAGTGGTACGGCGGCATCAGAGGCCCGGACGGGTGCGTGTACGGCATACCGTACGCCGCGAACAGCGTGTTGAAGATCACGCCGGAGACGCGAAAGGTGGAGCACCTCGGCGATTTTTCCGACGTTCCCGGAGGTTGGAAATGGCACGGCGGCGTGCTCGCGCCGGACGGGTGCATCTACGCGTTTCCGTCGCACGCGCCGAGGGTGATGAAGATCGACTGCGCGAGAGGCACGGTGAAGATGATCGGCCCGGAGTTTGAAGGGCGGTACAAGTGGGGCGGCGGCGCGGTGGATTTGGAAGGACGCGTGTACGGCATGCCGAGCGACACGGATTGCGTGTTACGGATACACACGGACACGGAGCGCGTGGACACGATCGGGCACGGGAAGCTGCCGACGTATAAGAACAAATGGCAGGGCGGGGTTTTAGCCCCGGACGGGTGCATCTACGCCATACCCGGCGACGCGACGAGCGTGTTGAAGATCGATCCGCCGACGGGAACGGTGACGCTCGTGGGCCAACTCGGCGAAGAGCCGGACAAGTGGCAGGGCGGGTTCCTCGGTTCGGACGGGATCATCTACGGAATCCCGGAGAACGCGGATAAAATATTGAGGATCATTCCGCCGAGCGTGGACGAGGAGGGGATGGCGAAGGCGATGCGAGCCGCGGCCGCGTCGGGCGCGGCCGCGGTGGGGGTCGTGAAGGAAGACGCGGGGAAAGGGAAGACGGCATCCGCCGGCGACGACGGCGGCGGCCGAGGGACGCTCGCGGCCATCGCCGCCGCGGCGGCGGCGCTTCTCCTCGCGCTCGTGATTCGCAATAGACTCGTTTAGGTAGTTGTCTTCGGTATTAACGTGAATAAACGTCGATAGATAGAAATACGTAATAGATGACTCCGCGCGTCGCTTCGCTCACGCTCGCTACTCTCTCGCGTCCAGCGTCAAATCGCCCATCTCTTTCCCCGCGACCATGATCACCTTCTCGCCGTGCTCGTTGACAATCTCCGCGACGGACGACGGCGTCCGTCGAATGATCCGTCCTTCCTTCCAGTGCTCGCACCGCCACCCGACCCCCCACTCGCCGCAATCCTTGCGCAGCTTCCCTAACCCCCCGCCCGAGACCCAGCTCCCTAACATGCTCTGCTCCTCCTCCTCTTCCTCGTGATCGTCCGTCACGACGCAGACTTTGACTAACCCAGCGCTGTACGCCTCCACGGTGCCGGACAACCGCGCGAGCTGCCTCACCGTGAGCCCGTTGATTCTATCCTCGATCGTCCCTCGCAGCTGCTGCGTGAGCACGAGCGCGATCATGTTGTACAGCCAAGCCGCGGAGGTGCCGCCGATCTCGACGTCGAGCTGCCCGACGGCGATCTCCACGCCGTGCACTCTGAGCTCTAAGATTGGCTCCTCGAGCACGAACTCGTCGCCCAAGAGCTCTCGAAGCAGCGCTCTGTGCTGCTCGAGCTTCTCCTTTTGCTCCGCGGGGATGTCGTCCTCGTTCGCCGCGGCGTCCACGTTCGCGTGCGCTTCGTCGTACTCCTCCTCGTCCTCGTCGCTCTCGCCGACGCTAAACATCGAGCTGAACAACCCGGCGCCCGTCGGGGACTTGAAGTCGTCGTGATCGATCGAGCTGTCCGTCTCGCTCCCGTCATCGCCGCCGGCGCCGAAGATTCCTCCGAAGCTGAACGCCTTGTCCAGCGCCGCGTCCGCCGCCGCGTGGTCCTTCGCCCCCGAGGAGTGTTTCTTCTTCGCGCCCTTCGGGCTCTTCTGCGGCTCGGACGCCGCGGGCGCCGCCGGCGGCGGCGCCGTCGCGGCTTGCCTCGCCGCCCACTTCGCCTGAACCTTCTCCTTCACGCTCGTGAGCTTACTTTCGTCCTTCGACAGCTCCACGCCTTGGTTCACCAACTTCATGAGCTGCTCCGTGTTCACGACGATGTCGTACGAGATCGCCACGCGCGCGCCGTCGACTTTTACCGTGCACAGCCCTTCGCCGTCCACCATCCCCCACCCTTTCGGGAACTCGCAGTACGCGAACTTGATGTCCTTCATGACGGTTCGTATTCCGTCGATGGACACCGTGGATCCGAACCCCGTCTGCGTTTCATTCGCCCCGGTCGCGCTCTCGACTTTCAACCCGTCCTCCGCGACCGCGAACTCCGAAAACTGCAAGTTGTCGACGTGGTAGCACACGCTTCCGAGCGGCGAGTCGTACACGCCGTCCACGCGCGGGAGTTCGAGAGTGGACATCATCTCGCACACGACCTCGACCGCGCTGCGGATCAAGTTCTCGAACCCGGGGGCGATCTCTTCTTTGAGCAGCGCGTTGATGCTCTCGTCCGCGCGGACTTCGCTCCACATCCCTTGCGATTCCTTGAGAAGTTTCGCCACCGGCGACGGCAAGAGACCGTCGTCGTCGCCCTCGTCCACCTTCTTGAGCTTCCCCTCCGGCGTCGTCGTGAACGTGACGTGCCCGGACATCTCTCGCGCCGCCTGCGCGGCCGCTTTCGCGCTCGATTCGTCCACGCCCGCGGCGATCGCGCGTTCGTACAGCTGGTTCTCGTAGTCGTCCAACGCGGCGTTCGTCTCTTCTTTCTTCGCCTCGGCGGCGATTTTCGCGTCTTGCATCCCTTTGACCATCTCCCTCAGACGCGTCACGATGCGATCGACCGTGCCTCGGATCCCCCCCAAGGAGTCGTTCTCCCCGGCTTGATCCCTGAGCTGCTCCCACAACCCGCGCGCGATGTCGCGGCCGTTCTCCAAGAGCTTGTCGTTGTCCTTCTCCGTCGCGACGAGGCCTTGCAAGTCGCCGAGCCCCGCGGCGAACGCGCCCGCGACTTTCGATCCGTTGTTCGCCGCGCCCTTCGCCGCGAGCTTCTCCGCGACGGAGAGGATCCGTCCGCTGACGTTTCGAGCCTGCGAGGTGGCGAACGCGAAGACACGGCGCGCGGGAGGTCAGCGCGCGGGTCGCGATCGATCGAGGAGGCGGCGCGGCGGTGGGGACGAAAGATGGATCAAACGGCAGAAAACAAACACAGCTGGCGCGATCGATCGCGGAGGCGCGGCGCACCCGTTCCATCTTCTCCTCGTCCTGCAGCGTGCTGTCGACCCATCCTTTCCCCTTCTCCTTCCACTCCGTGACCTTCTCGTGCTCCTGCCACATCTTCGACGCGGCGTCGCGCAAGTTGGACGGGTCTTCCAGCGCGTTCGACGCCCACGCCGTCGCGGTGTCGATAGCCTCCTTGGTGCGCTCGCTCTCTTTCAGACGCCTCAGGTGCGTCGCCGCCTCCGCGGAGACGGTCCGCCCGACGTCCTGGAGCTTCGACGACGCCGCGTGCGCGTGCGACGGCGAGAGCGGTTCGTTGTACCCGGCATCGCTCATGACGGCCGAGGATCGCGGCTCGTGCCCCGCGGCGCGATCGTTCACTGGCGAGCGGGCGAGGAGCTGAGGAGGAGCGAACCGAGGGTCCGAAGCCCGCCGTCAGTGATCTTCTCCGAGAGAGAGCGACCCATGCCATGTGTCATCTGATCTCGCGAGTTGACCGTTGAGAAGCTCACATTTTTCACCCACGTCAGGTTTCAATTTGACCGCGCCCGCGCCGTCGATGGGTCTATTGGGTCGGAGAAAAAAACGACCGAACGATGAAAGGACCTCAAAGGCATATTTTGTGTTGAACGCGCCGCGGCGCGCGTCCGTCGAAGAAGCAGGGCGCGCGTCGACGTCGCGAGCGCGATGTCGTCCCCCGGGCGAAAACCGCGCGCGCGGATCGCCCTCGCCCTCGGGCTCGCGCTCGACGCGTTCGTCCTGTTCCTGTGCGTCGCCGCGACCGCGCGCGCGGGCGCGTCGACGGCGTCGGCGGATTCGAGGCGTCGCTCGACGAAAAGCGCCAGCTTGGCTTCGGACGACGACGAATGGTCGTGGTCGACGCCGTCGCTGGACGACGTCGCGTCCGTGACGTTCGTGCGCGCGTGCGCGGTGTTTCTGGACATCCTCAGAGGGCTCTTCGCCCCCGGGATCGGCGGCGGTCCCCCGCCCGCGGCGTTCTCGGAGACGTTCGCCGCGCGCGTGGACCCGGTCTTGTTCTTTTACCATCTCGCGTGCACCGTCGGGCTGTGGTCGCGATGGCGCGCGACCGCGTCGGGCGCGACCGCGGGCTTAGGGGGGTTCGCGTCGATCGACGCGAGGGCGGCGATCGCGGCGAGCGCGATCGTGGGGTGGGTGGAGGTGTGGGCCCTGAGCGTTCCGCTGAACGTCAACGCGGGACATCGGCTTCGCGCGAAAGGAAGCGTCGGGAGGGGAAACGAAGAGACCTCATCATCGCCGTCGGCGCTGGCGCCGATTCCCGAGGAGTCGCGCGCGCACGACGTCGCCGCCGAGGGTTCGCGCGAGGTGTCGTTCGCCGAAGACGTCTTCGCGAACGACGACGACGACGCCGCCGCCGCCCCCGCGAGTCCCGCGGGGAAGGACGACCCGCTGTGGCCGCTGCGCGGCGTGGACGCGCCGCGCGAGCCGTGGAGGGAGGGGCTCCCGAAGGAGCTCGAGGCGCACCTCGAAGCCGCGTTCGCGCGCATGGAGAAGCAAACGCGCGCGGTGTTGGACGCGCTGCACAGGAACTCTGACGCGGAGAAGAAGCGCGGGAGGCCGTTCATCGCGAGCACGACCCTCGCCGGCGTCGCGAAGGAGGGCGGACGCATACGGACGTGGTACCAGCACAGCGACCGCGTGCCGTCGGAGAAGCGACGAAAGGACGGCTCGCTGAAGGATAAGGTGCGTTCTATACAAAAGTTTTTCACCCGTACAGTATCTCGGTTTCAACATTTGATCGCGTGGGTCCCCTTTCAACTGACCGGTGAACATGTTTTGTATGGAACGACCCTAAGACGGTGTTCTCGCCGCCGGTGAACGTCGGGATTTTTGACGCGCCGGTGAGCGTGGCGCACATGCACCGAAGCATAGGCGACCCGAGCACGCGGCCGCAGTGGGACTCGTTCTGTAAGTTTGGAAGGAACGTGCGGTCGTTCAACGCGAACTGCGAGCAGAATGAGATTTTGTTCAAGCCCATCTGGCCCGTCGCCGGGCGGGACCAGCAGCTGATATCCGCGCGGCGGCGACTCCCCGGCGGCGCGCGGATGTACGTCGCGACGTCGCTGCCGCCGAAGTTCCAGCCGCCGAAAATTCCCGGGTACGTCCGCGCGAAGCTCATCACCGCCGGGTACTACGTCATGCCCCGGCCGGGCGGATGCGGCGACGGCGTCCCGACGCCGTCCGACGCGACGGCGTCCGACGACGCGAGCGAGGACGTCGGAGCGGTGATGATCATCTCCATGTTTCACGTGAACTTGGGGTCGGTGCCGACGTCGATATACTGGTTCGTCTCGAAGAAGTTCGCGGGCGTGATGCAGTCGTTCCGGAGGTTCGCGATCAAGCCGTTGAGACGAGGCGAGCGCGGCGAGAGCACTCGAATCGCCGTGTAGACTAGCCGAGCGAGGTCGTGGACGGCGATAGATCGCTCGAGCGTTATTAACAAATCATCGATTCACCGCTCACTACCGCACGTGTACGCGCGCGCCCTCCTTTTCGACCACCACGCACTCACTCGGGTAATAAAGAATGGACGAGAGAACAAAACTTCTTCCGCGGTGTTTGGGTTCGGCGGCGCGATCGTTCACACCACCGCCCCCGCGGGTTGACCGGTCGTCGCCGCCGCCGCCGCGCCGCCGACGGTCTCGCCCTCGCTGAGCGTGTAACAAGACTCGCCGTGGCACCACATGTCCAACCCTTCGCCTTGCTCCGCGCCCTCCGGCACTCTGAGCTCGCCCCCGCAGATCGCGGCCGTGATCTTCAGGCACACGAACGACGCCATCGCGGTGTACGCCGCGGTCGCGACCGCCGCCGTGCACTGAATCACCGTCTGCGCCATCGCCGTGGTCTCGACGTTGAACCCTCCGAGCGCGGGCGACGCCGCGATCCCGAGGAGGCACGTCCCCACGAACCCGCCGACGCCGTGGACGCCGAACACGTCGAGCGAGTCGTCGTATCCGTACTTCTCCTTCAGCACGAGCGAAAAGTACCGGCACACGACCCCCGCGACCAGCCCGAGAAACAGCGCGCCGAGCGGCCCGACGAACCCGGCGCACGGCGTCACCGTCGCGAGCCCCGCGATGCTTCCGGTGGCGATGCCGAGCATCGACGCTTTGCCGTTCTCCGCGATGTCCTGCGCGCACCACGTCATCGCCGCGGTCGCGGCGGCGATCTGCGTCGCGAGGCACGCGAACGCGGCGTCGGCGCCCGCGGCGAGCGCGCTGCCGCCGTTGAACCCGTACCACCCGACCCACAGCATGCCGGTGCCGAGCACGGTGAGGACCAAGTTCCCGGCGATCATCTTATTCTCTTTCCTCGGGCCGAGCGTCATCGCGCCGACGAGCGCGCCGATCCCGGCGGTGATGTGCACGACGATCCCGCCCGCGAAGTCTAACACCCCCGCGGCGGCCATCGCGCCGTTCGGGCCCCAGACCATGTGACACGCGGGGAAGTACACCGCGAACATCCACAGGACGCAGTACCACATCACCGCGTTGAATTTCATGCGTTCCACGAACGAGCCCACCATCAGCGCGGGGGTGATGATCGCGAACGTCATCTGGTACAGCGCCCAGAGCGCCTCCGGGATCGTCTCCCACACCGCAGCCTTCGTGACGCCGGCGAGGAAGACCTTATCGAGGCCGCCGAGGACGCCCGGGAACGCGCCGCCGCTCGAAAACGACAGCGAGTACCCGACCGCGTACCACAGCACGGACATCACGCACGTCAGCGAGAAGCACTGCATCAGCACGGAGAGCATGTTCTTTCGCTTCACGATGCCGGCGTAGAACGCGGACAGACCGGGGATGGTCATGAACAGCACGAGCGCTGTGGGGAGGAGGATCACGAAGTGTGTCACGGGTGAGGGTCAGTCGAAGTCAAAGTCGAAGGGAAAAACCTGAACGCGAGAGGTTTTTGGTTTTTTTTTTTGGCGCGCGACCTTTCGTGGACCTTTCGGGGACTCGGGGACGGGCGACGCGGGGGCGCGAACGACGCGCGCACCCGTGGAGATGAGGATCCAGGCCGTGTCCGCCTGGTTGATCACCGGCACGACGACCTTCGCGGCGGCCGCGAGCGCGGGCGCGGGGGAGAACGCCGCGGACGTCGCGCCGACGAGCAGCGCGGCCGTGAGAACCTTTTTGCCGATCGCCGTCGCGGCCTCGTTCGACGACGACGCCGTCGCCTCCGCGTCCGCGACGACGAGCGCGGGCTCGTCCGCGGGCGTCGCCGAGGGCGCGACGCGGTGAAGATCGAAATCTTTCGAAGCGGCGCGCGTCTTCACCGCGATCGTCGCGCGCTTGGCGAGAGCGGCGCCGGGGAGGACCGCGCGCGCGCTCGCGAGCGTCGGCCTCGCGGCCGAGCCTTTTTTGATTGCTCGAAAGGACGCGCTCGGACGCGCGACGACCGCCGCGGGGGCGGCGCGAACGATGCTGCACGGCGACATCGTGTCGATTCTCGTGAAGGCGGGCGTGAACGTATCCGAAAGGAAAGTCGGTCGAGCGGCCGAGTGAGGGCCGTGAGGCGCGCGACGTTGATGTGACGCCTGCACCGCGGCGGACGCGCTTCCCGCGAAACGTCGCGAGGGAAGCGAAATAACCGGATGAGAAGCGCCCGCACATCTCACAGAGCAATTAGTCTGCAAATTTTGAGAGCCCGGGGAAGCCCGAACCACGATTTCTCGGCACCCGCAGCGCGAACGCGGTCGAGCGCTCTTTCCTGCAGATGCACTTGAAAAAGCGCGTCGTCGCGAGGCCGCGCGTCGCTCCCGCACTCGTCCCCTCGCGGGCGACGCTCGGCGCGCGCCATGGTGCTCCTCCTCCTCGCGCTGTCGATCAAGATGTGGTCGAACCGCCGCCGGAAGCGCAACGCGGAGCTCGCCGCGGTCGCGGCCGCGGTCGCGGCGTCGAAGAAGAAGACCGCGGGCGTCGGCCTGCCGTTCGCGCTGGATCTCGTCAGCGCGGTCGTCGCGGCCGCGGGGACGCTCCGCGCGATACGCGACGACGCCGGCGCGGGCGCGCGCGTGCGCGCGTTCGTCAAGAGGAAGACGTCCTCGAAGAAGAAGAAGAAGAAGGAGGAGGAGGAGGAGGAGGAGGAGGCGAAGGACGCGAGCGGGCTCGAGACGATCGTGCTCCGCGCGCGAGGCATCGAGCTGCACGTCTCCCCGTTCGGGGCGACGGTCACGAGGCTCCTCGTCCCGGACAAGCGCGGACGCGCGGACGACGTCGTGCTCGGGTACGACGCGCTCGCGCGGTACGACGCGAGCGAAGACCGGCCGTACTTCGGCGCCGTCGTCGGGCGGTGCGCGAACCGCATCGCCGACGCGTCCTTCTCCGTCGACGGCGCGACGTTCGACGCGCTGAAAAAAAACAACGGGAACAACTGCCTGCACGGCGGCGGCGTCGGGTTCGACCGAAAGTGGTGGACCGTCGACGCGCTGCTCCCCGCGGACGTCGAGGCCGGGCTCGGGATGGGCGTGCGCATGTCGTACGTCTCGCGAGACGGCGAGGAGGGCTTCCCGGGGACGGCGACCGTCTCGGCGACGTATCGCGTCGTCGACGGCGGCGAGTGGCGCACCGAGTTTCGCGCGACGACGACCAAACCCACGCCGATGAACCTCGCGCAGCACTCGTACTTCAACCTCCGCGGGCACGACGCCGGCGTCAGCGTGGACGAGCACGAGGTGCGGATACGCGCGAGCGGGTACACGCCCGTGGACCCGGAGACGATGATACCGCTCGGGTCGGTCGCGCCGACGACGGGCGCGTTCGACCTCCGCGACTGGACCGCGATCGGGGCGCGGCCGCCGCCGGGGGGGTACGACCACAACTTCGCGCTCGACGGGTACGCGCAGGTGAACGGTCGCTCCGCGTTGTTCCTCGCCGCGGAGGTGCGCGAGAGGGTCACCGGGCGACGGATGGAGGTGTGGTGCGACCAGCCCGGCGTGCAGTTCTACGCGGGGAATTTCGTGGACGCGAGGGGGACGGGGAAGGGCGGGGCGACGTACGGCAAACGCGGGGGGCTGTGCCTGGAGACGCAGCACTTCCCAGACGCGGTGAACCAGCCGAACTTTCGGACGTGCGTGTTGCGGCCGGGGGAGACGTACTCGCATTCCATGACGCACAAGTTTTTCGCCGAGTGAGGCCGAGCGAGAGCGCGTAGTAGGTAGCCTATATTACAAGAAAACCAACCTCCCTCCGAGGACGACGAGACGCGAGACTGACGATGGGATGCATCAACTCGGCCTTCGTCCTCCGAACACCATCCACCGGAAGAACAAGAACAGGACGACGATCCCGACCACGGCGACGATCGGCGCGTATTTTTGCACGAGCGCCTGAAACGCGAGCTCCTTTGCCTTTTTCGAATACTTCCTCGTCTCGCTCGCGAGCGTCTCCGACATGTTCGTGACGTTGTCGAGCTTCTCGCCTTGGCCTAAGATGTCCTGAATGTTCCGCGTCATCACGGACTGAATGTCGTGCAGATCCTCGTTGAGCTTGTTCAAGTTGCGCTGCGTCCGCGTGTCGAGGTAGAGCTTCTTCGTCCTCTGGATGAACGTGTCGAACTTTATGAACGCGTACGGGCGCGCGACTGTCTCCACCGCGGCGCCGTTCAGCGCGCTAAACTCCCTCTGGAGGTCCTCTAAGTACTGATACGCGAGCTTCTTCGGGTACCCGCGGTCGGACAGCGTGAGGTAGCACACGCCCTGCTCGATCATGTAGTGCAGAAAGTACGGCCCGGACTCGTAGGACATCCGCGACGGCGGAGGCGGGCCCGCGCTGAGCTTCTTGAACAGCGTCTTCGCCTGATGCTTGTACGGCTCGAGGTCCGCCTGACGGTCGCTGTCGAGGCCCTCCGCGAGGGGAAGGCCGTCGGAGACGCGCGCGAGCATCGTCAGCTTCACCATGACGTTCGAATCGCTCGGTCAGATCCGACGCAGCGGGCACCCTCTTTCGCACGAACTGACTCGCTCCGTCCGCCGCGCGTCCGCGACCTCGACGACGCCGTCGCCGTCGCCGCCCCGCCGATGCGAGCGTCTCTCGAAGACTCGGGGAGGTGCTCCGAGGCGACGGGTCCGCGCGTCGTGTCGGAAGCGTCCCTTCGCGCGACGCGCGCGCTCAGATCACTGCGGCGACGACGACGGGACGGGACCCCGCGGCTCCGCCCAACGGGTTGAAAACAGAAAGACGTCAGCACTAAGCCCCGAATGATGAGCCCCTCGACGCGCACTTCGCGCGACGCGCGGACGGCCGTCCGCGTCCGAGGACTCGAGCCCGTCGCGCGCGCGCGTCTCCTCGCCCCGCGGAGGACGCCTTCCATCATGTCGAACCCGTTCATCATGCCCGAGGACGACACCGGTTTCGGCAAGCTCCCGCTCGGTCCGTCGCCGTCGGAGCCCCCTCTTTCCGCGCCTCCGCCGCGAGATCCACACGCCTCCGCGACGCACTCGCGCGCGGGGTCCGGGATCACGTCCACGCCCGCGGAGGACGCCGCCGCGGAGGCGCTGTTCGCGGACGACCGCGCGCCGCTCGTGCGCGACGCCGGCGGCGTCGCGGTCGCGTCGTCCGGAGGCGGAGGCGGCGCGACGTCGTCGTCGTCCGCGCCGCTCGCGTCCTCGTCCTCGTCTGGCGACGTCGGCCGCGGCGCGAAGAAGACGGGGTGGATCTTCAGCGCGGCGTACTACCAGCAGTGGTTCGACGTCGACACGGACGACGTCTTATCTCGAACGTTCGAGGCGACGGCGAAGTGCTACGCGGGATCGTTCGCGCGCGCGTGCGACGGCAATCCAGATTTATACGGGCCGTTCTGGATCTGCGCGACGCTCGTGTTTCTGCACGCGATGGGGGGGAACTACGCGCAGTACATGTCGTCCAAGGGGAAGTCCGACGGCGAGGAGTGGAGCTTCGACATCGAGAAGATCAGCGTGTCGAGCGCGATGTTTTTCGGATACTGTTCCGTCGCGCCGGTTTTGTTGTACCTCGTCTTGCGGTGCTTCGCGGGCGTGCCGACGACGAGCCTGTCGTTCGTGCAGCTCGTGTCCACGTACGGGTACGCGCTGACGGTGTACGTCCCGGTGTCGCTGCTGTGCGTCGTCCCGAGCGAGGCGTTCCGGTGGATGTCGTTCATCGCGGGGATGGCGGTGAGCGCGTCGTTTTTGTTCACCAACGTGCGACCGATCGCGGGGGCGTCGCCGAAGGGCGCCGCCGTCGTCGGGCCCGTCGTGACCGCGGTGGTGGGCGCGCACGTGCTGTTCGGGATTCTCCTGAAGCTGTTCTTCTTTCAGTCGTTCTGAGGCGGCGCCGCGGGGTGGTGTTGCGTTTGTGGAGGGGTGGGGGGGCGACGCGAAGGATGACGAGATAGCTTAGTCTGATGAGTTCGCGTCGCGCGCGCGAGAACGACGTTCGACGAATCTGATCGATCGAATCTGATCGTCATCTATCGACCTTCATCACGTCCCGAACCCTGGCTTGGACCACTCGCGGGCTATCCTCTCCGCGAGCGTCGCCGCGGACCCTTTCCCCGACTTCCCTAGGACCCCCTCGCAGTAGCTCGACAGCGCGCTCGCGTCGAAGAACCGCGCGAGGAGCATCTCGTGGCTCAGCGCGTTCACGCGCAAGACGTCCAGAAGCGCGTCGACGAGGTCGCCGCCGTCGCCGTCCTCCTCGACGCCCATCGCGCGCACGAGCTCCTCGTTCCCGTTCACGAACGACGCGAGACCGCGGCGGACGTTGTCGGGGACGGACGCCGCCGCGGGCGCGGATCGTCGCGGTCGCGTCGACGACATCGCGACGTCGCGTCGCGCGAGAATCTGTGACGTTTGCATTCGACGCGCGAGCGCGAGCGCGAGTCAACAACGACGTCGCGTTCCAAACGCGGTCGTCGCGCACTCTTCGAGGCGCCGCCACGCCGCGGCCTCGCGCGATGGCGGAGTCGAATAAACCGTGGGCGAAAGCGTTGCTGCGCGACGCGTCCGCGGTCATGGCGAAGAACCTCGCGGCGGCGAAGCCCAGGGGCGTCGCTTCCGCGCGGGTGCGCGAACCACGACACGAGCACGCGACCCAATTCATCGCGCGTCCGCGTTCGGTCGTCCCGTCGTCCCGAGCGTCCGGTCCCCGTCCACCCAGCCCCCAGCGCGCTCGCCGACGTCCCCTTCCCTCGTCGCTCTCGCGTCCACAGAACGACGGCGGCGCCGTGGAACTCGCGGGAAAGGTGGACGAGCTCGCGCGCGAGCTGAACGACGCGCGAGCGTCGCTTCGCGAGGTGGAAAACGCGCTGTCGGAGCACCTGGAGAAACTCGCGGAAGCGGACGCCGCGGCAGCCTCGGGCGAGGCGTCGACCGAGAACGAGTACACGTCGCGGCTGTGGAAGCAGCGCGCCGCGGACGCGGCGAAGACGCGCGTCGTCCTCACGCTCGAGAAGAAGAGGCTGCGAGAGGAAGCGAAGGAGGAGACGAGAAGAGACGCCGAGGGAAGAGAGAAGGAAATTCGCGCGCTGCGCGCCGAGTGCGACGCGGCGAACGCGCGGCGGAGCGCGAAAGAGACCGAGCTCGTGGAGTACAAGACGGAACTGAGACGCACGCGCGACGCCGCCGCCGCGGAGCGCGCGAAACACGACGCGGACGTCGCGGCGCTGAGACGCGACGTGTACAACGCGAAATTGGAAGTGGACGCGCTACGGAACGACACCGTCGTCGCGGCGTTGCGCGCGGAAGTGCGCGAGCTCGAGAAGGAGAGAGACGATTACAAAGCCGTCGCGGGCGCGCAAGTCGCGGAGACGATGACGAGAGGCGACGCGAACGACGCCCTGTACGGGGAGGTGAGCGAGTTGCGGTCCGCGATGGCGTCGGCGGCGGCGTCGTGGAAGAGCGAACGAGAGACGATTGGCGCGGAGCTCGCGCGGACGAAGCGCGAGGCGGCGGATGCGGCGGCGGAATACGCGAGTAGGGAACTCGAGCTGACGCGGAAGGCTTCGGACGCGTTCAAGGACGCGGGGATCTCGGGCGCGAAGAAGGCGGCGGCGGCGGCGGAGGCGGCGGCGGAGGCGGCGGCGCGAAAATTGGAGACGCCGAGAGGGGGCATTTTGGCCGCCCGCGACGCGAGCGCGGTGTCGGATCTCGTGAACGCGAGGCTGAGGGACTCCATCGCGACGCTGACGGAGAGCAACGTCTCGCTTCGAGCGCGCGTGCGCGAGTTAGAAGACGAGACCGCGGCCGCGAGAGCGACGGCGCGAGCGGCGGAGACGGAGACGCCGACGCCCGCGGCGACGGCGAAGCCGCCGTCCGCGCGAATCGATCGATACGTCTCCCCCGGCGCTCGCTTCGAGTACGAGCACCTCGCCGGGCGCATGCCGACGTCCGAGGACGCGCGCGTTTGCCCCGCCGGCGTCGGCACGGCGACGATCGACGACCCGAACGCGGTCGCGAAGCTGTCGTCCACGGAGGCGCGCACTCCCGACGCCGGCGTCGGCTCGCGCGGCGGCTCGCACCTCTTCGCGCACGCCGAGTCGTGGCGTTCCTACGGCGAGAGCACGCCGATCGGCACGTCGCCGGCCGCGATGAAGCACAGGGAGCAGGCGCTCGGGAAGAGCACGACGGCGGCGTACGCGCGCGCCGGGGACGTCGGCGCGAGCGGCCGCGACGTGGAGAAAATAAATCGCGCGGAGGCGGCGTCGAGGAGCGTGCGACTCGGCGCGCCGTCGCCTCTGAAGACGCAGGAAGCGCTGCGGGAGACGTGCGCGGTCGCCGCCGCGATCGAGGGGTACTCCTCGGACCTGAAGCGTTGCTACCCTGTCACCCCGGGCGGCGGCGGTGGCGGCGGCGGCGCGCGGACGACGAAGCCGGCGATCACGGACGGGAAGATGCTCGGCGGCGGCGGTTGGATTTCGAAGAGCGCTTCGCCGTTGGCGCGGCGCCCGCGGGGGGCGAGCGCGTCGCGACGCGGCGGGTGGGTCGGCGGCGGGTGAAGAGCGATGAAGGTGATATGCCGTACTAGTTTCTAGCTAGATGTGTTACGACGCGCGCCGAGTCGTCGAGCGGAGCGCGCGCCGTCGCCTACGCTACCGTCGCCTTTTCTTTTTCGACTCGGGCTCGAGAAGCGACGCGCCGTCTTCGTCCTCCAAGACGCCGTCCTCGTAATCGTCGAAATCGTCCTCGAAATCGTCGCCGCCGCCCTCCATCTTCGCGTCTAACATCGCGTCCAACGCGCGCTCCATCGCGTCGTCTTCGTCGCCGTCGTCGTCGTCCGACGCGTCGTCGTCATCGTCGTCGTCGTCGTCGTCGTCGTCGCCGTCGTCCTTCCTCTTCCCGCGCTTCTTCTCCCCGCCGCCGCTCCCCAGCGCCGCCGCCGCGCGAACGTACTCGTACATCACCTTCTTCCTGTACCCCTTCTCTAACACCCCCTCCGCGCCCTCGCGCGTCGCGAGCTGATGAAACAGCGTCAGCGCCCTGAGATCGAACGGGAACCGCTCGTGATATACGATCATCTGCGCGGCGATCAGCGCCAGCCTCCGTCGCAACGGCGGGAACGGCGCGTTGTCCGCCCTCGACATGTACGCCGGCTCGTACGCGTCGTCCGCGAACCCGAACGAGACGCACACGCGCGGCTCCACTCGGCAACTGCTCTCCTCGCCGTCCGCGCTGGCCCAGCTCAGGCCGCCTCGCCCGCGTCCGCCCCAATGAATCACGCGATGCGTGAAGACGACCGCGGCGCCCGCCTCCGCGGGCGCCGCCGCGATGTTCTGATACGCCTCCTTGCTCGGCAGACACAGCCGCAGCGGGTCCTTATCCATCGCGTCCGGGTCGTCGTCGTCGCCCACGAAGTACCCTGGGTCGTGCGGCCGCGGGATGAAGTGCAGGCACGAGTTCTCGGTCGTCGCGTCCGTGAACGGGATCCACGCGGTGGCGTACATGGCGGTGCCGTCGTCGCGGAACGTCGCGGGCGCGTCGTCGGGCTGCCGGTCGCGGTGCGGCGAGAACGCGGTCGTGGTGGTCGACGCGTCGTCGACGCCGTCGCCGTCGTCCACCGGGTCCACGTGCCAGCACAGCGCGTCGAAGTTGAGCCTGTTCCCGCCGGTGACGAGCGCGACCACCTCCGCGAGCTGCGCGGCCACCATCCACGTCTCGTCGAACGCGAGCAGGAACGACGGGTTCCATCCGTGCTGCGCGAGGCGTATCGCGGACGCCGCGAGCAGACGCACGTCCGCGACGTCGCGCAGCCGCAGAGGCGCCGCGGGAAGCTTCGCGAATCCGTCTCTCAGGACGCGGTCTCGCGCCGCGCGTCCGAGCGCGTGCAGCGCGGTGCCGGGCGCCGCGGACGCGAACGATGCCGGCGCGATCGTCGCGGGATCTGCTGCGTCGACGGAGAGGCCTGGACAGATCGCGCGCCAGTACTCCGGGTCGATGACGCGCTCGACGGTGGCGTGCCGAGCGTGCAGCGACGGGTCCGGCGGCGGGTCTGAGGGCGACGGCAGCGGCGTCGGCGTGGGCATCGTGCCGCGCTCTGGCAGTCTCGAGCGCGCGCGCGCGAGGATCTGTGACGACGAATCACGCTTGGTTTCGGCGACGCCGATAGCTCATCCGCATCTCTCGGGGTTAGGGTTGACGCCGCGCGCACACCTCGCGCGCGCGGAGACGACCGCCCGTGGACTGCGACCCGCCCCGCCCGCGTCGCGTCGTCATGGCATCCACGGCCGCGAGAGCGGCGAAGCCGCACCTGCACTACATGTCCGCGTGGTTCTGCCCGTTCGCGCATCGCGCGACGCTCGCGCTGGAACATCACGCCGAGCACCTGACGTACAAGTGGTACGAGGCGCTGGGGTGGGAGCAGCGCGCGGCGACGGACGACATCGGCGTTTCACACGAGAACTGGTACCACTACAAAGCCCCGGAGCTCCTGAAGCACAACCCGCTCGGGATGGTCCCGACGCTCATCGAGGACGCGACGTACTCCGGCGTCGTCCCCGCGGGCGAGACGCCGAGACCTCCGGTGCGCGAGTCGCTCGTCGCGATCGAGTTTATCGACGAGCTCGTGCGCGGCGGCGACGCGCCCATCATGCCGTCGTGCCCGTACGAGCGCGCGGAATCGCGCGTCGCCGCGGACGTCGTGAATAAGAGCATCTGCAGCAGGTACTACCACGTCTTGGTTCGCCAGGACGAGTCGGAGCAGCGAGACGGGTTCGAGAAGATGGTCGAGGCGATATCGAGCTTCGGCGACGGGCTCGCGGGCGGCCCGTTCCACGGCGGACGTGACACCCCAGGGCTCGTGGACTACGCGCTGTTCCCGTGGGCGCACCGCCTCCCCGTGCTGGAGTTCTACCGCGGCCTGGAGTATACGATACCGGCGAACACGGACGGCCTGCGCGCGTATCACGCGTGGTTGCGAACGATGCGCGAGCGGCCGGCGGTGGCGAAGACGCTCCCGGACTGGGACGATTACCTCGCGCACATCGGGCGGTACGCGGACGGGAGCGCGCGGTCGAAGGTGGCGAACGCGGTCAGGGACGGGCGGGACGCGCATCAGTACGACGACGAGAAGGACGACACGAGTCACTGACATGAGGGGGATTTAGGGTGGGCACGGCGGGCGCGGCCAAACTCGCGCGCCCGACAAATCTATTCATCAATCAGATCCTTCAGCAGTATCAGATTCTAGACGCTCAAAGGTCATCGCAACAGCCGCGACGGGACGAGCACGCCCCCGCGGTCCAAGTCCGGCGCGAGCACCTTCCCATCGTTCGCGGGATCCCCCGCGGTGAACACGTCGTGGTGATCGTCCAGCCACAGCGCGAGCGCTTCGATCGCGGCGAGTCGCTTAGGGTCGTTCCATACGAGCGAACGTCGGGGTGGAGTTGAAAGGCGTCAGATGGAGTTGAAAGGCGTCGATGGCGGGGATCGAAAGCGAGGGATGGGCGGAGAGACGCGCCGGGCAAAGTCCTTAAGGATCGGCGTTCACCACGCGAACGCGGTCGTATGGGAACCAGTGTATAGAACGCACCTTAGTGATCGAAGTCCGCCGTTTTTCTCCGCCCCCCCCCGATGCCGACGCGCCCTCATCTCCCGTCGCTCCCGTCGCCATCGCCGCGGCGAACACCTCCCTCGCGCGCGTCGTCAGCAGCTCGTGCGCGCGGCTCGGTCGCGACGCCGCCACGGTCTTCGCCGCCGCGCCGTCCGCCGTCGCGCCGCGCGCGATCGGCGACGACTCGCACGTCGCCACGGTCACCGTCGGCGTCGTCGCGCGACCGTCTCCTCCTCCTCCTCCTCCTCCTCCTCCTCCTCCCGTCGCGACGTCGTCGCCGTCGCCGCGCACGAGCCCCGCGGCGCCGGCGAGGCCGACGACCGTCGCGACGAACGCGCCGTCGACGACGCACGCGAGCGACTCCGTCGCCTCGTCCAGGGCGCCAAAAGCGCCGTCGTCCGTCGTCGTCTCCGTCGTCGTGCCAGCGTCGTCGACTTCGAGCGGGGCGCCGAGCGCGTCCAGCGCGACGACTCGCACGCGCGGCGCGACGGCCGCGAGGTGCGCGAGAAGGTCGCGCAGCTTCGGGGGCCCGGCGAACGACGGGGACGTCGGCGCGTTGACGCGCATCGCGACGACGACGACGACGACGACGACGACGCGCGGGGCGGGGGACGCTCGCGCCGCGCCGCGCGGTGTGCGAGGCGCGCGATCGTCAGAATGTTGACACGTCGACTCGCGTCGTCGAACGACAGGATAAATTAATCCAAACGACGCGACGCGTCCCGTCGCGTCGACGCTCGCGAGCGCCACTCCCGCGCGCGCGTGATGGCGGCCGCGGAGGACGCGACGACGCCCGCGGCGGAGTCGCGCGGCGACGACGACCGCGACGACGACGACGACGGCGACGACGGCGCGCGGTGCGACCCCGCGAAGGCGCTCCCCCCCGAGATCCTCGCGCAGATCCTCGCCGCGCTTCCGAGGCGCGCGTCCACCGCGGTCGCGATCTCGGGCGTGTGCCGCCGCTGGAGAGACGCGGTCCTGGGGGAGACGGAGTACCTCAAGACGGTCGCGTTTAAGATGGACGCGCGGCGGCCGTTCAAAGGGTTAGACGCGAGGATCGCGATCGCGAGCGCGCACCGACGGACGTGGACGTCGCTTCGCGCGCGGCACGACTCGGCGTCGTCGGACCTGTCAGAGTTGACACACGAGCTAGACTCTGGCGACTCTAGCGCGACGCGGCCGACGCGCGCGAAGGCGTCCCCGTCCCCGCGCGCGTCCCCGAGCGCGAAGATCGTCGTCCCGAAGCTCCTCGCGCGCGCCGCGGAGATGGGCGGCAACGTCACCGCGCACGAGACGCTCGCGACGCTTCGCGAGCTCCAGGGCGATCACGCGGGCGCGTACAAGAGTTGGCGGAAAGCCGCGCTGCTGGGCTCGTGCGTGGGGCAGTTCCGGTTGGGGGAGATTTTCTACCGCGGCGTCGGGAACCAGGGCGTGGACGGCGAGGAGGCGCTGTTTTGGCTCCAGAAGGCGACGAAAGCGCGAGAGGCGGGGGCGGCGTCGCTGCCGTCGGAGAGCCTGGGGGTGGCCGCGGGCATCATGGGATTCCTGCACCTCGACGGCGAGGGATGTCAGGCGTGCAACACGACCGCGGTGAAGTGGTTTAAAGTCGCCGCGGACGCGGGGAATAAGGAGGCGTCCACGACGTTGGGATGGATGTACAACACGGGGCAGTACTGACGACCGACGCGCTGACCCGCCGCGGAGGAGCGGACGCCGAAAGAGGCGGTCGCGTTCGAGCTGATGAGTGTAAAATTAGTCTATGAGATCGGAGTCTCTTCGTCTACCTACCGCGTCGTCCCCCCCGTCGCGAACACGTCCCTCGACGCGAAGTAGTACGACGCCGCGCTCGCGCCCGTGACACACAGCGCGGCGACGTGCAGCGGCTCGGCGAGACCCGCCGGCGGCCACCCGAACGCGTGCGTCGACGACGCGCAGGCGAAGACGAGAAACTGCGTCGCCGTCGACGCCTTCCCGATCAGCTGCGGCTCCAGGAACGGCATCGACGTCGATGTCGGCCTCGACGAGCATGCGCCGTCCCCGTCCCCGTCCCCGTCCCCGTCCCCGTCCCCGTCCCGGCTCCTCGCGACGGTCGACGTCCCGCCTTCTTCTTCCAACCCCGCGAACACCGCGACCGAAACCCACCGCCACCGCAACGCGCGCGCGCGTTGCCACCCCACGCCCGCGACCAACGCGACGTCCCGCGTCACCACCGCCCCCGCGAGCCACCACGGCACGAGCCCGGCGACCCCGCACGCGACCGCCATCGACCCCGCGAACGCCTTGTCCGCGATCGGGTCCAGGTACGACCCGACGATGGACGTCTGCCCGAGCCGCCGCGCGAGGAAGCCGTCGGCCCAGTCGCTCGCCGCCGCCGCGCAGACACCGGCGAAGACGAACGAGGGGGGCGTGAGGTCGAAGACGAGCGCGGTCGCGAGGCACGGGCCGGCGACCGCGCGCGCGATAGACAGCGCGTTCGGGACGGTCGCGATGTCCGCGCGCCAGTCGTGGGTCTTCGGTCGCGGCGGCGGCGGCGACGACGACGACGACGACGACGACGACGACGACGACGCGGCGGACGAGGTGAACGATCGAGCGTCGTCGACGACGACGGACGGCGACGCCGCGCGAACCGCCGCGCGGTCGTCGCCCGCCGCGCTCGACGCCGCGAACCCTCGCGGCGCGCTCGACGACGCGAACCCGCCGCGGACGTCGCGCGACGCGTCGCGTCGCGCGCGCGTCGACGCGCGTCGCGCGCCGTCGGCACCCGCGACCGATCGCGGATCCCGCCCGCGCCGTCCCTCGTCGTCGCTCCCCGCGCCGATTCGCGCGCCCACGCGATGCCGACGCGGCGGGTCCGACGCGCCGCGCGCGCTCGACGACGCGCGGCACCCCGCCGCGAGATCGTAGATTAGACGCGCGAGCTCGCCGCGCCGCGCGCGCCGGAGCATCGCGAAGTGCGGAGCGCGTCGTGGCGCGGGCGCGGCGCGTCGAGAAGTGCTGGTGACTGGCGACCCGAGCTCGGTCGGCCCTGAGACACGACGTCGACCATTAGGTTTGCGCGCGGTCGTCTACACGCAGGGTCACACGAGCGCGGGGTGGGTGCGCTCGCGAGTAGATTCCACCGACCGCGGCGCCGACGCGATACGCGAGACGTCGATCGCGATGTCGAACATCCAGCGGCAGAAGTACTCGATCAGCGCGCAGCAGCAGGATGACTGGTGCATCTTTTGCAAATGCTTCGTGCAGAAAAACGCGACCGTGGCCGGGGCGATCTTATCGCAGATCATGTGCGTCGCGATGAACCGTTCCATCGTCGGCGTGTTGCTGGGGATCAAGGGAACGCTGAACAAAACGAAGACGGTCGACGTCGACCCGAACATGCTGTGCGACGTCGAGCGCGGCGAGTGCGTCGTGTCCGACGCGGGCACCGCCGCGCAGGACCTCGCGGACGCGAAGAAGGTCCTCATTGTCCCCGGGTACGGCCTCGCGGTGAGCAAGGCGCAGTACGCGATGGCGGACCTCATCGAGTTGTTGCGCGAGAGCGGCAAAGACGTCGTCGTCGCCGTGCACCCGGTCGCCGGGAGGATGCCCGGGCAGCTCAACGTCTTGCTCGCGGAAGCTGGCGTGCCGTACGACGTCGTGAAGGAGATGGAAGAGGTCGAGAACGACGTGGACAAGTACGACGTCTCGTTAGTCGTCGGCGCGAACGACACGGTGAACCCGAGCGCGGTGGAGGACCCGAACAGCGAGCTCGCGGGGATGCCCGTGATTCAGGTGTGGCGGGGATCCACTCCCTTCCCCGTATCTTCGTTCGTTTTCGTTACATATCATGGTCTACGTGTTCGTTTCCGTCGGTTCCGTTAGATTGACGACGCTATCTCGCGACATCGTCGCGATTTACTCTGCTATTTCATCGCCCTCCGCACCGCCCGCGGGCACTGTCGCTGTCGCCGTCGCCGTCGCTGTCGCTGTCGCTGTCCACTCAAACTGCTCCGCGATCTCCGGCTGGTACTTGGTGAGCAAATCCTTGAGCTGTTGCGCGTTCTCCGGTTGGTTAGCGATGATCCACTTGATGGCCTTCCTGTTCAGGTCCCGGGTCTCCTTCTTGACAGTGCCGGTGCCGGGATCGGTGTAGATGAAGTAGGATCTTGCCTTGTTGCTGCTGGCTGTGCGTCTCAACTCCATGCGCCAACCCTGGAGCTTCACGATCAGCGCGCTCAACCTGAGCTTCTCCTCGAGCAGTGGCGCGAATTGCACTTTGAGCTGTGCATCGGTGCGGCGAGGGAGGAGCTCCGGCGCAGTGAACTTGCCGTTCTCGACGCAGCCTGTGTGGTACCGTTGCTGGGCGTCTAACACCTCCTGCGTGAGCAGCTTGGTGGTGTCCCGGTCGATCGTGCCCCCGGGGAAGATGCACAGCCCTTGCTTGGCGTCGAAGATGTACCCGTACTCCTCGTACATGGCGCCGCGCATCTTGATGAAATGCTTGACGGAAT